ATTGTGATGGCATAATATTGCTGTGTCCTCAGGGATGTTTCCCAGACCGTCGCCAATAGCCCATTGTGCAGCTCTAGTGTGACGTAAATGAACTACTACCATCGGTAACTGTTTGACAATGCATCTGTTCTTAAATTTACTAAGTTTAATAAATACCTCAATAGTTTTCCAGCCTTCTTGTTTTGATAAATATCACATTGATGCAGAGGTCCCGTATATCCAGATTCTTCACATAGTGCTTTGTGAAATTGGAACTGAATCACATGGCTTATAAAGTACCTAAAAAAGATATTGATTTTATAATATCTGTAGCATATTGCTAAAGCAACCAATGTCTAAACTTAAGAAGAAGTTTAAGGCGAACTTGAGAATTAAGAATATTTATACGCTTCTGAACATTTAATGTTGATGTATTGCATGATTTTTCACGTGAAGAATATATATACTATATATATTACAGCTGCCCTAAAAGTTTTTTTTTAGGTTTTTAACGAATCGTATACAGATCGAATCGGAAATAGATGTGTTTCTCGATATTAAAAAAGTAATTAAAAATGATTTTTTTTATGTTATTTATATTTCGGAGTTTCTTAAATGAAATAGTGTTTAGACCTTATCTTTTGATTTACCTGATATAAGGAACATTTGATGGAATATGATACTTAGCTCCAGCATCCAGATCTTTTTCTGTCCTTAAAAGTGGAGGGCAGACACCTTGGTATTTAAGTCTGCAAAGGAAAATGCAAATTCATAGAGACAAAGTTTGAAACATAAATTATTGTGTAGATAAAAGTTTAATATAACTTTAAAAAAATTAAGTTTTATTCTTGGGTGATGCGAAACGTTTCGCCAGGCTCAGCAAATGCATCCCAACACAACCATTCTTCTGATATATTTTTCGTAATTAGGAGAATGTATGGGGTTTGCAAGAAAGTAATTTCGGTTTTTTAGTGTGGAATACAACTCAATTTTTTTCTATTGGTGATCGAAATGGGGTATAGGTGGTGTAGAACAGAACTCTCTACCTGTGGCAACACTTCATATGCTTTCATCATTAGCGTGTGGAGAGTCATAGGAGAGGGAAGTACGTTAGCTCTGTCTTGATTTTCAAATAGATTAAAAAAAAATTTAAGTTAGGAAACTATATTGAATTTAGTTAGTAGAAAAAAGCGTTCAAAAAATTAAAAAAAATATTCTTGATAATTAAATTCGGAGAAAATACAACTGACTCCGGTCCGGTGGAGCCGAGAATCAACCCACCGAGTACATGCGATTTACGTGCTTGTAAAATCTGTGGAATCGAAAGCGGCCTTTGGTGCTGCCATCTATCCGTGGGGCTCTGAGCTAAGACGTTCTTTCACTCTTTCGGTGCTTTCTTGTCAAACGGAAGGTGCAATAATTTTCAGAAGACCAACGGCTGGCGAGTTTTTTTCTCCAAGTGTCGTTAAAAACAAAAACTTAATGGGCCGAGCGGTATCACCCGCCAATCGCTGTGCAAAGCTTGGAGGTAGCGGGTTCGAATCCCGCTGTTATCATGGATGTATCTTCGTGCTGTTCTGCTCTGTATTGTGCTATGTGTCCTTCTATTTGACAGGTTTATAAATTGAGCACACAAGCCTGCAAACGTATGTAAATACAACAATTAAGCCACTAAATAAACAAAAACTTAATCAGTTAAATATCTCTCATTCTGTTCGATGTAACTTCATATCTTATTCTTTTTCGCAGCTCTATTATTTTCTGGCACTTAGCAAAAAAAAAAAAAAAAAAAAAAAAAAAAAAAAAAAAAAAAAAAACTCAACTATCGTGATTTTAGGTAACTGTAATGTTTGTAAACTTAAGTCGGGGTTATATGGAGGATCGCAAAGGAATCGTGTTCCACTAAAATGTGAGGCCTCACACACGTAACAAAAAATTCGATGTCAAAAAGTAGTGTAGTGCTTAGTACCGCAATAAAGACGTATTAAAATGAATTCAGGCGCCGTTTACTTATTTTTTTTTCTGAATGTTCAATTTTTAAACAGCTTTCTGTTTCAGTTACAACGATCAGATTCAGAATTTTACTTTGAATTAAAGAAACACCACATTTAAGAAACAAGAGCTTTATTTTTTAAATAAGGCTCATGTTTTTCATGAGCTTTATTTTTAGTTCAAGATGATTCGCAAACTTTTAAAACCTAATTCTATAACTAAAAGTGTGTTGAAAAATACCTCATGTCCCACCAAGCCTTGTTAAGTTCTGTTGTTTTTATTGAGCCATCAAATACTTTCCATCTCCATTTATCAATCAAAAAGCCAAAAGGCACGAAAGCTATTTTGCTTAAAGCCATGCTGAGAAGGTTGTTGATATCAGTTTCTGAAACAGTAAAATACAATTTTATACTTTTTTTTTCCTTTAGGAGACACTTAAACTGAAACCTACATTTAGCGATTTTCTTACTTAAATACAAAAGTTTTGGGGTGAGAGTGGCTTAGCATGATTGTCTATTATATTTGTCAATGTAACTCGAGTTTGAGTTGAATCATTCAAGTTATTATATTAGTTAATTATTTCTGAAGATTAAATAGTTTAAAAATAAACTGAAAAAACAAACTCATTTCAAATAGTGGATTGATTTAAAATTAACATTAACTTTGAATAAATTAATTTTCTTATTGCACTTTGTGTTATTTATATAATTATCAAAAATAACGGTCACTTCACGCGAAGTAGATAATGAATTTTTGGTATTGACTAGTAATTAGTAGTATGTTATTATTTTACCTATTAATTTTAATGAAGTTTTATTACCTAGATATCCGAAGCTTTAACAGTAAGTTCAATATAGTTTCCAACTGCGTAATTAAAATTTACAATTGGGAGGGTGTACATATTGACTAACAACATGCATGAGTTTCAATATTAAACTTGCTAGGTAAATGTTATATTAATGTTAATGTAAAAAAATTAGATATTTTGTTGATGTATTTTTTGGTTCAAAACAATATTATCAGGGAAAATTTCCCATTTGTAAAAAAGCCTTCTATTCATTTGCATTTTTAAAAATAAAAATAAAAAAAATAATTCGGCATTAAGCATGAAAAAAAAAACTTTTTTCTCTCTCTATTATGTATTTATTTTTATTAGGTCTTTCAATGAATTATTTTACCCGAAAAAAATCTATTCTCTTTCAAATTTGTTCATTTTTAAAATTACACAAGCTTCTGATTGTACTTTTTTTTTTTAAACGATAAATAATGCATTTAAATTGGAGATATTTCCCTCTGAAAAACAAGTCCAATATTTTAGTTACGATTTTATTTTCAAAGTGCAATGATTCAAAAAATATTTCTTCGAAAAATTTAAAATTTTATAGCATTTTATTCTTCCAATGCCCACCTCGAGAATGACTTTACGTCATACAGGCACCTGAAGGGCAGATTTGTTGGGTACTCTTTGAGGGCACCATATTAGGTGGGTCAACGTTGCTCCCACAGTAAGGACAGATAAGGAAAGAACATCCATGCCTTGCCCGGAATTCGAACCGAGAACCTTTCTGATGCAAGGGCAGTTCCCTAACCTCTACACACGCCGGTCGGCAATTTTATAGCCTAATAAAACTTATCTACACCAGATCTTGATAAAAAGAATTTATGTATCACATCACAATAACTCACAGCACATAACTCATTATATCATATATTTGTTAAAAAATTATTCATATTATTTTTTTAGCCATATATTGTAATCGTAATTTTCTCATAGGCTTTTGTACTACGCTTTTGAATTCATTTTAACGTCAAGGCTGATAGAATCGTTCTGTCCACCTTTAGTAGGCTTGCAAGCGGACACATTAAATGCCTTTCTTTTGATAGAGGGCAGAAAACTTCTACGATGTGTAGTATTTGCAACTCAGTTAATGTTTCTCCTGACCATCTCTTGCACTGTGCAGGTTTCGACAGATTGATATAAATTTTAGCTCTCTTCTCATTTATGACTTTGATGATTCTTGGGCTCGCGAATTTGATCTAGTTTACTGGTGCAGGAGTAATAAGTTATCCTCATCATTTTCAATTAAAAATAAATCATTTGAAATTAAGACCTTTAATGGAATTTTAAAAATCCATCTTTATTAATTTTAATAATAAAAATGAATTCAAATTACCTCTATCGTGAGAAGAATTTTTTAAAAGGCCTATTTTTTTCATGTGATCTGGAGTGGATACCGATAGAGCAAGCACATCTCCAACTGCTTCGTGGAAGCCTAGAAGAGTTATATTTTCATTTATAAAATTATAAATTAAACAATATTAAGGCAGCACTAGGAAAATAAATTGAAAATAATTAATTGGAATGAATACATTTTTGAATGAATAGATTTTTTTCTNGAGACACTTAAACTGAAACCTACATTTAGCGATTTTCTTACTTAACCCCTTCCTTCTCGCTCCCGCGAAAATGACGGGGTGAGGTTTCGCCCTCTATTTCTCACTCCCATGATATTCCCGGGCTGGAGTGTGCAGTAGTAACGCGCCAATAAGAATGAAACTAACTCATCTCTTTTGCTCGGAAAACATTTTATTTCTCATTTTACACACCAGATAGCAGTACCAGGATAATTGTAGATAGTTAGTTTATTTTAAACTAAATGTCAGCACTAATCAAATACGTGCATAAAAAATAGGCTCTTTTATGACCGTTTTCTTGAAAATTAGCCGATCGTTAAAGGGTTAAATACAAACGTTTTTGGGTGAGAGTGGCTTAGCATGTTTGTCTATAATATTTGTCAATGTAACTTGAGTTTTTGAATCATTCAAGTTATTATTTTATGTAATTATTTTTAAGGATTAAATAGTTTAAAAATAAACTGAAAAAAAAAAACAAATTCATTTTAAATATTGGATTGATTTAAATTTAACATTAATTTTGAATAAATTGATTTTCTTTTTGCATTTTGTGTTATTTACACAATTATCTAAAATAACGGTCACTTCACGCGAAGTAGATAATGAATTTTTGGTATCAAATAGTAATAAGTAGTATGTTATTATTTTACCCATTAATTTTTTAATGAAGTTTTCTTACCTAGATAAGTTCAATATAGTTTCCGACTGTGTAATTAAAATTAACAGTTGGGAGGGTATACAAATAGATTAACAACATGCACGAATTTCAATATTAAGTGTAAAACTTGCTAGGTAAATGTTATATTTATGTTAATGTAAAAAATGCAGATTTTTTGTTGATGTACTTTTCGGTTTAAAACAATATTATCAGGAAAAACTTCTCATTTGTAAAAAAGCCTTCTATTCATTTACATTTTTAAAAAGAAAAATAATTCGTCATTAAGTATAAAATAAAAAACTTTTTTTCTCTTTCATGTTTTTATTTTATTAGGTCTTTCAATGAATTATTTTACACGAAAAAAATCTATTCTCTTTCAAACTTGTTCATTTTTAAAATTACACGAGCTTCTGATTGTACTTTTTTTTTTTTTTTTNTTTTTTTTTTGAAAAACAAGTTCAATATTTTAGTTACGATTTTATTTTCAAAGTTACGATTTTATTTTCAAAGTGCAATGATTCAAAAAATATTTCTTCGAAAAATTTAAAAGTTTATATCATTTTTTTTTCTCCAATGCCCACCTGGAGAACGACTAACGTCATACAGGCAGATTTGTTGGCCACTCTTTCAGGGGCACCATATTAGGTGGGCCAGCGTTGCTCCCACAGTAATGACAGAACATCCATGCCTTATTCGGGATTCGAACCCAGAACCGTTCTGATGCAAGGGCAGTTCCCTGACCCCTACACCGGCCGGTCGGCAATTTTATAGCATAATAAAACCTATCTACATAAGATCTTGATAGAAAGCATCTATGTATCACATCACAATTATATTTAACTCATTATATCATATATTCATTAAAAAATTATTCATATTATTTTCTTTAGCCATATATTGTAATCGTAATTTTCTCATAGGCTTTTGTACTACGCTTTTGAATTCATTTTAACGTCAAGGCTGATAGAATCGTCCTGTCTACCTTTAGTAGGCTTGCAAGCGGACATATTAAATGCCTTTCTTTTGATAGAGGGCAGAAAACTTCCACGATGTGTAGTATTTGCTACTCAGTTAATGTTTCTCCTGATCATCTCTTGCGCTGTGCAGGTTTCGACAGATTGATATAAATTTTAGCTCTCTTCTCATTTATGACTTTGAAGATTCTTGGGCTCGCGAATTTGGTCTAGTTTACTGGTGCAGGAGTAATAAGTTATCCTCATCATTTTCAATTAAAAATAAGTCATTTGAAATTAAACCTTTTAAAGGAATTTTTAAAATCCATCTTCATTAATTTTAATAATAAAAATGAATTCAAATTACCTCTATCGTGAGAAGAATTTTTTAAAAGGCCTATTTTTTTCATGTGATCTGGAGTGGATACCGATAGAGCAAGCACATCTCCAACTGCTTCGTGGAAGCCTAGAAGAGTTATATTTTCATTTATAAAATTATAAATTAAACAATATTAAGGCAGCACTAGGAAAATAAATTGAAAATAATTAATTGGAATGAATACATTTTTGAATGAATATATTTTTTTCTGATTTATTGATAGCAGGGCTCGAAAAAACTCAGAAATTTTACCCGTCCCCGAGGACGGCTTGTCCAACAATGTACCCGTCCTCCTTTGAAACTAACCCGTAGCTTCTAAATAAATAAAAATATAATTTTCTCTTATTTATTACAAACATTTATATAAATTGCACAATGAATTAGTAGTTACTAGGATTACAAATACTAGGATTACATTATACAGTAATGAAAGAAATACTAGGTTACTAATAGTAACCTAGTATTTCTTTTATGAAATAATTTATTGCTTTTACGAAATAATTTAAATGACAAAGGTCAAGTTATCTGGAATGTCAATTTACCCGAGGGTACTGTGTTTTTTAAATGAATCAAATATGACGTTTGCCAATGATTTACAGAGGTTTCTGCACAGAAATATGAAAGGGGTTTTCCATTTAGGTAGATGTTCATAATTGCGTTTAAAGCTTCTTGTACGTAATGTGTTTTTTTTTCTTTTGTAAGTTTATTGCTGAAAAGCCCCTTTCAACCGCTGCAGTACTCCCAGACAGAGAAAACATCAATTCTAATAACAAAAATTGAAAATGCATCTCTAACGTTAACGGGAAAATGGCAGTCCGCGTGGACGTCGGATTCGAGAAATTCGTTGTCCGCGGGGAATTTCTGACCGCCGAGGACGGGCCGACGGGCGGTTTTTCAAAGCCTGATTGATAGTAAAATTTTTAATAGACTTCCAATGAAAAACATCTTTTCAGCTAAGTCTACAGGCAATTAGAATTTCTTTATATAATTTTAAAATGAGGTTTCTCATACTCAAAATAAAACTGCAATGCTATTTTTTAAAATTTTTTAAAAACATGTCTCACATGCTTTCTGTCATCTCACATAAATTCCAAAAAAACAAAACAAAAAAAAACCATTTTTTTAGTTACACCTAACTAATAGTTCTTCATATAGTTTCAAAGCAAGAATTAGCGTGCAAGAAATATGACTATAAGCGCTAATTTTAAACAAATATAATATTTTGTTCATACAATGTCTTCCTAGAGAGAAATATTGCAGTAAACACTTAACCTTTTACTATCTAAATTATATCCATGTAAAATTCAGCTGACACGATATTTTTCCCGCATGAAAAATCGCCACAAATACTAATTTTTATCTTCTCTAGATTAATGTTAAGCATGATTATTGTTCACCCGATATCATGCAAAAGCAATGTAAGAACTAAATTTCTTTCTAAATCAGAGTTTCTTACAAGTTTTGATGTCTTCAATTATTTACGAAAATTTTGTGGGACCCCATAAACATTGTGCTAATCCGACACACACAGGAGTGAAACTGTCAGTTTCTTTATTTGTACTGTAATATAGAATCGTAGCTTTAAGTCATGAACTTTAATTTTTAATTTCAAGACAATCCGAAAATTTCAAATAAACAACAAACTTGAAAATATAATACAGTAATGGAGATAAATCCAATTACTTGGATAAATTCATACATTAGCTATAGTCTGTCCATTAAGTGTAGCCGTTTACTTCTAACAACGTACATGCGAGGGTTAAGTATCAAAGGAAAAATGTGTCTGTTTATTTTTTATTATATTATCAAATCTTGTCAAAATAGTCGACACCGCAAGACAAAGCCCTTTTTCAATACTCTTTAAATTTGATTGACATTTTAAATTTTATGGTGGTTAAAGGCGAAAAGGGCGTCTCACACAAACATGTCGTAGAAAAAGTAAAAGTTGGTTTACGGCAGTTTCAGAAGTCTTGCAATATCTTTCGCGATTCCTAGCTAATGTAAGTTAAAAAGATATTAAAATTTCTTAAATTTTTGGTGACCCCTGCTGCATTATATGTGGTCTCGACAAACAGCTTCAACTCTTCAGTAATTATGTCTAAGTAAAATTTTATTCACTCCATAATTCTTCCACAGAAAAATTCACATTTAATAAAATTTTTATCTTTCCAGATTATATTCATTTAAGACTTCACACAAAATTGTATTTTTCCTAAAACAAAAGATGATGTATGAAGGGAACTGACACTAGATCTCCAGATCTGGTCTCATCTGGAAGATCACATTGATCCTGTTATTTCTCCAAAGACATGAAAGCTAATGATACTTGCCCTTAAGACTGAATGTGCTAAAGAAAGAAGGCAGGACCGGAAGCTTTTTAAATCTTAACTGCGGGCATCGGACATTTAAAAATCATCATTTTAAGAAAAATAAATTTATCGATAAATAATTTATCTCTAGTTCGATATCCAAATGATTGTATCGTAGCATACAAAAAGGACAGGGAATTAAAATGGTTGCTTTTGCTTACCTCCCTGCAGATGATCAAAGAACATAGCATGACCGAACATCAAAAAATCTTTATCTTACATGAAATTAACTTATAAATAGCCTACTCCAGTTAGTTACGATGTCAGGACGATCATATCGTAACAAATGTTTACCGTTTTGTTGTAAGAAATATTCTTTCTTGTAATTCTAGAAAGATGTATTTTGATGCATTTATCATTGTACAAATGAAAAGGAACGGACATTTTTACCTCGCTTTTTTACAACGACTTATTCAATGAGATTTTATTATACTCAGCATGCTATTGCATACATTTTGAGAAATATGTTTACCTGAGTTTGCACCCGTTCTGAAAACTACTGGTTGATCGTTGTACTGTAAATAATATTCTATGTGACCCATTTCATGGTGTACAGTTATTAAGCTCTCCATCTCTATTCTGGTACACATTTTGATCCTGCAAATCACAAAAAAACGCATAACTTCTTTTTGAGCTAACATTGTTTTAAAATTAAACATATTTTATGGAGTTAAATAATTATAATAATTATTTAAAACTAAACAAGTAATTATTGTTATTAATATTACACATATTTAATATTTTTTATAATAATAAATAGTTAATAATGGTTTAACATTACTTTTTTCAAAATTTATAACAAAAAATTTAATTTAATTTTTTGTAAAAAATGCTAAATCTGCTTTGCAATTTTTTGAAACAATAGAAAAAATTTATGTTTAAAACGATAGTAACAATTAGCGGTTAAGAAGGTAATTTGTTAGCATAAAATACAGGGTTATTCATAATTCCCTCTGCCTGTAAACGCCATTTTTCTTTACTACAACTGGCTTCAGTGGTACATGTTACTGCCATCTACTGGCAAACTGCTTAAATTAAAACTTGAATACTTTCGGAATAATGTTCTTTTTTGCCATATTCGTCTTCGTTTTTTTACTATAATGCTTCGAAACCCCGGAGGAAATTATGAATTGCATTTAATATGGCTAACATTAGCTTTCTCGAATTGAAAAAGAAGGTGCTATCGTTCATGTGGAACCTTTTATGTTTTACCAATGTGCTGTGGTGTAAATATTAGAATTTGACTGCAAGAATCCGTAGAAACTAACTATACCATATCTGTCAGGGTGCTGTATTAAGATGCCAAGAAAAAAAACCTTAGAGTAATGTAATACTAAGTATAATTAGCAATTTTTCTGTATACAAGGCAGATATACAAGTTCTTATTTATTTTAAAGGTATTAAATTTTGTATGATTTTAATTACCTAACATCGCCCTTATTAAAGAAGTTCCATGCAGATGCATGACACACCATGTCTCTGTCGGTTGGCTTTTCAATTATGGATTTTTTCCAGAATTCGGGAGTCATTGGTATCAAACCAAGAGAGGTGAAGAATTCTTCAGATATTTCAAACATTTCCTTTGCACTCATTTTCTATTTAAAAAATAAATGATTGTTCATTATAGAGGAGAAAATACCGTCTAAGTTAAAAATTGAACTGTCAATTTTTCTTATGATTTAGTAATGTTTAGAATTCAAAATAAACGATAAAAAAGTTAGAATTGTTAATTTTTCTTTTGACATGTTGATGATTCAAATTAAATTTATGGTTTTGCTTTTGTTCTGTTAAGAAGCACTGCATATACAGAGTTACGGATTTTTTTTTCTGCATGAACGTCAAATTTTAACATCAAATAAAAATTTGTAAAAAATGCAGAATATTTCTTTATTATTTTAATTTTTATCAAGTATTTTTGTTTAGTAATTGGATTTTCAATATATCAGGATAAAAAGTAAAATTTTTCTTTTTTAAAGTTTACTTTATATTCTAGAAGTTATCTATTTTGAGAGTAATAGGGGTATACACAATTTTCACGGATATATCTGGTTTAAGTTTAGAAAACAGACTTCACGAATGCAAATAATTATATAGTGTAAGGGAATTGTATAGTATAAGGTGTGTACAGTCAGCAAAAAGATAAAAGGATCATTGTTAATAATTTTTGGTCTAATGATCGGATCTTCACGTTCTAGGACTCAATCTTAATGGTTCCAGGGGGAGATTTCAAATATGCTAATTAATTAGTGTATATATATGATATTTTAAGTTACGAAGTCAGACGCCTAAACGCTCTTTCTCTGAATGAACATACCTTTTTCTTCGGATTTCTGACCTTTAAAATATAGATTGTAGTCGCTATCTGGGAAATATGTTCCCCATAGTTTTGTTAGGAGAACGGTCCAAAGTTTAAACCACTTATTGTTAATTTCACTTTTTGCGTATTTTTCCATACCTCGAGAACTTTCTAAGCAAATTGAATCTTTTTCATACAATTATAAAATTCGTTTATCGAAAGATAATTCCATGTAAAATATAAATTTTAGTAAATATTTATAATTTTTTAAAATTTAATTCAATGCTAGTCAAAAAAATTTTGCATTTTATTTTGCGCACCGAACAAGAGTCAGCAAGTTTATTAAAAAATTTCATAACTTCGACACTTATTTACCTTTTCTTTCATTGCCAGAGTAATATCCATTGCTTTCTTCTTTGGAAATGGAGTAACAAGTTTATAGATATGTCCCCACTTTTGAGCCCACATATTTCCTGTCAAAACACATTTAGCCGTTATAAATTATTGATTAAAAACGTTAAAAAAAATTCAGATCATTGAGAAGTTAAATCTGAATTACCCAGTAAATGAGCAGGAATTGGACCATCATGCTTGATATTGCTTGCTCCGTATTTTGTAATTAGTTTTCGTCTCACATAAGCGTGAAGTTGTTCGTAAAATGGCTTAATTGTTTCCCACAGTTGATCGAACTCTTCTGTGATATTGTCACTTTCAAATTCTTCACGCCACATTTCACCAGCATCAGAAAAACCTGAAAAAAAGCTAATTTCGTTGAAAAAACAAACATAAATTGGTTTATTAAAGTCGAATTCTGTATGTTTATTCTGTATGTATTTCTGTATGTGTTTATTTTGTATGTTCATTTTGTATGTATAATGGTGATTTCGACACATTTGTTTTGTGTTTCATTACAAAAAAAATTAAAAAAATTGAAAAACGTAAGCAGTGGGAAAAACCAGTACTTATAATTGTTTTCAATATATGAAAGTTTTCAATTTATGATAGTTTTCCATTTATGATAGTTTTAGTGAACGATTAGTTATCTTGCACTTTTATATATGCTTTCAACAATGATACTGCAAATGTACAACGAAGGACGGACATTATTTTTTAATAATTCAATTTTAAAAAAGCAATCTTAAACAGATTTTAAGAAAAAATCTTTGTCAATTTTCGTAGCTCAATATATTTCCTTTAAGTACAGTGGTGGCCAAAAGTGTGGACACTTTTTGAAAGTTTCATGTTTCTCAACTTTGTGTGCTTGTAGAATATATTAATTTTCGCTTGATCTAACTATCACTGCGCTAACTATCTATCTTCGCTAACTATCACTGCGGGACAAAAATTCATATGAAATATGTATTTAGAAATAAGGAATCTGATTTGTGCATTTTAAGCAGAATGGTAAAACCAGATCCAGTGAGAATGTTTTCTAAGTTTTCCAAAAAGCGTGAAATGAATTTTATTATTCTTAAAGATTTCTGACACTTGTTTAGTTTGTTTTTGTAATTTGTTTTAGTTTTTTTCCCCTGTCAGAATTATTTAAAATATTTATAAATTAATTGTTATTAAATAAATAATAATGACACCACGTAGAAACTATGCACTGGATTGTTTGAAAAGTCGTCTGTCAAGCGATTGCTTGCATTTCAAAAGTTCGATGATTTAAGAACGGGCTCCAAACGCTTCATTCCGAATAACTCTACCGAAGATTATTTTATTTATTCTTCTTTTAAAATTTTAAATTGAAGAGCATAGTTTACTCACCATTCTTGCACGCAGCTTCATTTGATAAATTAACATATCTGAGGAAGCTGTTTTTCATTTTTCTTCCTGTCTCATCCCGCCATTGGGACCAGACGTGCTTCAGTTCGTAATAATCATCCGAATCTTTCATAATTTCTGTTACTTCTAAAATGATAATGAGGTGAAAATTATCATATTACAAAATTTACTTTAAACTATTATGGAAAATTGAAATATATTTAAAATTAGAGATATTTCGCGTTAACGTAACGCTTGATGTTGCGATTCGTTGAAATATTTTCGATCATGGGCCGAAAAACTCACATAGCGTTAGTGGTAAACCCGTCATGTCATACGAGTACAAAATCTCTCTTTTCTTACTTGACTTTCGTCATCGTACAAAATCATTATTTTCAGAGTTTTCCTGAGTTGCTCACTAGTTGCAATGTTTAGTAAATTAATTTTAAGGTCACATATAAGGTTTTAGATAATTTTACCACGGAAACTTTCGCCCACGAAAAGTAGTACAAACCCAAGAGAAATAACCACAGTAAATGAAATGGAATTAATTTAATGTTCATTGGGCGACCCGGTACCATTTAATCCACGGCTCGGTACCGTTCGATCGTCGGTCCGGTACAGATCCGTGGCTCTGGGATTAGAGACCACTGTCTCAGAGCATGGCATAACTTTAGTTAAATTTACTTTTCAATTTAAAAATTTTTACTAAATGTACAGTAATAAGAACTATAATTTTGAAAACAAGAATTTCCGGTAAACCGATACCATGTGAACGGAAAAATTTCCAAAATTAATGGTTTAAATACCATATTCTTAGGTTTTTTTAAAAACCAGAATTGTGGTTTTATTTACCAGATATTGTCATTATCATACAGTACAATGATTTTAACAGAAGTTTTTTCTCTGTGCAGTATTTCATATCTTAACATTTGGTTTCAAGTATTATAATATTAAATCCTTTATTTATTTATTTTTTATCATATATATACATATATATACGAGGGTTGTAAATTAAATAGTGGCAACTTAACCTTGAAACTCACAGAAGGGCGGGCATGCGTAAATAGGGTATGGGTGGGGGGAGGTGGCGCTGTTGTCGATGTGTAGAGTGCAAAAAAACAGTTGATTTGCTTAGAAGGGTAGTTGTTGCGTGGCGTTAAAGTGAGGAGTTTCGTTTCCATCGCTCTAAAGCATGTTGTGANCAAGCTTCAATCTGGCGAACTAAATGAGTTAAGCAAACTCTTGCTAAAATTTGACGAAGCAGCTATAGGTGAAAATTTGCGGATTGAACTAAGAAATTTAGCTTCACATTGGGAAAAACTGAAAAATTCAGACTTAGAAGATTATAAAATAATCAGAGAAGATCATTCAAATGAAGATGATAACGACTTTACTTTGGAAACAGAAGAAGTAAGTCTAAAATGTGAGACACGCAGTGCGTGCAAAAATTGTGTTATTTGTTGCTACAAGATGTTACAGAGATTTAATTTATTGACCAATTCTTACAATATAATTAGTCTCGCATTAAAATTCTTACAAACATTGTCAAAAAGTCAGGTGGCTTGTGAAAGATCATTCTTCACATTAAAAGTAATTAAAAATCGAATGAGGAGTACTTTATCTTCGGATAATTTGAATGCTCTCATGGTAATGGCAATAGAAAAAGATCTATTAATGGAAATAGATAGCCACGACATAATCGATAAAGTGGCAAAAAATAGTGAGCTTCTTCAAAAGTTAAATTAAATTTTAATTTAATGACTTTTGAAGAAGCAATAAATCTATTTTTGAAAAAATGTTCATATAAATCATTCATGTATGTGTAGTATAATAAATATTTTTATTTACTCTTCATCTTTCACCTTCTTTTTGATTTTATCAACCTATGTTTCCTCATAAGAACCATGTATTTTAAACTGAAATATATTCTATAAAGGATTATTAAGCAATTTATACTTTCTTACTTCGATAAATTAACTTATGTTCATGAGAATTTATAAGTAAAAAATGCCTAAAAATGATACACTAGGAGTCACGTACGTTTCGCGCACGCGGTGTTTATGTGAAGTAGAGGGCCGATATCTCTAAAATGCCTGGGCCGGTTTTAGATCCCAGTCCGGGCCTGGGTGATAGCGATTTGGACTGATATTTAATAAGTCATAAACCGTTAATCCCAGATGCTAGCTTTTTTTTTCACTTAACGGCGAATGCATCTTCGAAAAGGAAATTCCTTTTTTGATGAAAATCAATAAGATTACCGAGCATTGTTTTCATCTAAAAATTAAAATCAAGGAGTGAGTTCCGTGAATTTGAGTTTTTTAGAGCGCACTCCAATTCTTCTGACGTTACCCTTCGAAAACTACCGAAGTTTAATCGGTTTTAATCTTAGGGAATTGAGGTACTTCTCTATTTGTTCTTAACAAACGATTTTTTTAAATCAAATTATTTTGAATCAATTTGTTTTTAATAAAACTGTCTTGACAAAACATTTACCTACACTGCGCCGACTGTATTTTTGATTGTAAATTTTTCATTAAAATAAAAATTCATGCGAAATATGCATTTATAAATTGAGAATCTTATGTGTGCACTTCAAGCAGAATGGTAAAACCAGATCCAGTGAGAACGTTTCCTAAGTTTTCCAAAAGTGTGAAATGAATTTGATTATTCTTAAAGATTTCTGACACTTGTTCAGTTTGTTTTTGTAATTTGTTTTTTTTTTCCTGTCAGAATTATTTAAAATATTTATGAATTAATTGCTATTAAATAAATAATAGTGACGTCACGTAGAAGCTACTGGATTGTTTGAAAAGTTGTCTATCAGACGATTGCTTGCATTTCAAAAGTTCAATGATTTAAGAACTCTCTCCAAAAGCTCCATGCCGAGTAACTCTACCAAAGTTGATTTTATTTACTGTTGTTGACGTATGCCTGTTTAGGCAGAGGGGGTGCGATTGTTCTTGTTTTTCAGTGGCGCCATCTATGGCCAAGAATTCGACTTCTGCCACACCATACACATTTTATTTATTCTTCTTTTAAAATTTTAAATCGAAGAGCATAGTTTACTCACCATTCTTACACGCCGCTTCATTCGATAAATTAACATATCTGAGGAAGCTGTTTTTCATTTTTCTTCCTGTCTCATCCCGCCATTGGGACCAGACGTGTTTCAGTTCGTAATAATCATCCGAATCTTTCATAATTTCTGTTACTTCTAAAATGACAATGAGGTGAAAATTATCATATTACAAAATTTACCTAAAACTATTAAGGAAAATTAAAATATATTTAAAATTAGAGATATTTCGCATGGCGTTTGTCTTGCGTTAACGTAACGCTTGACGTTGCGATTCGTTGAAAAATGTTTGCTCATGCGCCAAGAAGCTCAAGTAGCGTTAGTGGTAAACTCGTCAAGTCATACAAAATCTCTCTTTTCTTACTTGAGTTTCGTCATCGTACAAAATAATTATTTTTAGAGTTTTCCTGAGATTCTCATTCGTTACAATGTTCAGTAAATTAATTTTAAGTTTACTTATAAGGTTTTAGTAAGTTAGATTACTTCTTAAATTGTAAACATTAATGTAAATTACTTTTTCATAAAGTCATAAAGAGAATCTGTTGAGAAATGACTATTTAGAATCTTTATTAAATATGACAATTCAGTGTGTACTCAACTGTAGTATATTACAGTACCCATTTTCCTATTCATAGTATTATTGGCGAAATTTTCAATAATAAAATTTATATGAACCTGGAAATACTAACGTGAATGTTGAATGGAGATGCGCGGGTTAGTATTTTCTAGTTAACTATTTATTCCTTCATTAATTCATTTGTTAAATACTAATAACTCATCTGGTTCTTTGATAGTTAAGCTTATGGGAAAGATAATACGGTGATTTCCCTTTTATTTATCATTTTTCTGCTGAAAAACATGCCGTTTCGGAAAAATGCCTCTAAGCAATTAAACTGAATATCTTAAAATATCTGGTCAAACTCATTCAACAGCTACAACTTACGTTGTTAACAGAAGGCCAAAGTATAGTTTGTTTAAATCGCTCGTGCTTCCATTAAAGAAACACTGTTGTTGTTGTTGACGGATGCCATTAAGGCAGAGAAGGTGCGACAGTTCTTGTTTTCCAGTGGCGCCATCTATTGACACTGGAAATTCTACGTCTGCCACACCCATACATCACACCCGTTTATAGGGTGGACCCATTCATACATCCATTCATTCCTCCACAGATTGTAATTTTGACCTGAATCAGAGAACGATCAATCTTCAATTCAGTATATCAAGAGGTATTGATTTGTTATGGGAACATGGAGGACTTTGAGACTTGGCAGATTTAGCGTGCATCAGTCACCATTTACTACACGGAGAGTCTTCGGCCGGCAGGGTTCGAACCCACGACCACTTGGATATGAGCCCAGTGCCCTACCAACCAGGCTATCCCGGCCTTGAAGAAACACTGATACGAATTAATAAAATTTTTTTTAATGCTAATTACGTTTAGTCTAGTACCACACTGTGTAGATTAATTGGGACAAGTAAGTTTTTTTTTAGATCTGAGTAAGTCGAATAAGTTCTAAAACGTCTGTATAAAACTGTTTGAGTTTGTTTTCTTTTATTAATCAGAAAACGGCGCTGCTTAGAAACGGAATTTAAGCAAGAACAGATATAAATATTTCGCCGTAAGGTAATAAGCACGGACATTTCAAAGGAACATTTCAACAGGACTTGGTCATAATTAATTGGCCATTTATTCCTTGCTATAATTCAGAATTGGTAATTTGATGATTCATACTGAAAAATTAAAATAATGTCGTTTGATTGGTAAGAAAACTCACCAGAATTAAATCCAATTGAAATGGTATACTATTTTAAAGAGTTATTTAGGTTAGATAAACGGCACGCATCTCCAGGTTTTAGGATTCAATCTTAATGGTTCGCGGGGATGACCTCAAATATGCTATTAATTAGTGCAGATGATATTTTACGTTACGAAATCAGACACAAAAATGCATTTTCTCTGAATAAACATACCTTCTTCTTTTTTTTTTTTTATAACGGATTTGGATTTGTGACTCTCGAAATATAGGGAGCAGCTGCAATCTGGGAAATTTGGTTCCTATGTCGTATTTTTAAAACTCCATTCTCAGGAGCTATTTGACCAACTTCATTAAAAATTTGTAATTAGCCAGGCAAAATTGCATTCTTCAAAATGTTCTAAAGAAAATTTTATGCCTTGCAATTAAAACTTTTTTTTCCACTATGATTAAAAAATTAATAAAATAATAAATAATTACTAAAAGTCATTTGTTGCATGGATAAACAATCTTTGGCTAAACGAATTTAATAATTGTGAGCAAATTATTATAATTCTGAGTTTTTTTCATTTCGATTAAAAAGCTCTCGAGATATAACGAAATACTCATAAAATAAAATTAACATTAAGATGTCCTAACTTTGTACCGCTCTTTTGACTAAATTATTGGGACCATATTTCCCAGATTGTGGCTACTCCCTATATTTCGGGGGACACAAATCTGAATTCGTCGAAAAAAAGGTATGCTTATTTCGAAAAAAATGCGTTTTTGTGTATGATGTTGTAAATTAAAGCATTGTTTGTACTAATTAATTAGCATATTTGAGGTCATTCCCTCGAACCGTAAGATTGAGTCCTAAAACGTGAAAATCCGATTGTTAAATCATAAGTTATTCAGGGTGGTCGATTATTTATTTTGCATACTGTTCATAAAGGAATAGTATAAATAAAAACTAACTTGTGTGTTTTTTTTAAAAATAATTTTTCTGTACTGATACATTTATAGAGTAAAGTAATAATACGTCATCAGTTTTATTACTGTTAAATGAATGAAATTATTGGGATTTTGAGACACTTTCCTACACCGAGAAAAAAAGTAAAGTCAAAACTACCAGAATATGGTAAAATTTACTGTGCTTCTGGCGTTATGGGAACACGAAAAAGCCTCTTAATTTTTACCAAAATATTCTGGTAAAATTCGAAATAAAATATGGTTTTATTACCATTTTGTTTGGGGGCAAATGCGATAAAATTTAGTAATTATGATGCCTCAGTATTTAGTAATTATGATGCTCCCAAACCTTTTTATCACCGCGAACCGGTCAGCGTGCATTGGCCGGCCCGGTACCATTTGATCCACAGCCCGATACTGATCCGTGGTTCTGGGGTTGAGGACCACTGTCTCAGAACATGGCGTAAATTTAGTTAAATTTACTCTTAGGTTTAAAACTTTTTACTAAATGTACAGTAATAAGAACTATAGTTTTGAAGGAATTTTCGGTAAACCGTTACCATGTGAACGGTAAAATTTCCAAAATGAATGGTTTAAATACCAGATTCTTAGATTTTTTCTTAAAACCAGAATTGTGGTTTTATTTACCAGATATTGTCATTACCATACAGTACAATAATTTTATCAGAAGTTTTTTCTCCGTGCAGTATTTCATATCTTAAGATTTGGTTTCAAGTTTCAGAATATTAAATCCTTTATTTATTTATTTTTTTTATTAAAAAAAATATATTTATAGATATACTTTATAACCTGGTTCTAATGACAAAGTGCATGGTTCCAGAAGAGATGACATGTAACTGCAGACTTTAGCCTTTGCATACACATCCTGCATGTTAGCAATGATATCATTGAACTACAACAAACAAAATTTAATTTATTAAACAAGAAAGAAAAAAAAAAGAGTTAAAAAAATACTTTGCTTAAAAAAATAATAAACATAAGTTTTAATTGAAATCATTTTATATTTTTATGTCAAATATAAAAACTTTTAATAGTACACTGTCCTGTAAAAAATTCCGGTTCAAATTATGGTAAAAAGTACCGGCAAATAGAGTGCCGGTACTTTTTACCGTAATATCTATTTTTACCGGAAATGTTTCAAAACAAAAAAAATCTGATATACCGTAATTTTAACAATAATAATTACTGTTAAATCACTCTAATTAAATAAATAATACTGTCAAAATTACGGTGTAATATTTTAGAGTGAAAATGGATTTTATGGTAAAATGGATTTACAGTAAAATTGATTTTACGGATCTTTATAAACCTTAATTAAATTCAGAATTCTTTAGCAGTGTGTGACATAACCAGAAATTATTCATGAACAAAAAATAACGTATTATCTAGATTTCAATATTCTTTTTCAAATAGTTATTCTTTAAAAAAATTGCGGCAAACGAATTTTCAAATATTGTGAATTATTGTGCCATGTTTGGAATACTTTAGAGCTTATACTTTAAACTGAAATTATGTTATCTTTATGATTAAGAGAACTCTAAGTTTAATTACTTCTGTTTATTTCACAGATTAATCTTCTCAAGACAAAAAATAATATATAACCTGGATTCAAATACAAATTGTATTCGAAAATATTAAAAAGAAATCCAATTAATTGATTCTACAAGTTAGTAAATTGTTGTAAGCCATGTGAGGAAATTTTTGTAAGCATATATTTTAAGTGAAGATCACGTTATATTTACGATCAAGAGAATCCCAAGTTTAATTATTTTTTATTTACATGACAATCTTCTCGAATAAAAAAAATAACGTATCATCTAGATTTTACCTCTTTCAAATAGTATCAGAAAATTAAAAAAAAAATTTCAAATAAATTAATTCCCAAGAATGTTCTGAACTTTTTAGAGCTTATATATTAAAATTTGATAACATTAGTTATTGAATATGTAATACTAAATCTTGAAATGGATCAAGATTTTTAATATTTTTAGCTATTTTTGTTCTATTAAATCATTGATTAAGGAAATTGAAGGAATTTTTAATTCCTGGAAGAATACTTTTTGAATAAAAGTACCGTTTTGGAAAAAATTTAGCAATAAATAAGAATACACTGAAAAAACGCAGATTTCGATTTGTATATTATGTACTCGTACATTTCTTTTAGTACACTGCTGTAAAAAACTATTAAAATTAGTTTTAATAAAAGAGGGAATGGTTTATTACTTAACTCTGAAGTTTAATAAACAACCAAGTTTAACTTTAGCAAGTTTTAATTAATGTCTCAAAATTGTTATACTTATGTATGGCTTCTTCTTTATCTTCCGATATTTTGCGATAAAACACAAAAAGTTCATCTTCCTGAACAGTTAGGCATTTATAAATATTCTTTACAGACATGCATTTTTCTGAGTATTGCAAAATTTTATAGCTACCTCAATGAATTTTTGCTCAGAAAGAGCTGCTGTTCCTAAAATGGATAGAGCTTTAAACCATCTGTAGGCTGTTTCATTTTTGCCTTTAAAGTTCTTCCACGCAAAAGAAGTTGCATTTTTCCAAGTTTCCTTAGCGAATTTTGCTCTCTCTTCTGACATTCGTAACTATTAATAAAACAAAACCATAAATCAATAGTAATAGTAATCTTTTAAATTTAGCTTTTTCATGAATGACAAAACAACTAGGTGCCTACCAAATTTCATAATTGCTTGGAGGCAGGACAAATTTTTACTAGCCAACATGTAATAGAATGGAAAGTAGAAAAACCACGTTTTGTTTCTATATTATTTTACAATTATTATTGTTAATTTAGTGTCATTCAAAATTAAATAAAGAGATGGGTTAAAAGTATGGTTTACAATGCGTAATATTGCTATGCAAGAAAAAAACACATTATAAATTTGCTTAATATTCAAATATGCCTTTTAGTTTTTAAGACAAATAAAAATGCTGAACAGTTTCTTTTTGTTCGAAGTGAAATCAGAGTTAAAGATTTATTCAAAGTTATTAACATCAGATCAATATTTTGGTTGGATGCTGTGATTAGAAAAGCCATTTCTCCTGAAGCATTCAAAATTTCAACCCCCCCCTTTAAATAGATTTTTGTTAGAATCGGGACTAATTTTTAGAGTTATTTAATTTTTTTTATATAGTAGAACTAATAAACTTGTATTTAACAAATAATATGTAAGGATTAATTGTATTATTGCGGATATTCGTTATTGAGAAAATTTTTGATGCAGTGGGTGCTCCAAAAGTGCTTGGCGATTTAAAAAAATCAATGAAAGAAAAACGCTAGGAGATAAAATTATACAATTCGATGAGGTTTGTCTAGGATAAAAGATACTTATTCTTACCATGTTAAAAGATTAACTGCAAATTTCGGGAACATATGGCGTCGAGGACAGCAAAAACTATAAAACATTGTTTTTTACTTTATGTCTGACCATTTCAATTAAAATATCTTACATTACAAGATTGCACCATAGTGTTCTTGCAGATAATGGTTATTTAGAAAAAAAATTGCAGTTTTTTAGAAAGCAGCGAAATTTGAAACTCGTGAAACTAATTTTGAATCTTGCGAGAATGAATTTCTGATTCCTTAAGAACGAGCAAATGCTGTTTACTGAACATTTCAACCATTTCCGCTTTTCTTCGATTAATTTTTTAAAATTGTTTTTCGTTGCACACAGTTAGTCAAAACTCGCTAAATTAAAGTTTTTTTTGACTGAAAAACGCAAAACTGATAGCATCTATGATCATAAACTATAGCTGAGATTCCAATTGCTTATAATATATTCTGGTTTTAAACTTAAACATGAAGTTAATGATCACAAACGAGTTTTAAAAGATTCGGAACTAAGACTAAATTTAAGGTAAGACCAAGATCACTATTTTTAAAAAACTTAAGGATTAGCTGATTAAAAGTGTAATAGGAAGTATCTAGTATGAAAAATTTTTGCTCATAAAAGCACTCGATCTTCCCACCTTTTTTCTATAAAGTAAGAAAGAAAAATGAAATCTTTATCTTTCTTAACGTGGACGAAGAACAGAATTATAATCTGAACTCCAAATTTCGATATATATGTGGATGTGCAATGTATTTAAAGCAATTACTGAACATATCACACAGGAAATATTAAGCACACCAAACATCTAAAATAACTGAACAGTGAACTCCAAAACAATTATTCACCCAAAAAACAATAAGCCAAGTTTTCTTAATGTATTTCATTTATTAATACGAGAACAATTAGAAAAATCACTTACATATTCTTTCTTATTATGCTCAGTAAGATTACTTTGATAGTTCCACGATGCTATCACAGCTTTATTGGCGATTTTTTCTGATTGGCGATCGTTGTCATGAAGGAATCGAAGAGCCGCTTCCAAATCTGTGTTATTACCGCTGACATATTTGTCCTGTTTATTTAGACACGCTGCTGATACACTTGCTACAAGGACTACTACAGACAGAAGAACACGCAACACCATGATGGAAATTCTGAAAAAAAAAACTGATTTAAAAAAGACTTGAAATACAATTTGGTTAATATAAAATATCGAATCCATAATCGATTATAAAAATTTTTTGTGTTGACTACCGTTACATAAATTATACGTTCATATTTTTTTAATATTTATAACGACACAATCCGACCAGAAGCATTCTTGCACCCAGTGGTGTGGAATCTGAGTTCTCACGCATATACAATATAGTGCTGGTCCCACTTTTGCATCAATGCACACATCTGGGAAGACTTATCATTGCACCCAGTGGTGAGAAATCTGAGTTCTCACGCATATACAATGTAGTGTTGGTCCCTCTTTTGCATCAATGCACACATCTGGGAAGACTTATCATTGCACCCAGTGGTGGGGAATCTGAGTTCTCACGCATATACAATATAGTGTTGGTCCCACTTTTCCATCAATGCACAGATCTGGGAAGACTTCCCACCAGTTTTCGATAGGTGATGGTAATAGGGATTAAGATTTAGGCGCATATTATAGCTGTAGTAAGTGCCGACAATGAAGAATGTCGGTTTAACTGGTGAAGTAATCCGTGTTCTAATTCGTCTCTAAGAAGTCTAAGGAGTTTTATCGGATTTAAATTGGGGCTTCAAGAAAACCACTTCAGTTTTTAAACATCCATTTCGTCACACCATGACTGCACATGTCTGGATATGGAATGGAAATCTCCCTGTAAGTGAAATGGAATAAGCGTTAGGAGAACAGCATTTGTTCAGAATATCCACTACATCTCACAGTTCATGTTTGCAAATGCTGGAACTTATGGACTCGGGTCAAACTACGAAAAACACTTCAATAACAAAATGTACCACTGGTCAGATTCACTTCTTTAGGGGGATGTCAGGATACTTTTGGATAGAAAGTGTGCATTATTTATTTATTTGTTCATTCATAGACTGATTCTCAGATTTACTGATTCACTCATGAACTAATATAACGATTCCCTAATTCTGAACGAGTGTGCGGACTCCTTGGCTAAGGAAGGCAGAGGTGCCGACCAACCTTACATCACCATCACGCTTGCAGACGCAAATGCAGTTGCAAGACACAGACTTCCCGCTAATTCCTTCAGGAAACCCCTCATTACTGACTTTGATTGTTCCAGAATCTTAACATCAACAATTACAAGACTAAGAATAAACCACTTTAAAGGGTTGAAAATTCTTCCCGACAAAATAAGAACTTATATTCCCTGCAAGAACTTCACCGATATCCAACTTACCCCGGATCACATTCTCGAGTGCCCAGCCCTTACCTCATATGTTTCACAACTGGGTATGGTGCCACTGGCTCCAGAACTTCATGAGATCCTCTACAGTAATGATGTATTGGAGCTTGCGGATGCAGTTTTGAAGGTAAACGAAGCCATTTAATTGTCCTTGGACACGATAAAAAAAACTAATTCTGAAAAAAAATTAAATTTATTCTTCATATGAAAAAATGTAACCTGAACTCTCCGTAGTGATTTTAATTGATATTATTGATTTTGAAAAAAATTCTTAAATTTTGACACATAATTTTCGTGCATGTTAGGAGGCACTCGAAGTTTAAGAAATATGATTCGGAGAGAACAAAATTTACATTTTTTGAATTGAAATAACGACTTTAAAAAAAATTAAAAATTATGAGTTTATATTTCATTAGTTTCTATTCAAAGAAGATAAAACATTTACCTAAAAAATGATATTCCTTTGCTTATTATAATTTATAGCATCATCAGCTGCTGCAACCCTATCACAAATCGTAACAATTTAATAAAACGTAAGTCTTCAACCAAACACCTGCAATGTATTATCTTTTCTTGTACTGACAATCATTCAGAAAATGTTGTCGATTGAATTTTTTTATCACTTGTAAGATAGCGGATTTTTTCGCATTAAAGGTTATTTAATACTGATAGCTGTTTGTTATCCTATGCAATGTTTTCCGCATTCAAAATACAAATGTTTTAATAAGTTAGTTTTTTTCTTATATACTGAACTCCTTTTATATATTTTTCCATTTTTTAAAAAAAATGTTGATGTTTAGGAAAAACTTAAGATAAAAACTTTCCTTTTAGTTCCTTTAACTTCAAGTTGTGTTGAATTTCAGATATTTTTTTGTGTTTAATGTTAAATTTTTTAATTCAAAAAAATATAGACAAGAAGTGTAGGATATTCGGAATTCATAATTTAGAAACGCTACTTTAGTTTGTTTTTTACGAAATGGAATAATTTATTTTGGATTTTAATTCATAAATTGCCTCATTGAAGATTTGTGGATCTATGTTGTTAGAATGATCTATTTACATGTTGTTGAAATGATATACCAGCATACAAAATACAAAAGAATGCATGTATTTTCATAAAAATTTATAAACCTTTCATAGCTTTAATAACTCAACGATAGGGTACAATCGCTTTTTGTTAGTGTATTATTGAAGTGTATTTTGTGTTTGTATGTTTATGTACTTTTTCTTAGAGTATTACGAGCAATTTTATTGAAATAATATTATATCGATACTTCTTTTCAATTGCATCACTTGGTATCGATAGTTATATATACTAATTAGGGTTTAAATATATTTTAGCATAAATATAGGACAATGGGCGGTATTTAATTAAAGTTTTTTACTTCTGTCTTCAACTGTTTATTGGATATTGTCAAACATAATATATTATGTTTTATATTACGATTTTATATTACGATTTTATAAAATCAACGAAACAGAGACATGGCTAATTGAATTTAAAATTTTAATAAACGAAAGAAAGGAATGAAAATAGTACGTTATAGGAACTGTTTACAAAACAAATATTGAAATGCGTGTTGCCAGATGCATAATTATAATACTAATACTAAAACAAACGAATCTGCTTAAGATTAAACTGCACAAACTGTACGCAATGTTAATTGATTGCTCGATTTTCAACAAAACATGTTGTCCTAGGACTAAATTAAACCACAGAGTACAATTGTTTTTTGTGGCTCTCAAACAGTTTGATAAATTTTTAAACACGATGTTTAAAAATTAATCAAATACTACTGCAATTAAAAATTGATGGTTTAATATTTCGTTTCTCCTATTGATACATTAAATCTAGTTTCAACGTGTATAAATTCTTCTCATAAGTAAAGTTTATTTTATTCAAACCATAATAAACTAAATGCAACTTTCGCCATTTTTTTAATTGCATCCCTTCTGTTTGTTAGGAAATCCTTTGCTTGAACCTTTGGCATTTGTCAACCTGATATACTTATGTAAGTACCAAAACTAGAACATGGAGCAAACTAAAACACAAATCAAAATCGATTATGAAGTATTACTCTAGACAACAATAAGCTAAAACTTAAACGAAATATAGTAGCAATGCTGTAAAAGAGGAGAATGCTATTGATCCTTTTTTTGATAGTATCAGTGATATCGATGCTTTTTCGATTTTCTTTCAATACTATGTCACTATATACACGATATCACTTTTTCAGCTTATTTGTTTAGTTATTTTATTTCACGTGTGGCTTTTTTCTAGACTGTTAACTATTAAAAAGCATATTATTTAAGATTACCGTTGCAATGAAAATTAATAATTATAAATTTCAACTATCATATAAAGAAAGAATAAAGATGAAGTTATGAATCAGAGAATCAACGAATCAGTAAATTAGCGAAAGAGTGCCTTAGCGAAGGGAGAAATCAACGACCGAGTGAATCAGTTTATAAATAAATAAAAAGAGTTTATAAACTTTCAAGGAAAGGCAGTCATCGACTTTTTTTAATTTCTTAGGAGAAATGTCTAACCTTTAATTTAATTCCATACTACTTCAGATACGTAAACAAATTACCAAACTACGTAGGGTACGGTAGCGAGAAAAATAAAATAATGAAATTTTCGGATAAAGTTCGTGCTGTTTCTGAAGTGCCAAGACCTACAAATGGGAATGAAGCTTGAAGATTTCTTGGCGTAATCACTTATTACTCACGTTTTCTCCCTGACTTTTCAACAATGTCATACCCTCTTCGCAGATCGTAGAAATAATGTAGATTTCAATGGACATTTTCATGTGAATCAGCATTTATAAAATTGAAAACTGAACTATACTGTAACCGTGTTTTAGTAACATTTGATCCAAATTTGCCTTTTGTGCTGACGTTGGATGCCAGTCCAGTAGGAATTGCTGCGGTTCTAAGCCATGTCGTTAATGAGTAAGAGAAACCTATTAACTATCTGTCTAGATCATTGATATCCTCAGAAATGAACTATAGTCAGTTAGACCGTGAAGATCTAGCAAAAATTTTCACATTTAACAAGTTATACAATTACAACTATGAAAGAAGCTTCACTCTGGTTATGGACTCACTGGAATTTTCGAACATAATCGAGCTTTACAACAAATGACATCACCCAGATCACTTAGTTTGTTCTAAATTTATGAAAATAACAATGATATTATTTAGAGTTTAACTAATGAATCATATAACACAAGAACTAGACTCATGACTCATGCCACAGGGGAAAGTGTTACAGCTTCTGTTGGCCGAAAGTGAACTGGAGCATCAAAGGTAGAAGACTTATTTAGCTCCATAGTTTCACCTGCTGGCATTAGCTGGGCATAATGGAATGGCCTTCACGCCTAGGGTGGCCCTACCAGGAGCTAAGCTCCCGACGTACTTCGCCCATTCCGCCCAGTGGCATCCCCTCGCCACGGTGAGAAAATGCCAACTTGAGATGAGACTTTTCCAATGCCAATGAGACTTTTCTTTCTGGACATTTTTGGACTTATGGAATCGGTCTAATTAGGATGGACCTCTTGGGGATTAGAAACAACAACAACAACAACAACACAACACAAGATACAAGTCAAAATTATTCAATGATTTTATAAATATTTTTATTATTTAAAACAGAGTACTTAGTAATAGCTTTTTTGTGTCAAATATGGCTATAGTAGGGAACATCATAGAAAGATTATTGCTGAAACATAAATATTTCTTAAAGATGAAAAATAAGTAGTTCTAATGAACTATGGACACACCATTGGATTATCACTTTTCCAACCAATGGTTTCATTTTTGTTTTGTTCTTTCAGCCAATCATACAAAGGTCTGAAGTACTCCAAGATTGCAGATGAGTCCATTTTGTCAGTTTTTCCCTTTGTTATCACTTTCATGGCTTCTCTCCAAGATACAGAACTACCCAATTTCAGTGTGTCACTATAATATCAAAATAAAGTTTATTCGCAAATATTCCAATTTATAATTTTGTTGTTGTTGTTGTTATAAGAGTGATGAATTTTACTTCAACATGATCGTTTGAGAAAAACAAGAACAATAATGTGTACCAACGTACCAGTTGAATTAAGAGAATTGAAATAATAGTTATTAATGAATGAAATTAAGAAAAATATCTTTATTTTACTTATTATTTTTAACTCTTCCTTCTCGCTTCCGTCAAAATGACGAGGTGAATTTCACCTTCGATTTTTCGTGCATGTGATATTTCTGGGCTGGAGTGTTAAAACACAACGTTAAAAAAAATTAAATTGTTATATTTCTCATCTATTTCTTATATGCCCAATATCATGTTTATTTCTCAATTTATACCCCAGATGGCAGTAAAAGACTATTACTAATATGCTTAGAGGTAGTTTATTTTAAATTAGATATCAGTATTTCAAACTAAATATTAACTCAAGAATTAAAAATGAATACATATATTGTACATACACTTAGTTTACATAATTGCTAAAAAAGAGAATTCCTACGATTGCTCGTTTACGCTAAATACAGGGTTACTCATGATTCCCTCCGGAATTTCGAAGCGTTATAGTAAAAAAAAACGAAGACGAATATGGCAAAAAAGAATACGTGAAATTATTCCGAAAGTATTCAAGTTTTAATTTAATCAGTTGCCGGTAGATGGCAGTAGCATGTACCACTGAAACCAGTTGTAGTAAAGAAAAATGGCTTTTACAGGCGGAGGGAATTATGAATAACCTTGTGCTTTCGAATTTCTTTGAGCTACTACGACCTTCTAAAACCTTCAGTCATTGAGATCAGAGAAATTATCATTTTGTTTTGAAAAACTATCATATAATAGAACAATTATTTTACGAAATTCTTAAATTGAAACACATGCCACAGAAAGGATAACAATGTATTTAACTTTGTTACGTACTAAGATTAAAATTAAAAATTTCCCTTAATTATAAATTCTATACAGTCATTAATTATTGCTCCTAAACATACATTTAAAAGTGAATTTTAATTATGTTTTAAAATTTAATACAAACTTTCAGTTTCATGTAAGCGATAGGTCTCAAAATAATTTATTTTAAGAAAAATTTAGCTTGAAAAAGGAAACTTTTGACTCAGAAAAGGGAAAGACGTATTCTGTGCTTTTTAATATATATAATAATTACATAAGACTCAATGAGACACCAATGTTAGATGTATGATTTAAGTACATATTATCTTTAGAATAGACTATAAGTTTTTTCGTATGTAAGTACTTTCGTATATAAGTACTTTCGTACTATACATAAATAATTAAAAGTACTTTACACTCACGTTTACAAAAATCAAAATTGAAAATGCTGATTCATATATTGGTGTCATAAAGAAATATTATGTGAACGACGTGATGAGCTAGTGTGCTGTGAAAAGTTTCTATGGTAATAGGAAACTAAATGTAAATTTCGTATTTAATCATTTATTCAATTAAAAAAATTAAGTTAAAAGTTTTGCGACTAATTAATCCCAAGTTAATAATGAATACCTCAATAGTTTTCCAGCTTTCTTATTTTGGTATATATCACATTGATGCAAAGGTCCTTTATGGCCAGCTTCCTCACACAGCGCTTTGTGAAATTGGAATTGGATTACAAAGCTTATGAAATACCTTGAAAGAAAAAGCAACATATGTAAAAAAAATATCATTAAAAAAAGTATTATTTAACGCACAAAAAATATATTTTTTAAAAATATAAAATTTAAAAAAAAATGTACAAAAAATATATTTAAAAAAAATATAGAATTATTACAATATTTAATTAAAATAAGGCCGATTTAATGAAAGTTTAATTTATTAAGTTTTCGTTGTAGGCTAAATGAAGAAGCTTAACTAAAAAATGATTTAAAGCATTTTAAAAAAGGGGGGAAGACAGAATTATTCTGTTTTTGTATTAAGTTACAATGTAGAAACGAAATTAAAAGAATCTTTAATTAAACTTAAAGATTTTGGAAATTAAGAAATACTAGTTTCCTTACGTACCATTTAACCTCGAGATGTGAGAATAAGAGAGGGTGTGAGTCGACGTTCATATTTAGTGTAAATGGCGGAAAAAACTCATATTAAAACGTAAAAAGTTTTTTCACTTCATTAGTTCCAATTTAATTTTAATGTTAAGGCGAAATTGCACAATTTTTTAAGTAAATCTTAAGTTCAGATGTTATGTCAGAAATTTAAGAAAGTTTTTGTTAAAAAAGTGCAAACGTATGTTTTCCTCAGTATTCTAAAAGCTTATTTAGCTTTTAGCTTGAAATGGAACTAAAAAATCGTCTGATTCAAACTACACACTTCTGCTCTTTCGGGTCGCGCAGTGGACTGATCGTTTAGACACGGTTCCCAGCAGATCACCGAAGTCGAGCATCACTGGCTGCGGTCAGTGTGCTGGTGGGTGACCACTTGGATCAGTCTGCGTAGGGACCGAGGGTGTGCGGTATTAGTCCTCGTACTGTGCTACCGTAAAGTGCTCGACTTTGCGTGCAGGTCGTCGGGCTACTGAAGCGGGGGTTGCATCCCCTCTGCAGAGGATCAAAATTGTGATGGCATGTCTTCGGATCATCCTCAGGGATTTTTCCCAGACCGTCGCCAATAGCCCATTGTGCAGCTCTAGTGTGACGTAAATGAACTACAACAACAACAACAACAAATCTGCTTTCGGACTGAAAACAAAGGGGCGCGGCCTAATTGAAACATATTTTGATGAAAAATGGTTCGATTTAAAATTTTTTTTTGTTTGAAATCTTATTGCGTCTGTTTTTTTTTTAAAAGTCAAAGTCGAAAAATCGAAATTTTTGTCACTTTTTACCAATTTGAATGTCCTCTGCACCCTTAATAATTTGCAACAAGAATAAAAGATATACTAATTAACCCATTCCATCTACTCTCACCTTTCTTACCTTTCGTAAAAGTTATTCACGTTGAAATAATTCTGAAATAAACAATAATATTCTTAACTCACTTTTTTTCACTCATAAATACACTTTCGCTAAAATTGTGTCACTTTGCATTCGATTAATGTTGATACAACATTGGGCAAAATTCATTTTTTTGAAGCAATCTTTAACCTTAAGCAAATAATCTCAAGAAAGAAAAGCGGAGCCGTAGTAGCTCATGGGACAGAGCGCTCATCTCCCGATGAGGTGAACCGAGTTTGAATCTCAGCGATGGCTGGTCGAAACGAATTCCGCACCTAGATCGCGCGGCTCTCAGCGCTGACGTAAAATATCCTCAGGGGAAGACGGAAGATTGGTTAGAGTTTACTTGTCGCCAGGCTAACCGTAACAGGTTTTCGCGGTTTTCCTTTTCCGTGTAACTCAAATGCGGGTTAGTTCCATCAAACAGTCCTCCAAGGGCAAATCTCTCCTAATACTTAATAAAGAAGTTCCCTTATTTCCTGGATTAGATTCAAAATTACAAGGCTATGAGGTTGAACATTGACAGTCGTAAGCCCGAAATTGGATCGACAATCCAACGACGGTTATAAAAAAGGAAAGAAAAGCCGTAAGACATTATCTGATTGAAAGCTACATTAGCTTCAAAAATATCCTGATGAAAATAAAAGTCGACATGTTTCAAACACTAAAAAATAAGTACCCATTCTCCAGACTTGCCAGACGTGAACGAAAAGGTACAATAGTGATTAGAAATATAAAATGTAAGACAAGCCTTGAGAATGGGTGCCTATTTTTGAGCATTTGAAATATGTCGATTTTTATTTCCATCTACGTACCATCTACGTAATTTTAATATTTATTTAAAATAAATTACATAAACTAATATTTAAATACCCCGCGGAATTTGAGCGATGTTTAAAAATCACTGAAACCAAAGTTGAACGTGGCGGAATTTGAATAATTTGCAATCTAATGACCGATTAGTAATTTTAAATTACCTGATGTAAGGAACATTTGACGGAATATGATACTTTGCTGCAGGATCCAAATCTTTTTCCGTTCTTAAAAGAGGAGGACAGACACCTTGGTATTTAAGCCTGTAACACAAATACGAAGTCAAATAAATAAAATGTTTTAACAATTATTAATTCAATTCTAATGGTATCCTGTATAACATCACAGCACTTTTTGTAACAATTATTTGGAACATTGGAAATCTAACCTAAGACTGGAGATGAAATAGGCATACAATGTGATCCACATTACTTGGTCTCAGACTCATTGCTTTCGAAATTTAACATAGGGGGCGAGTAGTTTTCGACCATGTCAACCGTCATCTATGAAAAGGTACCCCATTATAGAATCGAGTTAACACGCCTTATATACTAGTGAATTGGAATTGTATTTTTGTAGTGGTAGATACCCTACAGTTCTCCCCCACCAGAATTATATCTGTGATAGAATTCGATGAATGGATACCACTAGTTGATTCATTGCAGTTTTGTGAGAAGCTGTATTAAGTTCACCGTATTTTTGATGATCGTGAGAGCTGTATTAAGTTCACGGTCGTGGTTGCTCCTATGTTGCCTTCAGCAGTCGAGTGTGTCGGCCGACGTTGTGTTTAATCGAGACAGAGTAGCAACAGGGCGAGGAGGTGGATAATGTCGCAGTCACAAGTAGCAAGCCAACTGTTCAATGTGGACCATCCATCGAAGTAGGCGTTTTCAAATCGAAGTGGGCGTTACTGTCAAAGTAGGCGTGTTCGCGTCACGTCCACCAATGTGGGGATAGGAGCTATCGACAATGTCAACCGTCATCTATGAAAAGGTACCCCATCACAGAATCGAGTTAACACGTTTTATATACTAGTGAATTGGAATTGTATTTTTGTAGTGGTAGATACCCTACAATAGCAATTACAATATGAGTAAATGAGTTTCGTAATATGTTTTTCGAAAAATTTAGAGAGTCCCTGTATTTCGTTTTTCGCCCTTTGCTCTGCAAATATATTAGTTAATCTCGCGTTAAAAAAAGCAAAATCAATGAATAACGGAATAAATAAAAGAATAAATAAATGAATGAATGATAAGTTTTAGTTTTAAAACTAAACATTTAACATTTAACGTAAATATCACAAATGGAGAACTAAGATTCTCATAATTAAAACTACTAAAAATTATATACGTTTATGCAAAACGTAAAAAAGTTATACGTTTTTATGTTTCCAGGTGGTGTGTGTTTTGCAAAGTCGTTATAAGAAAGTCCCTTTATTTAGTTTTTCGCCCTTTGCTCAGCAAATGTATTCGATAATATCGAGCTAAAAAAGCAAAATAAATAAATGAATGAATGAATAAATAAAAATTTATTAATTTTGAACACGCATGGGATTGAATTACCAGTTTTCGAGTTCAGTTCTCTAAAAAGAACACTGAAATAATATCGATTCCTTACTACGCTCATGTCATTTTTACACCATTAATCAGAAATCAATACCGATAGCAGCCCCAACATTCTAAAGGTGGGTCGGATGACTGTATCGCATATTGTGTATAATTATTTAAACATATCGGTTTGGTAGTATTTTAAATAAGTGTTAAGACGTGCTAAATATGAATGCGTTTAGAATAGAACAGCACATCGAAATCTGATTTAACAGGTATTCATGATTTGGACTTTCGTTGTTGAATAGTGGCTGTTTAGTGCAACTTCACTCTAATGTTGACGACTCAGAAAAAAAATGGAGTAAAAAGTTTCGAGAATAATTCAACAGCTACATCAGAATCGTTATCTGCAGCACTTAGAGTAAAGAACCAGCATTAGCACGACTTTACATTCATTTTAAATGTCCTCATATGATCTGCATAATCAGTTAACATAATCTGTGGTCCAATTTTACTATCTTTCTTATCAGTACTGAATGTTAGCCTTGCTATAGCTATTGTATTTCTGACGCTATCACACTTGTCCACTTTTAATTTGTGTAAACCTTTATCCTAACAGGTTTTGAAATTACTCTAAGCATAGAGCTACTACTGTTGTTTTACTCAAATAAGGAATGCAGAAAATAAACTGAATTACAATGATAGAAAAGTGCTTAAATATACCTCATTTCCCACCAAGCTTTGTTAAGTTCGGTTGTTTTTATTGAGCCATCAAACACTTTCCATCGCCACTTGTCAATCAAGAAACCAAAAGGTACGAATGCTATTTTGTCAAGAGCCATGTCTAGGAGGTTATTGATTTCAGTCTCTGAAATTGTTCAAAACACATCCATGAATTTGTTTATGGGGTATGTTAAAAAATATTTTACATGAGAAGTTTTGTAACTTTACTGCAAAAAATATATGGTCAAAACTACTAGAATATGGTAAAATTTATCGTGTATCTGGCTCTATGAGAATACTAAACTGCGCCGCTTTGGTGAGGACTTTGGCAAGGACCAAAGGCGCTTTTGGTAAAATTAACAATAAAATATGGTTTTATTACCATGCTATCTGGTAGTAAATGTCGTAAAATTTAGTAATTGTATCATGATACATTAGAGAATAGCATAAAGACCATTTATTTTGCGAAATGTGTTCTTCAGTTTAGCATTTTTAATAAATCTGTGGTAATAAAACTACAATTTCAAGAGGCAATCTTTAAATCGTTTTATATTATTTCATTGGCTAATTCTCTTTATTAATTCATTATTCAGAATGAAATCCGCTCACATAATTATTAATTCACATCCTGATTTAAAAACAGTATAAATATATATATACAGGGTGTCCCAAAACGACCGCATAAACTCTGCACAGCTAGATTCCTCGTTGGGAGTACATAAAAACTGCCCAACGAAGCGTTCCTGTATGATTCATAGTTTACGAGAAAAATACGAAAAACAAAGTATGACGTCACTGCCGGTGCAAGAAAAAACACTTTATTGAACTTATCAACAGCAGTATACTAGGCACAATTTAAAGCAGATGTTCAAAGTGTCCACCGTGCATGTCGAGGCAGGCTTGAGCACGCCGTGGATATGTCCAATAAAGAGTTTTTTTCTTGCACCAGCAGTGACGCCATACTTCGTTTTTCGTATTTTTCTCGTAAACTATGAATCATACAGGAACGCTTCTTTGGGCAGTTTTTATGTACTCCCAACGAGGAATCCAGCTGTGCAGAGTTTATGTGGTCGTTTTGAGACACCCTGTATATATTAGAATTAGTGATGTCACAATTACATGTTTTCTTTATCATTTTTGTCACAATTGAACTTCTTCCTCCAAGCGACGATTGTGCCTTCTGATTATTTTTGTACACCCGATTTTTTCTAAACGTGCTATTGTTTGATTTACTGTGTGTTTTACTGATTGATGCAAGGTATAAAAGTAACTTTTGGATAGTTAAATAAAAAGCTTGTAAGAATACGTTTATCATGAGAAGCATTCTTGAGGAGTCCTATTTTTTCCATGTGATCTGGGGTAGCAACTGATAGAGCTAGTACATCCCCCACTGCTTCATGGAAGCCTGGAAAATTAAATATTATAATTGTTTGTTATTATATTATTAATATATTGTATTTAAAATTAACATTTGTTGTTAATTTTTTTTAACATGAGTTTAAAATTTTATTAAGCGAGCATACAGGTGCAATTAGAAAAATTATCGTTATTTTTATTCCAACATTTTCAAAGTAGACCAGCAAAAAGTAGTAAAAAGCTTCATTACGTATATAAATATTGTTTGTTTAGATATTACATGCAATGCCATGCATTTCAATCAATTAATAACATTTAAATTGTAAAATAAGTGAATTTTAGGAAGAATATTTTTATAAACGCACCTTATTGATAAATTATTATAAAAAAATATATATTTAATAAAGAGAAACATTTTACTAAATAAGCCAATAGTTTAATTTTGATTTTCAATACAATGTAATCTATAAATATAGTTTTTATATTAATGTACATGGAATATTTGAATTATAAGGCGGAAANAAGTTATTCAGGGTGATTCGTTATTTTTTTTGCGGACTGTACATGGAATATTTGAATTATAAGGCGGAAAAATTTAAATCGATTTTTTTAAGTTATTGCTACCCTCCCTTATATATTAGAAACCAAAAATCAGAATTCATGTAATAAGGGTATAAGGTTTTTAAAGTTATGCATGTCATAAGATAATTTGTATATTAGTTTTTAACTAAAACCATCACCTTCCCCAATCATTAGTTCAAATTTGAAGTTACAGTAAATTTGTTGCTTTTTAAGCTAACGAATATCCGATGATTAGATCCAAAACTGATAAGGAGGTATTGTTTCTTGACTTATTTCACGAATTTTTTCAGAACTTTTTTTAAAGTATTATTATTTTTTTAAAGTTCTTCAATTAATTATCTTGCAAAATACATTACCTGAATTGGCGCCTTTTTTAAAAACAACTGGCTGATTCATGTACTGTAAGTAATATTCAACATGCCCCATTTCATGGTGTACTGTAATTAAATCTTCCATGTCTACTCTGGTACACATTTTTATTCTGTTAATACAAGGAAAATTGTTTATGTGAACCATTATTTATTTAAGTAAAAAAAAAGATAAAACATCTGTGGTTTTTAGGGGTAAATAAATTGCTTTTACGAGGAAAAGTAGATGGATATAGTTATTTATATATATAATGCTTGTAATTTTGATTTATTTTTTAACGAAGAAATGTATATCCAAAATAAGTATAAAACGTTTGCGTTTTTTTAAAGAACTTTTCCTTTTTAAAAAACGTTTGACTCGTAATTTAAACTTTGGACCACTCTCCTGAATAAACTATTAAGACCATATTTCCCTGATTGCGGGGGTCAAAAATCTGAATCCGACGAAAAATGGAATGTTTATTTAGAGAAAGCACGTTTGTGTCTGATTTCGTAACTTAAAATATCGTATGCACTAATAAATTAGCCTATTTAAGGTAATCTTCTCAAACCAGATTGAGACCTAGAACGTGAAGATACGATCATTAGATCAAAAGCTATTCAGGGTGGTTCATCTCAAATTTTGCTGTTTCCCCCCCCCCCTTATGTAATATTAATTTTACATATTTTTTAGAACAAATAAATGTCTAGGATTTTTTTAATAATTCTTTTTATAGCTTATAATAAATTAAACAACTAAATAAGTTTATAAAATGAATCAATCAGTGCTAAAAATGCATGTCCATGGTATGATAAAAAATATGCAGTATATATTTGGAGGTTTGTTAGTTGAAAACTACGATATCAAAATGTACTAAATAATTCATACGTTTATTTCATCGTAGTGGAATAAACCGTAAATGAATATTTAAATGAATACAAAAGAAAAAATTTAATAAAAAAATAATTATTTTAGAAAATTATCTGAGAATTTTGAATGAAATTAATTAAAAAAAAATAAAAGTAAATTTTATGAAAAAAAAAATTTGTTGCAAAAATTGCTTAATCTGATGCAGATTTTTTTAAATATAAGTGAAGCGTATTTCCAAATTTCTTACTCTAATTCTAAATTCCTTTTCATTTTTTGCAAAAAGAAAAATAAATAAAAAAAACCAAGTTATTGTTTGTTTATGAATTATATCTATAATCGAAGATATTTTCATTAAAGTGTAAAAAAAAAAATCAGGTTCTACACATTTGAGAAATGAATTTTAGTAAGTTTTTTTTGTTGTAGTTTTCTAAAGTGATAACATAACAAATAACTTCCATTATGATTAAAAAACTCTCAACTTTACCTGACGTCACCCTTATTGAAGAAGTTCCACGCAGATGCATGACACACCATGTCTCTGTCGGTCGGCTTTTCAATGATTGATTTTTTCCAGAATTCTGCAGGCATTGGTATCAAACCAAGTGAGGTGAAGAATTCTTCAGAAATTTCAAACATATCTCGTGCATTCATTTTCTAAGTGTAAAATTAGATAAAAGGAAATGTAAGAAGCAGTTGCAAATGTTTATTACAAATCTTCGTATAAGCGTCGCCCTCTGTGTGAATATTAGTGATTAAAAGTTCAGTTTCGCTTCTATCTGAATAAAAAATTAAAAATTATTAAAAAATTAAGAACGTGTTGAATGATAATATAGTTCTATGTTTCTGCAATTTTAATATGAGCCCAAGTTGAAACTGTATGACACTAAAAACTGTGTTACTTTAAGACATAAAAAATACCCTTTAAAAGGAAAATATGTGTTTTTGTATATTATTGACTGAAATTTGTAATTATGTTTTGTTTACCATGTGCTACATTCCATAAAATTTACATTTTAGCTTGGCAATTTTACACATTCTAACTGCATACAATAACAGTTCACTGACAAAGGAAAGACGCTTTCATTAAGAGTGGAACCGTTGCCTACTTGACGATTTTCGTGATAATTTTGGTGACTTCCCGAAGTTTCTAAGCTCGAGATTCATCAGGAAGCAAAATATCCAGGAATTCACTATTACCTTAGTGTTTTTCTTTCTTTTTTTCTTCTCCATTTTGGTTTTGATACATGAAACAAGCAGGATTTTGTTTGTACGTAATTTAATCTAAAAGTCAGGAAAAGCGTTTAAATTTAATTAAAGTGCTGCTCATTTTTTTTAATACTTGTCTATACGATTGGAGTTCCTCTAGTACGGAAACAGGGTTCAGTTTACTTCTTTTTAAGTTTAAAGCAAGTTCGAACGGTAGTATGGTTACAGGTACTAATATTACAAAACAACAATCACCAATATTTCTGAAGAATACATAGGCAAATTTCGTTAAATTATTCCTTAAGTGAATGGAGAGTTTTGTAGCCAAATTTTGAAATTTCCTTTTCTATGTGCTGCTTTAAAAAAACATTTTTTTTACTAAATGCGTGACTATTTTTATTACTGGCAAATTCCTTAACTTTTAAATGAAATAATATTATCCTATAATCAAATTTATGATCGATCAGTTTGCTATATGATGTAATAAAATTTGGCCTCCTATTAAGGTTTCAATAAATTTGCATGAATGTTCAACGAAAGTGTAGTAATTATTTGAAATTGAAGATTTTAGATACCTTTTCTTTCATGGCGCCAGTAATGTCAACAGCTTTCTTGCTTGGATATGGAGCAACAAGTTTATAAATGTTTCCCCAAGTTTGAGCCCACATATTTCCTATTAAAATATATATTTAAATTTTATTTATTGATTTGATGAGTTTATACTGGGTGTAAAAAAAGTTTAGAAGCTGTCAAATATCTCGAGAAACATACATCGGATCGAAAAAGTGAAGGTAGTCACATTCAATATTTTTTAAAAACTATTCAATGATAACAAACTCGAGCTTCACACTTTACCCTGAGGGCGGGACGGGGGGCAATTTTGAAATTTTGAATATGAACCCCATTTTTATTACAGATTCGAATTATCGAGAAAAAAAGTAGCCGTATTTGAATTGTGGGTTTATGCATTTTGCTTCTCAGATAAATAAACCAAGAAAAATTAAATAGGTAGAAGCTGTTTAAAATGGTGAATCTCGAGGCCCATCAGATTAAGAAGATAAAAATAGACAGGTTGAAAAAACTTTTTTAATCATTTTTTTTCGAATAAAAAAAGAACTGAAACATTTTAAGATTAATTTATTTTTATTTTCAATCTGTTAGGTATCGAGTTACCCACATTTTGAACAGTTTGCATCCCTTTTAAAATTCTCGGTTACAGCACCATCTGCGACGCAAGATGCTTAAATCTGTAACTCAAATAGGGTTATTTTTTCTGGAGAATCCAAATCTGCACTAAAAAATATGGGTTTATATTAAGTATTTCAAAGCTGCCCTTTTCCTCTACCCCGGGGATAAGGGTGAAAGAATGAGTTTGGTATCATTGGACAGCTTATAAAAAAATTGAATGTATTTGTATCACTTTTCAATCCGATGTATATTTCTCCAGATATTTGACCATTTCCAAGCTTTTTTACACGCTGTATAAATTTAGGCAAGTCATAATTGAAACAGTACACACTTAAAAATATTTCTCAAGAATATATTCACAAGATTCAATTATTTAATTATTGAATGAAAAGAATTTTACCCAGTAAATGAGCTGGAATCGGACCATCATGCTTGATATTGTTTCCTCCATACTTTTTAATTAGTTTTTGTCGCACATAAGCGTGAAGTTGTTCGTAAAATGGTTTGATTGTTTTCCACAGTTGATCGAACTCGTCTGTGATATTGTCACTTTCAAACTCTTCTCGCCACATTTCGCCAGCATCAGAAAAACCTAATAACAGTTTATTTTGATTGAAATAAGTGATACTATAAAAATGGGAAGTGACATACAAGTTGTTCTGAAATGATCACACCTCATAGTTTTAGAAATCTTTTAAATTAAGTAAATAAGTACACACATTAGCTGTCGCAAATTAATATTTAAGTTAAGAAGAAGCAGAAACGCTATTAAAATCCGCCGTATTACTAGGAAAGAAAGAAAAACAAATTTTTTGAAGTTATACTTCTTATGCGACTTCCAACAATGTTGTGTTAAACGTTTAACGCTACATTTTTATTGGCCGGGAAATCACGTGGTAGGATCCAGTTTTCCCTCATTCATTTCCATATTGTTTTGGTTCTCACTAGCATAAAAATAATAAAAGTCATAAAAGTATTGTTTTTCTATAAATATTTTTTTAGTTTGTTTTGATACACATATACTTCAATAGGGTAGTATTTTTTATTTTCAAATTTAGTGGATAACAATTGTAAAAAATGAGTGAAGACAATCCCACGGACAATGCGACGGATTTAAGGTTATGCCAAGGTACGTCTCTTGTGAATATCAATTGATTGTTAGGTTTTCTCTTCTGAAATTACATTAATGACGCATTCACATACATTATTAATACAAATACATTTTCCAGGGCGAGACGATGAGGCAACCACAAGCACTTCCACTGGTTCAAGAGGGAAAAATGCGCAATATTACCGTGATTACAGAGCACGGAAGCGAGCGGTGCAGGAAAAAGAGTCGTTGAATAGAACTAGTGATCCTTCTACGACTGCTGATTCTTCTACAATTAACGTCGCAGGTTGCAAAGTTTAACTTCTTCCGCGCGGAGAGACACCACGCACTATTCTTTTTAAAAAATTTTTAATGGCAAGATTTTAAAAAACAGCTGCAGCAAAAAATGTAAAGAACCATATAGAGAACAAACATAGGGAAAAAAACATAATGAGAAAAAAAAAAACATGGAGAACGAGATGGAAGCAATGTAGTGATAGTTCATAAATCCAAAAGGCCCCTGGTGTCCCAGTAAGGTCCCCAAGAATACATTTGGTAAAAGCTCAACAAATAATAAGATGGTTACCACACACGAAACAGTCTCAGATTACAGAGACTGCAGATAGGGCTTGAAATAATGCAGCAACGGTGCAGATGTTTCGGGAAACAGTCATGGCCTGTGGCGAGCTTGAACACAGTGGCCAGTTTATGGTGGATGATTTTAAACTCGCCAATAGCCTAGGGCTATTTTGAAACTACGGAAAATTCAAAGGAAAAATCTGGTAGCAAAACCATTTTGGTTCTGAGATAAAACTTGGAGGTGTTTCCAAAGCTTTAAACTCCTCTCTCTATCATCAGCAATCAAACAGGTTTTTATATTTTTCGGCTCTTCAGTACGCCGCTTTCAGGTATCTTAGCAAATCTGATCCAAAAATTGATTTAACGTGATAACTAACTCAAGTCTTAGAGCTGTAACGTTAACACGCTATGTTCAACCACGTGACCAGACACAGCATGTGATTGGTTGCCAGTAGTTCCCAATTAGGATTGTAAATATTTCGCGATTCAGTTTTTGTTTCCAATTCAATTTCGAAATTGCACTGGACGAAAGAATTTGTTATTCTATGCATGTAGAAGGGAATAGATGTTTGAATTGGACGTATGTTATGGCATGTAATGTAAAATACGAAGCCCCTTTGTTCAAGAATAAGATAAAATTACCTTTAAGAATCGAAAATAATAATTTGTTTACCATTCTTGCAAGCGGCTTCATTAGATAAATCCACATATCTAAGGAAGCTTTTTTTCATTTTTCTTCCTGTCTCGTCTCGCCACTGTGACCAAACATGCTTCAGCTCGTAATAGTTGTCGGATTCCTTCAGAATTTCTGTTAATTCTAAAATTATAAAGGGACACATAGTTATAAGATTAAAAACATAAGATTTATTATTAATCTCCAAAATATTAAACTCAATAGCGCAACAGTCTATAGAGGGCCAAGGCCTTGACTTTGGGCTTTGGCGTGCAGTAGCAGATGTACCGGTCGCGTGGTCAGCCGAACGAGAAATAAATTTATTATTATTATTTTTACTTTTGGCTGGAAAACAAAATGCAGGAAACAGAAGTAAAACAAGTATTTTATACTTATAAAAAAGTTTAAATCAATTCCTGCTCAGGTTAACAAGGAATATTTTTTTATTTTAGTTACTTTTTATTAAATTATTGCAATTTTTCCTCCCATATAAAACTAAAATTAATTAATTAAATTTAATTAATGAATTAACATTTGAAAAAGTGGTATTAACATCAAGTTTCAGCCACTACAAGTTTAAAAAAATGTATTTGAACTTGAATGGCTGAATAAAAAGTATTTTATTAACGATTGCAAATATCAACAAATAGAGCTATAAGTTAGAAATTATTACTGATGTTATTTTTAAAATATGTGAAAAACCGAATCGCTTATAGTAAAATCTAATATATATAATTCTCTTACGTGGCTCCCAAATTTTGGTTGTATTTCATTTCCGCCGGTGGTAACGTTTCTTTGCTTTGTTTACGTTACTATTTCTCTTAGATGGCGAATCGACCAATGATTGCCGCTAAAAATGTCACATGTCAAATCTAGTTGAGGTGGTCAACATATAGCGCTTTTAAAAACGGAGACTGAAATAACCAGAGAGCATCAGCTGCGGCAATCTCATACTATTAAGCTAGCCAGAAGTAAGTAGTCTTTGTCGATAGATCTCTATTTTAGTATTTTGTCGAAAGCGCTTTTTTTTCACGAATTTATATATTACGAATTTATTTGACGATTTTTGATTTATATCACGAATTATACTATAGCACATTTCTAATAGGTTTAACGAATTACATGTCATTTATTTGAATTCAAATTTATTTTAATAACTTAGTATTTGCTAAAATGATGTAATTTTTTTTTAAAAAAAAGGTTTTTATATGGATTTGAATGATTGTTTTGAATTCGTAGAATTTTGTGCATTTGCAATGTACCTAAGTTAGTAGCGAGCGAAGCGAGCTTGGTTTGCGAAGCAAACCATATAAGATTGCGTTGCAATTTTTGGGGGTTGGCGAGCGTTAGCGAGCAGGGAGCGCAGCCTACTTGTTTAAAATAATGACTAATGCTTAACCAATTAGAAAATTCCATTTCGCGTCTCGTTTCGTTTTTGGCATTTAGCATTCAACATCCTCGACTTTGGCATTTAGCATAACATCCTCGACTGCTTGGGGCTCGCTCTTGCGGACATCCGTGATAGCCCACTTCTGGTGCTTGATTTTGCTAGGGTCCACGGTCTCTTGGATTTGATCTAGCTGTCGCCAGATCCTGAAGGATTGGACACAACAACAACAACAGCATTCAACAATTTTCTAAAAAATTGGTTTCGCAATTAAATTGAAATTTCCAAAAAATTGCAAATGTTTTCTTAACTAATTGTTTAAAACTATTATAAATAAATAAATAAAATGAAAAAAAGTGAAAAAATTTCCGGCAATCTTGAATTATAGATTGCCAAGTTCATTCAAGAGAGTTAAAAATGAATAAAATCCTAGCTTATGACGAATTATTGGTGATGGACGATAAGTTTTATCGACTTATTTTTTCCTATTCCTCTTCGGGAAAAGTACTTAGGGTAAAGAAGGAGATTGTGAATTAAAGAGCGAAAAGGTGATTTAGTGCTTTCAATATTGTAGCAAAGTTCTGTAGTAACAGTTGAAAGTTTCAGAGAAATTTACCGCCGTTTTTAATTAAGAACAGAATATACATTTTATCTACATATACTTTAAATAAATAAATGAAAACTTTTTTCAATATTTTTAAAACTTATCTTTATAAGATAGAACTTATCACCTGGTTCTATTGATAAAGTGCATGGATCTAAAAGAGATGACAAATAACTGCAAACTTTCGCTTTTGCGTACACATCTTGCATGTCAGCAATTATGTTATTCAGCTACAACAGACAGAAAAGTGATAAGATAAAGAGGATGTAATTATTTAGGTTTTTGAAATCTTATCGATTTTTTTTATGCCATCGCACATACTTACTTAGTTAAATTCTTTGTTTATTGCTTAAAATTGAGGTTTAGTAATATTATTTAATATAGATAAATAAGAACATCTCTTAACATAGCAAATACTTCTGCAAGAATGAATGAATAAAAACAACTTTTAGCATTATAATTTTTCTTAAACATATTGATATTTTAAGGTTATAGCTTCACCAATTTATGAGAATAAATGTCTAAGGTAAAGCATAACGCATGTTTTAATTGTAATTTCCATTCATTTGCACAAATAAAGCGTTACATAACGCGCCCAGAAAAAAAATACTAAAAACTACAACAGTATAAAGCTTCAGTGGTTTTTATAATTAAAAAAGATTCCTAACCGTTTCATAGAAGTAGCTGAAAAGAAAGGCATTAAAATACCAAAAAAATAAAAAAAGAAATTGAATAAATGATAAACTAATAAAATAAACATGTAAATAAAATAAACAAATAAAATGAATTAAATAAACAACGTAGTTAATTAAATGAAAGTAAAAACACGTTAATACTAAATAGGGCCCAAAACTTGGGAATTTCACAAAACTTTTTACTAGTAACACTCGAATTAATGCAAATTATTAAAATTAAATCATGAAGCCTGAAAACTATTTTACATCTCACTAAGTCATTCTATAGAAGGACAAATTCTCATTAAGCAAAGCATTTGTTGTTTTGTAGAATGTTAGATTTTATACATTGACAATAACATATGTAATTAGAACCCCCCCCCCAAATTATAGCAAGCACTTTACACTTTTTTGATATTTGATAATAGTTTAGGTTGTATTGCTAACATTAAAAAATATTTGGACCAATGCAAGGTTGAAAAACAAAACAGAACGCTATTAAGTTATCATTTTCAGCATAAAATGAATAGCATTTAAAAAAAAATGAACTGAAACTGTCGCTTTAATTTGAGGAAATTATATCAGATAATTAATTGAAGTAAACATATTAAAACAGTAAACATATTACTAAAGCAGTAAACATATCACTAAGGAATTCTTAAACTATAAAGTTTTAACTTGAAGTCAATTGATGAAGATTTGTTTGAATTATAATTTCGGAAAAAATGCTTCTGAAGTTTCCTGGGCAAAGGCAGAAGTGAACTGAAGAGATAGTGAAAACATTTAAAATTCGAGTACTTATTTTTACTTTTTTGTACTTTTTTTTTTCAAAATTTGAGTAGATATTTTTTTTACTAAATTTTGTGTTATTATTTTAAGTTAAGGCCTATTTTAAGCAAAGACAGAGAAAAATAATTTTCCCTAAATCCTGGCTTGGCCTAATAGCTTAAACTCTGTTACATATCTATTCCAGAAAGCTTTTACTGCTTTTCAAATTCACCTCATTGAACTTATTTTCAGATAGAGCAGCTGGTCCTAAGACAGATAATACTCTGAACCATCTGTAAGCTGTTTCGTTTTTTCCTTTGAAGTTCTTCCATGCGAATGAAGTGGCATTTTTCCAGGTTTGCTTGGCAAATTTCGCCCTCTCTTCTGTCATTCGCAACTAATAAGAGAAAATAAAATAATGAAACAAAATATTTTTGAGAGCCATAATAAAATATATCAAACTCATGTCACAAAATTTCTCCTTAGGCTTAAAGATATTGGCGATCTATTCAAAATAAGAACAGAAACAAATACATAAATATGCATATTTTTTTATAATCAAGTTCTTATCAAATATATAGGTAAATATGTAGGTTGTATAGTAGGTGCATAACTTAAATTCTTCTTCTTAAATACTACATGCATGCATACCACACACACAACTCTCTCAAATTTTCTAGTAACTCTATACATCGATTATTTTTTGAGCCTACAGGGTGAACCATAGTCGCTTTGAATTTATTTATTTTTAGAATCCTTTTTAAAAAGTTTGCACCATAGAGCAGAAAAGTGCACACATTAGATGTCAGAAATTAATATTTGAGAGAGGAAGAAGAAAAAGCGTTATCAAAATTTATCGAATTACTACTTAATTACTTTAAAACCTGTTTAGTTGTCTGCTAAACTGGGAATTGAATCAATGATGACACTCTGTTTCTTCAGATATCCCACTTTCTTTACTAGTAATTCGATAGATTCACGATCAGAAATTCCCTTTTGACGATTCCCTAATTTCCCATCAGAATTTCAGATCACTTCAGATTTTCACTTACTTTTGACGATTTAGCAATCCTTGAACAGTATTTTGTTAATATTGAGAATAATTTCGTTATGAAAAGTGAAATCTCGAATTTATGAAGAAATCTCGAAATTCTTTCCTCGGTTTTTGACGAAAATTACATCATCGCAAGTGCATTGGGGGAGATTGTTAACCTGAATGATGAAACAAGAACAAAGGCTAGATGATCAAAAATAAAGTGACGGGACAAGCCGATAGCTCTATATGGTGGTTAAGGAGTTGACCTCGTACTGAGAAGATCACGGGTTCGAATCCCACTTTGGTCATGGGTGTAATTTATCTCTCCGTTCTATTTGTTCTTCCTCTGGTGTTGGGTGACATTGTGATTCGCCATCAAGTGATTTTTAGAAAAGTTGGATACATTAGGCACAACGAGATTTTTCTTTGTTGAAAAAGCTGGAATAACGAAATATTTTTCAAATTTAGACCAAATTTGCTTCCTCCAAAAAGTGTTATTTCGTCACTTTGCCTAAATTTTTAGTTCTGAGCATATACCAGGAAACGGTTTCGTCAGAAACTGCGAAAATTTTGTGAAATTTGAGTATCCATTTTTTTTAGTGTTTGGATAGCGTTTTCTTCCTTTCTGCCTTAAATATTAATTTGTAACACCTAATGAGTATACCTTTCCTTTGATTTCATTTTTGAATAGGGTTCTAAAGATATAAATTAAGAGCGGTCAGCACTTTGTGTTCAATACGTTATGAAAAAGTGCTATTGCAAAACACTCTCCGATGAGGTATCTATAATTACATATTGAGCAAATAATAACAATAAGCGAAGAATTCGTTGTTCCAAAAAAAGGAAGAATCTATAAAAGAGCGAACACCTTTAATTTATTTCAAATATTGACTTACAACAAAAGTCATAAATTTGTTTTCATAGTAATTTTCATAATATTTGGAAGTATATTAATTTCATAAAAAAGTACGAAATATAATACTTACATATTCTTTCTTATTCGCTTCGGTCAGATTACTCTGGTAGTTCCATGATGCTATTGCAGCTCGATTATAAATCTTTTCTGCCAAACGATCGTTATTCTGAAGAAATCGAAGAGCTTCTTCCAAGTCTGTGTTGTCACCGCTTACGTATTTGTCTTGCTTACTTAGACAGGCTGCCGATGTAGTTGCTGCGAGGGAGAAAACATGCAGAAAAAGCAGTGGCAATATCATGATGAAGATCTTGGTTCCTAATGTCTACAATTTTTCAACCGTTGTTTCATCCAAATCAGTTTGAGGTATACTTCTGTAGAAAAATGTCATTATATTTCAATACGTATAAACAGAAAAAGAATACGTAAATGAAATGTTAATGAAGATGTGGTGAGATGGAAATATGTCAAAACATTGCTTTTGGTAAAATACGATGCTTGCCATTAACGCTTCATTTCTGCTTAGTTTGATTCATATCTTCTTTGCACACGACAGATCAAGTCTCATTAATAAATTTTTATACATGTACGTTTAAACGTTTATACTTATTTCCAGCCTTTTGCTTGATATTTCTGTTTTTAATCCTTGTTAATTGTTAAACTTGTTAGAAAAAATATAACGTGGGCCGATCTACAGGAAAAAAATATGCTACTAATGAGTTAAAGTTAGTTTTGCTGAAAGCACCATATTTGAATTTTGAACTCGACACAGAGTTTTTTTTCGGAATTCAAATTTGTATGAAAGTTATTGCCATTTTAAGTGCTTTTTGGGAATTTTCCTCAATTAATTTTGCTTAACTTTATATTTTGCTTTGTTGCACACAATTATATAAGACTTGAAATTACGAAGGAGTTCTTAAAAATGTAGAATGAAATAAAAAAATACGCTTCGATTATCAGTGCGAAAATTATTAACTGNAAAAAAAAAAAAAAAAGAAAAAGGAAAAAGAACCATGTTAACCGATGTACTGTCTGCTGAAATGCAACTATAGAGTAGAAATTTGACGTGCTGATCGGTTCATTTTCAATTATATTTTTAACGAAGATTTTTAAGATTCCTATTTATTGCTATTTAAGTGTTTTTTGCAATTTTTTCTTTAAATAACAATTATTCATCCATTGTTGTTGAAAAAATTATTTCTCTCACATTGTTTATTGTGTCACATATTCAGTATTACTTAGTTCCGTTTTCGTATTCTGTATTACTAACTCTTTGCATATACATTTGATTATTTTACAAATCAAGCTTACGATTAACACATTAATAAAATGTGCTTGCATAAAATTATAAGAATTATGTAATTTCTAAACAAAGTAATCCTTTTTCTTATCGACTTCATAAAAAATCTGGTTACATAAAACGGTTTATGTCTATTGAAGCCGATTCTGAAAACAAAAGAACGAAAATAGAACACACACACACGAATTTGCGAACGGAAAGTGAACGAATAGTCCCATATGTTGCATATAACATGTAATATCTAAAATTGTTCTTGATTTATAGCGCATTGAAATTGCATACTTCTCTAGGAATCACCCTGTATAATAAGGGCTTAAGAAAGTTTTTTAAAGGTGGTGGTTGTAAAACAAGCATTTGCTGTATAAAAATGGGTAAGAAAGGTAGATAGCATGTGAGAACGAGCTTATACAGGGTGTCCCAAAACGACCGTATAAACTCTGTACAGCTAAATTCCTCGTTGGGAGTACATAAAAACTGCCCAAAGAAGCGCTCCTGTACGATTCATAGTTTACGAGAAAAATACGAAAAACAAAGTATGACGTCACTGCCGGTGCAAGAAAAAAACACTTTATTGGACATATCAACAACAGTATTTGCATATCTTTCAAGACGATAATGTTTAAAACGTTCGCCGCGCATATTTTGTTTTAAATTGTGCATAGTATACTGCTGTTGATATGTTCAATAAAGTGTTTTTTTTCTTGCACCGGCAGTGACGTCATACTTTACTTTTCGTATCGTACAGCTACTATGTATCGTACAGGAACGCTTCTTTGGACAGTTTTCATGTACTCCCAACGAGGAATCTAGCTGTGCATAGTTTATGCTGTCGTTTTGGGACACCCTGTGTAATGGAATAACTAGGACCATCGTAGAAAAGGGTAATTTTTAAAATTTTTTTCTCTTCTCCTGTGTATAAACTTCAAGTCAATTAAGCCTAGCACTTAAATGCGTAAATATAAACACAGAAATTAGGTAAATACTCACATTGGCTGTAATTATATCCTTTCCTTCCCTAAGTTAATACATAATTTTTTTCCACTTTTGTTTGTCTGATTTTTCTGTTGCGATTTAAAAACTATTTGAAACCGTGCACTTCTCAATACTTTTGAAACGAAAATTCATTTGAGTGTTTAGATAAATATTAAGTTTTTATTTTTTTTTATCAGGACTTTCCATGATTATCTCTAAATGTGAGAATAATCGACTATTGTTCGTTTGCTTCTACTGTTTCCTTGAAGTAAAGTTAAATAACTTTGATGATTGTTTTTAGATGAATTAAAATAAAAGTTTTATTTATAGTAGACACTACAAACCTAATCGTTATCTAATTTTAAAAGTCTTACTTTGAATAGTCTTTTATTTTAATTTTCTTTAAGTGCATTAGTTTTTAATCAGATTATGTAAAATATTTTTATAATGTTTTTAAAGCTAGATATGAGATGTGTCTTAAATTAGATAAAGATGAACTAAATTTTGGACTTTATTGCTTTCTTGAATACTTAAATACTTAACAAGATACAGGATACACATTGTATACAAATTGTAAAATATTTTTGAGTTTTCTTTATCATTGAGAAGTTATTCATTTTAAGGAAGAACGAATCATTCATGCCATATTTAAAGTGATGAAATCATAAGACAATGAATCGTTAAAAAATAAGCTTTAAATGAGCATAAAGTTTGAAAATTAGCTGTCATAATAAAAATTGGGTATAAAATAAAATTGTCCTTCAATTTTTCTGAAAGTAATTAAAATAGATAATTTTTAAACCTTAACTTTAAATTTCTCGAATAAATATAAAAATGACAAATAAATTATTGAATATAAAACTGGACTATAAAAATCCCATTAAATTTAAATATCGTCTGCACTAATTAATTAGCATATTTGTGGTTATCCTCTCTAACCATTAAGATTGAATCCTGGAAGATCCGATCATTAGATCAAAAGTTATTCAGGGTAATCAGTTTTTTATTTTTGGCACTGTACATTTTAATAACTCTCAGAGTCTATCGATCACACGAATAATTAGTGGCACGTAAATTATTTTTCAAGTTTTAATGAATTATGTCTAATCCATTATTTAACTATCGTGCAAATATATTTTTGTCATTTTATAGATGTATATGTATATATGAATATGTAGTAAAAAAATTAGGTTTAATATACAGGGTTATTCATAATTCGCTCCGGGGCTTTGAAGCGTTATAGTAAAAAAACGAAGACGAATATGGCAAAAAAGAACGTATGAAATTATTCCGAAAGTACTCAAGTTTTAATTTAAGCAGTTGCCGGTAGATGGCAGTAACACGTACCACTGAAGCCAGTTGTAGTAAAGAAAAATGGCGTTTACAGGCGGAGGGAATTATGAATAACCCTGTATATATACTTTGTAGAATTATTTTTCGTCTGAAATTTTGATTATATTTACAATTAATATAACTATTAATATATTACTAGAAAAAGAATTATACAGTTTTTATTATTACTCTAAAAATTCGCATTCGTTTTTAAAGTTGTTTCATTTAGTGTCACGGAGAGAAAAAAGTTCTACGAACGCTGAACTTAACAAGTTTTTTTAACTCAAAATTTCGAGCTTTTCCGTAATAATTACATTGTATCGTCTTTTTATTGGTTTAACAATTTTAAGCATTATATTTATTAACATTGACCCGATTGTACAAAATAACCCAATAACATCAAATGGAGTCAATGAATTGGTACAAAACTTTATTGATAATCATAAATGCAAATTTAAGGAAGTTCTGTATTAAAATTTATTTGCATACTATTTTTGACAATAACTTTGATATAATGAGACATATGAATAAGAAATAAATAACCATAATGCTAAAAATAAATTACATTCGGAGACACCATTGGGTACCAAAATTATGGACACGTCATTGGATTATCACTTTTCCAACCAATGGTTTCATTTTTGTTTTGCTCTTTCAACCAATCATAGAGAGGCTGAAAGTATTCCAAAATGGCTGAAGCGTCCATTTTGTCAGTTTTTCCCTTTGTTATCACTTTCATTGCTTCCCTCCATGATACAGAACTACCCAATTTCAGTGTGTCACTATAAAATAAAAATAAAGATTATTTGCAAATATTCCATTTAATAACGTTTTTTGTTGTTGTTATAAGAGTGAGGAATTTTACTTTAACATGATCGCTTAAGAAAAATAAGAACAATAATATGTACCAATGCAACATGTACCAGTTGAATTTAAGAGAATTGCAGCGCACCATAGTGTATGTTTGTAATAATTTATGATCATATTTGAAGAAAACACAAGTCATTTCCACAAACGAGACACAAGGTGGTTTCTTTTAAGTTTTATGTAGCATCTTATAATAAATTCTTAAGGACTATGTTTTCCTAAGCGGGCCCTTGGAGTTTGGCAATTCGGGACGTAGTTTTGCTAGCAGTTACATCTGGAGAAAGCTACGCATTTTCGATAGCTCCAGCTATTTAACCAGGGACTCTGAAAGGGATTTGGTTGCAAGAATATCCTTATCTTAATCAAACGTCATTCAAACGGAAAAATTTAGAGATTTTTATACATTCCAAAACATGACGCCGTTCAGACGATAGGAATTTTTGGGATTTTCTTATGAATATTTTTCTAAGAATATTTCTAAGAATATTAAGTTTAGAAAATGATCTTTTAATTTTTAATTGGCGTCTTGACTTTTAATGGCTCTTTGTGAACGAACGAATTCTGCGTCATAAAATTAATAAGAAAAATCTGTTTTAAGCGCATGCTTTAATATATATATATATATAGTATATTTCATTAGCTTACCTCAACAGTTTTCCAGCCTCCTTGTTTTTATAAATATCACAATGATGAAGAGGTCCTGTATAACCAGCTTCATCGCAAAGGGCCTTGTGAAACTGAAACTGGATCACATAACTAATAAAATATCTGAAAGAGAAAGAGGCAGTGTTAAAATTCTTATTATATACTTCATAAAGCCGCTGTGACTCGCGAGTATGCCAATGAGGTGTTCAAGTTTAAAATCCCACCGGAGGCAAGTTGATACGGAATCTGTGTTCGGCTCTCCCCGACCACACTGCTGACGTAAAATATTCTCAGTGGTAGACATATCATGGGTTTGAATCTTCTTGCCATCAAGTTAGCCATGGGTAGTTTACCTGGTTTTCCTCCTCATGCAACGCAAGTGCGGATTTATTCTATCAAACCACAAAGGCTAGTTTTTCTCATTACTTGATTCAGGAGTTCCTTGTTTTCTGGGTTGGGTTTAAAAGTGCAAGGTTACAGAGTTGTGAATTGAGAGTCCCAGAAATGGCTTGGCTGCTTTGGTTATACATTAAAATATATATTTCATAGCACTGATTTACTGAAGAAAATTAAGATAGTTCTATCATTTGTTGCTAGTTCTATCATTTAAATTATATCATTGTTATTTGTTTACTTCTATCATTTGTATGAAATGATTATCATCATTTGTTATTCTATCATTGAGTAGAATAATTATTAATATATAATCCATTACATGAAGGTTTGTTTTTATTTCTAGTATTGAGCAGCGCTAATCGAGCATAGAATATTATCTGGGTAGAATGCTTTTAAAAATACCATGTAAAAATTACACGTAAAAGCTTGAAAACAAATTGGGAAAAGTAACGAGGAAATGCAACGTGAAAATTTAGTTTTTAAGTCTAAGTTACAGAGAATTAAGAATGGAAAGGAATATAAGGAATAGAACATATTAAACATAAAATAAGAACGTATTAAAATATGAATGAAAAAATTAAATTTTGCTTTAATTTTTCAGTCATTTTCTGAAATAGCTACTATTGAACTCTTGTAATATTTTAAGGAATGATTTTCATACAAACGATTGTTCTCATAAAGAGAATAGATTTAAAAAAGCAAATTAATATAATCAGTAACCAAAGAATCTTTTGCCTCAAATTTTCACCAAACATGTGAGATATAGAATTTTTTTTCCAGTCAATGTAACGGTTCATCTGTACATAGTGAAGCACCATTTTGAATATTGACTCAAGTAGAAAAAATATTAATCATTAAACAATTTTAGTTTTGCTATGTTAATTTCAAAATTCAATTTTAAAAATGACACTCAATTGGTTAAAACACTTCAGATACCAAAGATCATTTTTTAAAAATGCTGATACCCGATTCTAATATACGTCCAATTCTAATACTACCCTATTCTATGTCATTAAATTTAACAACGACTCTATTTTTTTAATTGTCACTCAAAAAGTTAAAATTACGTGACATTTTCATTTGAAATTGTGATTGCCATTTAAAGAATTCATTATCGTTCAATTTTAAAATGTAGAGTACTGTTTTTAACATTAACTATGAAAGATAAAATTAAACTTGTACTTTCGTTAAAAAAGAAGGCTTGCCGTATGATCAGGCAGTACAATCGAAAAATTCAGGTTCTCATTGAAATCACTTCAACTTCCTTTCACGATTTATAAACTTCTATTAAGTAAACTCATTCTAAACAGGTATTCCATTAAATAGTGCACAAAATTTTTATTTTCGAACGAGTGGATTTAAATTTAATTTGCATTGATTAATGTGTGAGTCATTTCATATAATCATTATAAACTATACGAAATTGCGAGTAATAAATTTTTTTTCTCATATCATGCATGAATTTACCTTATATAAGGAACATCAGCTGGAATATGATATTTTGCAGCTGCGTCCAAATCATTTTCTGTTCTGGGTACTGGAGGGCAAACACCTTGGTATTTGAGCCTGCAAGAATATGTATAAGTTTATCATTCCCTTATTTAATTTGCATATTTATATTTAACACAATATTTATAATTAAGGGTGTTCTGGAATTACTGCTCTTAATACATATTTTTTTGAATCTTTGCCAAAAATGAAGTGAAAGAAAAATAGTCATATTAGGGTTCGCAAATTAATATTTAAGTTAGAAAAAAACAAACAAAATGTCTATAAAAATTAAACGAATCACTTCTGAGGAAATCAAATTTGGTGTTGTCATACCTTGCCTTTCTAGACAAGGATTAGTTAGATTTCTACAGTATTTTTGCTCTTTTCTCTTTTAAATATTAATTTGCAATCTCCAATATACACACTTTTTTGCTTCATTTGTAACAAAGAGTTCCGAAAGACGTCGATAATAATAAGTTCTGTATTTTACAGCTTAGAATTTCTTCTTGTTGCTTACAGAGCAACAAGATTAGAATTCATATTTATAAAATGAAAAATATAAGAATGCGATTGAATAAAATTGAAATATTCTATCAGGAATTTATGTTCCTGATAATGAAAAAAATGTTGGAGCATAATGTAAATTAAAGAGATAAAAAAATTTATTCTCCAAAAAATTTGTATCGTGATTTTTTTTAAATATTTTATGTAGTATTATTTTAATTAATTCAAAATAAAAAATATCTCGCTGCCTGAAAAAACATGTATTTTGCTAACTGAAATTCTTAGCATCAAAAAAGATTAAAATTTGATTTTTTTGACATTTTATTTCAAAAGAACTAAAAAATAAGAATGACAGTTCTAAATTTTTTTTTCCGGTTTCATTTTTTTATTGAAAAATAGTTGTGAAATTACCTCATGTCCCACCAAGCCGTGTTCAATTCGGTTGTTTCGATGGAAGCATCAAACACTTTCCATCTCCATGCATCAATCAAAAAACCAAAAGGTACAAATGCTATTTTATCTAGCGCCATATTCATCAGATTATTGATTTCCGTTTCTGGAATAGAAAAGAATGAAATAGGCTATCACAATTAGTAAAAGAAGCCCAAATGAAAATTGGAGGACTCTGATGACGTAAGAAATAAAATAGCGATAGCAGTGTCATCATTCTGAGTTATAACGGCTGAAAAAAGTGCACCGCTGACGGCGTATAACTGATTAATCAGTTCACATGAGAGCATTTAAAGATAATGTAAAGTAGAACTAATGAGAAAGGTTCCGAAAAGTAGACTGACTTTTAGGGTAATTGGTGATTAAATAATTCCTTTACTCATGTCATATGAAGTGCTACTCAGATGTCACAAGTCTTGACTCTAAAATTACTTCTAATCCTTTTATCTATAGCAGCAATAGATTTAGGAGAGGTCATGATGATTGACAAATTCAATATTAATGTAATGTGACACCATTCCATTTGTCCAAAATCGTTTATTCTAAACAGTGTTAACCATAAACACCAAACATTTGAAAGCATTAAAATGTTTACTCATTAAGCTCAAGTTCATATACTAAGTACTACTGTGTGTTGTTCTATTTAGGATGCATCCATTTTTTCACGACTTTATATTCACCTTAAATGCTCTCATTTGAATCGGCTAATCAGTTATTCGCAATCTGTGGTAAGCTTTTTTAAATCTGAAAACTAAATGCTTAATGGTATCATAACTAAAAACATTAAATGCAGGATAAAATATGATAAAAATAATTCTGGAGCTTTGTACTTTTTTATAATTATTTAACTGAATTATGAAAATGATTACCTTTGTCGTCAAAAACTTCATCCAAAAGATCAATTTTATTCATGTGATGGGGAGTGGCTACTGACAAAGCCAACACATCCCCAACCGCTTCATGGAAACCTAGAGTTCGAAAAATAAATCTGTTGTATTATAAAAATAACTCAAAAATAATGTGCAAATTTGCATAGAAAACTCTCGAAAATTATTTTCTCCCATAATTTACGCAGGAATGTTATTACAGGAGAATGGGAATGCGAAAGCCGTGATGTCTTACCTGAATTAGCACCTTCTCTGAAAACAACAGGTTGATCCTTATACTGTAAGTAATATTCAATGTGTCCCATTTCATGATGCACGGTGATTAAGTCCTCCATATCAACTCTGGTGCACATTTTAATCCTATAACGAAAAATAATAAAATTATTTTGAAAAGTTAAAGTTTAAATGCACACTTTCCGTGTTGTAACATTTTCTGTAGACAAAAACAACTTACTATTTTGCAACGTATGACAAAATTGTGCAACATACGTTTAGTTTATTGTGAAGTTTCAATGTAAACCCATATTTAAGTCACTAAATAATGAAGTGTTATATTTAAGTCATAAAGTGTTACATTCAAAGCTAGGAACTTTGAGATCATTCGAAAATTTGCATATGACCTTTCATGTTGTCAGAACAGTATTACGGCAATTTATACAACCTTTTTTAGAGGGAAAAAGATCTATTTTTTCTGCATCGCAGTTAATATTGTAGTTTCATTTTTCATACATCGCATCGCAGTTTCATTTTCAACTTACTTTTTTAACACTGAATAGTGACTCTAGAAATTGTATTATTAACTCAGATCATTTTGACCCATGGCCAGCTGTTTGGAGCTAACATCACGACACGTGAAAGAAACAAATCCAACTGTACAAATATTTCCTTTGAGAATTAATATGCTGTAGTTGCCTCAATTGTTTTGAAGTATCAATGTCTGCTCCATGCATGTTAAGAATCCTGATACCTTTAGATCTGGCTACGGGATTTCTATGCAACTCATTGTAAGCGTTAGTTTGAAGTCATAAAATTTATCAGCAGACAAGGAAAATTTTCAATGAGCACTTTTTGTTGTTACTAAATTTTTCTAGTTAATTCTTATTAACTATTCGGTATACTTCTTGATTTGATCCTAACTCAATCTTACAATAGCTACTGTTTTAATGTAGATATGAATGGATAATCGTATAAAGCTTAACACAGGTGGCGTTAGAGGTTCATCGTGAGACTTCCGGTTACTACTTCCGATTTATTTTTACGTCTAAGCTTGAAAAAGCACGCTATCCAATATTATTATACTAGTAGTGTTAACAATTTAGCGCGTTTTTTCAATTTAGTTTTCAACGAAGCAAACAAAAAAAGAATTCGCAAGCATGCTATGATGCTACCAAAATAATAACAAATGGTGATTTTTTACACAAATATAGACAAATAAGGTTTAACACTCAAAACATGGCCTTTATTTATGTTGTGATATTGATTTTCTCAAATTTATTTGCGACTCACGACCTTCTAAAATTTATAAATTTCAGAAAACTTTTATGAATAGTAAAATGGCACGTAAACTTAAACACAAATCATGATAATAAACTTCCCAGAATATCAAGCCTATTCACACATCGCTTCGTAAACGTAACATAAGCGGAAGGATACATCGGAAGTTTTTTTATATTTCCTTCGATTTTAGGAGCTTGTTATTGTTTACATTCAGTCACCCATCTATTGTTTAAAAGCTCTTTAAAATGTTCTGTTTTCTTACCTGACATCTCCATTGTTGTAGAAATCCCAGGCAGACGCATGGCACACCATTTCTCTATCCGTAGGCTTTTCTAAAATTGAGCGATTCCAGAATTCGGGAGTCATTGGTATTAAACCAAGAGAAGTGAAGAATTCCTCAGATATTTCAAACATATCTTTTGCCGTCATATTCTACGAATAAAAAACCCTCATAAATTAAGACTGTTTTATCCATCAACCTTTTTTTCATTAAAATTTGCATAAATAAAATTTCAAAGTAACATATAAAGTATTTAAATACAACAAATTGTATTCGGAAATACGCATAAACATATGATATTTTATTCAAAAACGAAATCTAGAAAAACGATATGTGGTTTTTACTGTTTGAAATTAATTTTCACTACTATTTGAATAGTTTAAATGAATATCAGCATCAAGATATTTACAACGGTGTTTGTAAATAAAATGACATGTTTAGAATGTATTTTAAAATTCTAGCTGCATACAAAATTAAATAAAATCAGTGAATATAAAATAATTATTTACTCGTATGCGCAGTAAAATTACTGAGATGAAAAGCGGTATTACTTAATGCCTTTAAAACAACAATTCATCGCTAATTTAAAATTATTTCTCTTAATTTAGGGGGTATCACATAAGCTCATTCAAAAATTTTTTTAATAACATTTACTGAGCTGTGATGGCTTAGAGGATAGAGCGTTCGCCTTCCAATGAGGTGAACCGGGTTCCAATCGCACCAATGGCTTGTCGATATGAATCCGCATCCGGCTTGCACCGACCACAGTGCTGACGTGAAATATCCTCAGTGGTAGACGGATCATGGATTAGAGTCCCCTTGCCGAGGTTCTCATAGTCTTCCTCTCCATGTAACGCAAATGCGCGTTTATTCCATCAAAAAGTCCTCCACGAAGGCAAAATTTCTCTCAATATCGAATAAAAGACTACCCGTGCACGTAAAATCTGTCGAGTCTCAAAGTCCTCCATGTTTCCATAACAAATCAAACCTCTAGGGGTATTGATCCTGGAGTTCCCTTGTCTTCTGAATTGGGTTCAAAATTACAAGGCTACGGAGTTGAACATTAGACGTCGTAAATCCCAAAATTGGGCCGGCTGTTCAACGACGGTTATAAAATAAAATAAAATTAATTAAAATAAAATAAAATAGCATATACTGAAATTTAAATATGATTTTTTTTCTAATCATTATGAAAAAACTTTCAAAAACAATTTTATCATGTTACAATTAAATGGTAAGTAACGATTTTTTCCAAAAAAGTTAAAATTCTTCAATTAAAAACTTTGAAATGTTCAAAAACACACAATATGAATTTTTAACTACTGTCTCACAACAGTAAAACATACATCATAAATAATTTCAGCCATTCTAAGATATTTTAAACATGAGTTAAATTCAGTTTTCTTTGTTCAATATACCTGTTTTCTCATGGCGTCTGTCACATCCACGGCTTTCTTCTCCGGATAGGGAGCAACGGTATCATAGATATTCCCCCATGTTTGAGCCCACATATTACCTATCGAATAAAAAATATTAAGAACGTTTTTGTGCTATATCATTATGCGAATGAGTTACAGACGTAACTTACGAATGATGCATGAAATAGTAATAAATTGAGTTAATCAGTTGCATGAAGTAAAATCTGGAAACTATCAGACATTGGAATAAAATTTTAATAGTTCAAATTCGAGTTCACGGAAAAAGAATGCCGGTATTTTGTAACCTGAAGAAAAATTATGTTTTAAACACTCGAAAATTATTCTGAGTGTTTAAAACTTCATGCAATGCAGTGGAATAATGTAAGCTTTCCCTCCATGCATTAAAATTACAATGAAGCAAATAATAATATTAGACACCTAAAAAACTGAGTTAAAGTCGAATCTGAAACTGAAAATCAGGAAGGCTTCATGCAACATGAAAGCAGGGGACTGATTACACTAGGGAACAAGTTTTTTGTTGGATTTGTGCAAATACTTGATCTCGCCTAACCCTGGTCTGAAATATTTGATCCTATAACCACAGAATTTTTTTAAATGACATTTTTAGTCTATTTTTTTGTCGAAATGTACAAGTTTTAAAACGCTATATATAACATAATCGTTGAGACAGACTTCTATGGGAGTTAGGGTACACCATTAGGATTAAAGTTGCATAGAGTGCATACCTGGTCCGGAAATGACGCCATACGCGGCTAGGGGTGCTTCCCCTATTTATACTTGTTCAGAAGAACACGAAGAAACGGATCATAATAGGTTTCCATGTAATTTTAATTTTAATGATATACCCTAATATTTATACGACAACACCCCTATTTTGTTATGCGACAACGCCCAACATTATGCCCTTGTTACGTACAACATTTTTAAACTTACACTTTTCGACAAAAATTAGACTAAAAATGTCAATTAAAATAAAACTGTAAACTGAAGAGAAAAAATGTATGGAATATATGAAAATGAGTATAATATATGGAATCAAAATATATGGAAATAATGGTAATAGTATAAATGAGTAATTTGTATCTGTTTTTCACATTACTTAGTAATCCTGACATTCTCTTTTCATGACCTTAGTTAGATAGTTCTGTTTTTAAACAAAGATTCATAATTCTATTCTAAGAGTAAAAGAAGCGAAAATTTATTATCATTTTTTTAAAAATTCAGATATTAATCAAGAAATATGTTTTACAAACGCATTTTACTTACATTCATTTTAAGATTTTTTATTTTATTTCTTTTTACAATTCTAGAAAAACTTTTATCCTTTACAAGACGAACTTCGTATGGTTCCAGTTAAATGCTGCATTTTTTAAAGCAAGAAATATTTAGTTATGATATTTTAAAATCGTAATTGATTATATATATCAAAGAAATTTATGTAACTAACTTGTAATACCATAAATAACTATCAATTACTTTGCATAAATTTCGCTTCTTACAAGCCGTAGTTTGCAAATGTAAGTACTAGACAAAGAAAATTTGTTTAAAAAAATGTCTTCTAAAAAAATGGTTCTATATATGAAGGATGGTCCGAAGTCCCCCCCCCCCTTAATATTTTAGAATCTTTGTTAAACTGAACGTATATTTTTAGAATCTTGGTCAAAAATAAAATAAAGGATAATGAGCATTATAAGTCTCAAATCAATATTTAAGTAAGGAAAAAAGAAAAGAATGTCACAGAAAACATGGTAGAAAATATCACAACTATCGCAGAAAATTATAGAACACACTTTCAAGTTACAAGATTTTGATATTTTTAATCCCACCTTCCTCATGAGTGATTCATCGGATATAGATATCGTTTTTCTTTTTGTTTGCTTAAAGGCCTGTTTACACGGTCCAATTTCTTGAATCCGAGAAATTGGACGGATTTCTCTGTCCTAGAAATTGGATGATTCGTTGACACTATCCAAGTTCTTGAATGTCACTGATTCGTTGAAAGCAAAACTTGCGCATGGGCATTGTTCATATTCAACATTATAAAATAATACTTACATAAGTTTGAAATCCCTAAATAAATTCAAATAAAATCATAATAACACAAATAAACCGCAACAGATTAATTTATTTAGACTAAATTATATAAAAACAGACAAGAAGATGACATAATTTGCTGCCTGATTGTTGACGTCACAAAACCTAAGACGCTGATTGGTTAAGGGAGAAAAAACTTGGATGGAAAGTAGAACATGCTCTACTATCGTCCAAGAAGTTGGACCAAGTTCTTGGATGTTTGTTTACACGATCAAAGCTCAAAGCAAAACAAGTTTCCATCAATATCAATCAATCTCTGTCCAAGAAATTGGATCGTCTAAACAGTACAAACTGTCAACACTTTTGTCAAGGATTTAAAAAAAATCACACCGAGGGCGATGATTATGGTTTATTTTAGAAATTCAGTTTTTATTAGAAATACATATGCTACATACTATAATATACGTTATTTTCACGTTATTTATAAAGTAAAGCAAACAGCAGTAAAATTAACTGTACTAAAAATGCTTATAAAATTACTAAATATTGAAAGTTTAATTAAAGTTTAATCAAATTTAATAACTTAACTAATGCTAAAATTTTAACCACTCACCCAACAGATGAGCGGGGATAGGTCCGTTTTCTTTGATGTAATCGTTACCATATTTTTTGATTAATTTTTGTCTCACATAAGCGTGAAGTTGTTCGTAAAATGGCTTGATTGTTTCCCACAGTTGATCGAACTCGTCTGTGATATTGTCACTTTCAAACTCTTCACGCCACATTTCACCAGCATCAGAAAAACCTGAAATTTTTTTTATTTATCAGAAATTACTTCTAATTAGTAGTATTTTACAAGGTAGTCAGTATAATTTTGAATTTGACTTTAATTCAAGTAATAATCGCCAATTTGGCGAGATTTCAAAAAATCACCCAAGGGATGGGCTGTTCTAATATTTTACCGAACAAGGTTGTTAATAATTGCTTTTGACAACAAAAGAAAATGTTATTTGAAGTGATCAAGTGATGCGAAATATGTTAGAATATAATTTGAAATGAAATTTAAAGTTTTTTAACTTCTTTTAAACTTTTAAATTAATATTTTTTAAATTCTTTTTTGGCAAACCTTGATGTTTAGGGCCGGGATAACCTGGATGGTAGGGCACTGGGTCCGTGTCCAAGAGGTCATGGGTTCGATCCGCACCGACCGAAGACCGTGTAGTAAATGGTGACTGATGCAAGTTAAATCTGTCGAGTCACGAAGTCCTCCATGTTCCCATGAAAAATCATACCTCTGGAGGTACTGATCCAGGAGTTTCCTTGTCTTCTGGGTTGGTTTAAAATTATAAAGCTGCGGAGTTGAACATTAGTAGCTGTAAACTCAAAATTAGGTCGGATGTTCAACGACAGTTATAATATAAAATAAAACTTTGATGTCTTTGCGATTAAAAAAAATTCATGCCATCATATTGAAAAAGAATCATAACAAATATTTTAAAATCATTCTCAAACTGGTAGATTTTTATTAAAAAAACATTCCCCATGAAAATACTTTTCTGCAAACAGAAAACTAGACTCGAATTTCCCAAAATCTACTTACTAAATCACAAGATATTTCTGGAATATGTGAATATAATATGGCAACTTTTTCCATATGCTCATAGTTCTATATGCTCATTTACTATCACATATGATTTTGGTGTTAATTTGATAAATTTTGGTGCAAAGTGAATAAATATAAATGCTAATAATTATTTTTCATTGCTTACAAAAGTGTTTTCCATGAAAGAAAAATGTGTTGTAAAATTTTTATTTTTCAAAAATATTTGTAATAAAATGTTGAACAATTTAGGAAAATACTTCTAGACAAATATGAGATTGTTAAGTGAATTACTAGAGTTCGGGATAAATAGTATTTCGAATGAATAAAAATTTTTCTGTCAGCGCAATGTCCTTGGATAATTTTAGCAGAAAAATGATTCATCATGAAAAGTTGTCAAAAATAAGTCATAAACATAATCATAGCGTATCAACTTATAAATTGTGATAAAATAAATAACATCAACAAGACAACAAAAAGGTACCAAAAACTGAATTTTTATTTATTTTATTAACATGAAGTTCTTTAAAAGAGACATAAAAGAATATAAAACCTAGGACATATATAAGAGAAGAATACGAAGAGTTTTATGAAAAAATCAGAAATATAATGATATATTGCTCTGCAGCAGTTTGAAAAAAAAAACGGTTAAATAACGTTTCAAAAGGTCATTACTGATATTAAAAATAATAATTTTTTCATTATTAGCCTTTTTTTAAATTTTAAATATTAGGTGGACCGGAAAGTAATGTCATTTCGATGCATTTGATATTTGTTATTAAGATTTTATGAATAATGTATTCACCCTAGTTAGCAACAACTTTTCATTGCCGGATCAAAAAGAAATCGAAATGGATCGAAAAGAAAAAAATGAACTGGTTTTTAAGACTAACGAACATTTAATGCATCGAAACGACATTACTTTCTGGTCCACCTAATATAATGATGAAAAATTACCATTTTTGCACGCTACTTCATTGGACAGTTCGATATATCGTATAAATTTCTCTTTTATTTTCCGGCCTGTTTCATCTCTCCATTGTGACCAAACATGTTTCAACTCGTCATAGTTTGTAGAATTTTTCATTATATTAGTCAATTCTGGAATAGGGAAAATGCAATGACAAGCATTTAATTATTTCATAAGTATACAAATTTATAAATAAAATTTTTATGAATTAATTTTTGGATATAAAATCCTTCAAATCATACCATATCAGAAATGAAATCATATATAATCAATAAAATTTTTTGAGATTAAAATTTTGACAACATCCGCCACTAAGTAACAATTCAAATTTTATTGCATGCAATTAGTTTAACGAAATTCTAATTTGTTGTCTACAATCGCTTAGCATTTGTTTTAGCTATCCAGTGAGATACATGTCGTACAATGTCATGCTTGTAAAAAGTCTTTGGCTTCTGTTTCGACATGCTGCGCACGCATACCTTGTTTTAGTTTGATGTCCACTTAATGTTTTGAGTATACCAAAGATTAGAAAGTTATACGGAAATAGATCCGGGTAGTCGTATGGGTAGCACAATACTTCTCATTTGAATTTCTGTAGAAGTTCCTCTATTCTCATTCTTTCTTGCACATGCGTTCAATGGGGAGCGTTTATTACCGTGTATAGTTTGTGAACGGTAAGAACTCCCCCAGCCACAAAGTCTGAGGCTGTCTGCCGCAATGGAAACAATAATAGTTCATTTTAGGGAGGTTAGCTTCTTTTCACTCTAGGGCTAACGCAATAGACCGATGAAAATGATTCCCTTTCTCTCGCTGACTCGAACCAAACCAGTCCTAAACTATGACCCCACACTCCTAATTGAAATAGTTATACCTCGTTACCATGGTCACTCTCACGGGTTCAGACATATGGCTTGGGGAGTTCTTACTTTAGACAAACTATTATCTCAATTGTTTATAAAACTAGCTTATTTGGCTGAAATGACATTTCGGTGAAAAATTAAATCTCGTGAAAAGGGTTTTAAATTTAACGCTATATTACGTTATCATTAACATCATATTATGAATCAGAACGTAATGAAAGCTGGAATAGAAATAAACAAATGAAGTTAAGAACCGCCTTCTTTTTATACTTTGATATAAAAGTTTGTTTAGTGTTTATATGAATTAGTAGTTTAAGCGTGAAGAACCTGGTTCAAGTGATAAACTGCAAGGCTCTGAGGGAGAGGATCCATAACTGCAGACCTTTGCCTTTGCATAGATGTCTTCCATATCAGCAGTTAGGGTAGTAAGCTTGAGCAAGAAAAAAAAAGGAAGGAAAAATAAATAAATAAATATACAGAAAAAATATAAGATACTAACATCTTTTAAATTTCTTAAAAGTAATAGCTAATTTGGCATTTATATATATTTTTTAATTATTGCTTATTATTGTAGGAATTATCAATACTACTTGCCACCTAGACGTTTACATGAAATGAAAATGTTTCAAACTTTAAAAAGCTATAATATTAAACATAACTGTTAACAGTAAAAGAGTAGTTTAATCTATTGTTATACATGAACGTATCTTATTCAGGCCTTTTTAAAAATTTAAACCACACTCTCAGAAAAAATTAGTTCAACATTAAATTTAGGATTGGTGCCTCAAATCATATCTGGAGTGTAATTTCTCTACAACTTTAATAAGGTGTTAAATATAACGATTTTCCTATTCAAATTGAACTTGTGTATTGTATAGTTGAATGAATATATTATTCCTGAACTTAATATTGTACGATAAAGCTAAATTTGTTCAATATTATAGTTCAACACACTCCAAAATGTGCAATTGTATTTGAAGAGCTGAGTGTAAAAACTAGCTCACTGGCATTGCAGTGAATTTGAGTAAATGAGCGCCAAAGTTACAAACAAAACAAAACAAAAAAGAGGAAAGTATAATCTTTGTGTCTTATGTTTGTGGAGTATGTTTGTGAAGACATAACTCTCAAAAAATTTTGGGGAGTCTATTTGATTCTAACTCTTTTATAAAGGAAGATTTTAATAATTTTTGTTCGTAGCATTTGCTTGTTTTCACAGACAATTTTTAATGTTTTTCATCGAATATAATTTTGTTTGAATTTATAAAATAAGTATGCATATGTTTAGGCTTATTATCATAGAATAAAATTTTAGCAACCCTGATTCGGAATAAACTGGTATCAAATTTTATATAGCTTTGTTAATCCGAGAACCAATCAAAAACGATTCAGAGGCAGCGTGAGTTCAAATTTTCCCGGAGTACATGTTTTGCCGGTATCTATCACTGTAATTGTCGAGAATTCGGTAGTTTTTGATTTTAAAAAAGTAGTCTTTTAAATAGCGCTGATTGTGGTCAAAATGTCAGGTCATTTCATTACATGTAAATGTATTTCTGAAATTAAATAAAAGTATTTTTATTAGTTTTAATACAAAGGATATCTAGGTATAGTTGTTGAAAAACCAATTATTTTAAATTTTTCATTAAGAATTCGCAGTTTGATGCAAAAATGACACATTTCAATTTAGAAAATAGTTTTTTTTTGTCGGGGTAAACAACGTCTTCATGATTAGTTGCGCGATTCTCATTTTTCATAATTTAGGTTACAACTTCACGAATTTCCTCCGTTGAATACCAACCCACTCACTGAACAATCAACTTTTTTCCCTTTTCAACTTCTTAGCATTGACTCTAGAAGACAAGAAAACATTTGTTTAAAGAAGAACAAGGTTACATTCACCTTCAAGAAGTATTCTTTAAAGCGAAACTAGTCAGCATTTGCGTAAAATGGAGGTAAATCATGTGAGTTTTAGCCGAAATGATTATCAAAATACGAAATGTAGCTCAAAGATTGCGGAATCGTCAAATGAGATAGTATTATTTCCGAGAGTGCACCAACAGCCTTCATTTCCCAGCCATGCTCAGGTCTTTATAACGATAGCTCAGAGCCTTACCCACTGTACCTTCACGACTTTTATAACTATATTTAAAATTTGTCTTTTGAGAATAGAATAATAGTACGAAATATTTTTAATTTTATAAGTTTTTTTTAAAAAAAAAGTTGGGTGATTATTAATGATAAATATCATTATTACTTCTTTAAACTTTTCTTCATCCAGAGCAGCTGATCCCAAGACAGATAAAGCTTTAAACCATCGATAAGATGTTTCGTTTTGGCCTTTGAAATTCTTCCATGCAAAAGATGTTGCAGTTTTCCAAGTTTCTTTCTTAAACTTAGCAAACTCTTCTGTAACCTTCAACTAAAATATTGATTAATAATTTTACTGCAATTTCGTTATTTTCATCATATAAAAGCGAAATTTATTAAATGGAAGAATTAGTTAAGGAAAATATTATTGCACAATGATATTGTAGAGACATTCGAATTGATGTGGTCATAGCTATATGTAGTATTTTTAAGTTTAAGTTAGTTAATATTAGACTTTTCAAACTGAAAATACAAGTTTTTTCATATTAGTTTTAAAATGTTATGTTTTCTAAATGTGTTATACTGATTAATTTTTAAACTTCAAGTGAATAAATCTGCTTTTAATCTTAACTTTAGTGAAGTATTTCCCCAACAGCTCATTGTGGGCTAAGAGGGTCATGTAGGTAACGACTTTATAATTAAATAATGGTGGCAACGGGATCAGCATTGCACATTGACCACCTTTACATCCCAGATAAGATGGTACCCATCGATGAGAGTTTCGGGGATCGAGTCGCGTTCTTCACAATAACAGCTGAGTGCTTTACCCACTGTGCCATCTCGGTTCATGGAAAATTACCCTTAATAAACTAAAATGAGTGTTGAAACTGAACAAAAATCCTATTTATTGCTTCTTCATTCTTCAGCAATAGTAAGAGCTGTTTATTGATTAAGTTTCTGCGTAATTTTAATGTATGTATATATATATATTATCCTTATCCAGTACAATATTACCTTGCGCACATCCATTTTGGGCCCATCCTTGGTAACTAACAAGTCAAACGCACTTCAGCAATGCAGTAAGAACGGCACTTAAAAACATAACTCCACTAGTTATGCTCAATTTGCGCTTTTGTTTTCATATTTTGCAATCTGGCAATCTTGTTACGAAAATATTTTCTAAATCATTCGTGAAAAATTTCCCGTGCATGTAAGTACATTTGAATTCGCTACTCGCTTTATAGTTTATGTTTTATTCTGTTTTTCCTTTTTATTTTATTTTATTTTCCGTTTTTACGTGTTATTTTTACTTATTGTGTTCTATTTTATTTGTTGTAATTTTTGTAAAAAATTTTCTTTCAGTGCTCCTCACACTATTGTATTAATATACTTTGCTTTGGCTATATTGATACAATATCAGATAGCACTCTTTTTTGCGGATATAATCGTGTGGGCTGATGAAAAGGTTATATCTTTTATTTTCCGGATTTTTTAATTTTTTTTTATCCTTTTTCTTCCTTCTTTTTTTCCCTCCCAGTTGTTTGTTATTTTTTTATAATTATTTTTCTCCCCCCCTTTTTTTTCATACGTCTGTAATTTTCCTTTGTTTTATCTTCATTTTGAACTTATCTAATGAGCTCTGTTTACTTGCAGCTTTTGCGCAATAAATGAAACTTATTGTTTTTCTTAATTTTCTTCGTGGTTTTTTTGTATTTATTTTTGTATTTATTTTTGTTTTATATATATATATATATATATATATATATATATTTCTCAGTTTTGTATAATCAAATTTACTTACGTATTCCTTTTTGTTCGGTTCCGTCAAATTGCTTTGATAGTTCCATTGCGCAATGACTAATTTGTTGACAAGTTTCTCTGTTATGCGATCATTGTCTTGGAGAAACTTGAGTGCTTCTGACATGTCTGAGTTGTCACCGCTGATATACTTGTCCTGCTTGCTTTCGCACTCCGCAGACACATGCAGGCACGTAGACGTGAGTGAAAACACATGAAGAAGAATTAAAGACAGCACCATGATAACTGTTAAATGACAGTTAAAATAACATAAATGTGTGCACGTTCACTATTTTCAACTACCTAAAATGCATAAAAAAATTATTTTGAATCAAATCTGAAATAATGAAAATAACACGACTGTGAAGAAAGCAACGTTTGAAAATATTTATAGTCTTAATAATAGTTTTCCAATTTTGTAAGTATGCAAAACTGTAGCACTTAGTCTGCATGTTCAAGTGTGGTGCATTTGGTTTTGAAACTGCAAAATTTCATAATTTTAATTTTCAGTTGATCAAGTGTAAATGATTGGACATTGTGGATAAAATATTAAAGAAATATACATATATACCCTACAATGCACTCTAAGTGACTAAGAGCCGTGGTTTCTCAGGGGATAGAGTGTTCGCCTTCAAATGAGGTGAACCAGGTTCGAATCTCAGCTATGGCTGGTCGATACGAATTCCGTACCTGGCTCGCATCGAACACAGTACTGATGTAAAATATTCGCAATGGTAGACGGATCATAAGTTAGAGTCCCCTTGTCGTTAAATTAACCGTCGGGGGTTTTCGTGGTTTTCCTCTCCATGTAACGCAAATGTGGGTTAGCTCCATCAAAAAGTCTTCCATGAAGTCTAAGTTTTCCGTCCACTTGAGTATGGAATTTCTTTTTCTTCTGGATTGGGTTCAAAGATACAAGGCTACGAAGTTGAATATTAGTAGTCGTAAACCCAAAATTGGGTCGGCTGTTCAACGACGGTTATGCTAATACCATGGGAAAACCGAAATTTCAAATCAACTAGAACCCCCCCCCCCCCGAAAAAATGGAAGATTTTAAGTATTTCAATATACCGTAGTCTTATCTAAGCTTAGAAAATCGGTAGAACAATATTTTAATAAATTTTAATATCATTTCTTATCATTAACATCATTTGTATATGGTTAATTACATTTTGCTATTGACTATATAGTCACATACGATTTTAACCTGAAACTCTCAGTGATTAAACCGAAAGATTTACAGCCAAAGTTTTCATAGCAGTTCACAGATATTATATATAGTAAATATAAAAAATATTAAAACCACTGACATAATACGAGTATGCATTCCAGATAGTGAAAAATTCGTAAAAAGTCAGTGATATATATTTAAAATAAGGAAGTTACGCTTTTTTTTTTAATCCGACAATCTCTTATTTCCTATCGTTTATAAAAACATTTGACATTGTATACAATGTATGGGTAAAATGCATATTAAATTTGGTATTTCATCTATCGCTGAACAAAGCCAAGCATTGTATACAATTCTAGCATTATTAAGAAGATAATATAACTCTCCCATGTGATGCTTGAGAATAAAAATTTACAAAAATAGTTTTAAATTTAACTCACCGAGAAATCCTTTGGAGTTTTTATTAGTTCTCTTTATAAGCACAATAATTTCGAAAAATTAAGTAAATTTCCAGGAACTAAATAATTTTCTGGAAATCAAATAAATTTTCAGAAATTAAATAATTGCTCAAAATTTAAATAAATTTTTCATGAGTACACATCATCTTTCTGAAGGCCGCACATGAGTAGTTAAAATTTTAAAGTCCTGTTCGTACACGTGCCGATCTTAGAGTATAATTTGTTTTCAGTAGACAATATCATATGATATATTTCATGAGATATCGGTTCAACATCTGTTTACGGTTTTCTCAAAATAATAATTTCAAAATAGTATCTCAGTCAGACACACTATCGATTCGGATTATATATCAGAATTATACTTTGATCAAATTACATTTATGCAATTTTTTTTCTTTCTTTCAGAAATAATAAGTAACGTTTCTAACGTTTTTATTCTATTAAGTTTACAAAAAAGTCATAAACGTAAGTAAACTATAAGCTGAAGAACTAATACTAAATGCTGATTCAGTTTTCGAAGTTGCATATCTAATCAATGAATTGCTTATCTGTTCAACAGGCATTATTTGTAATAAACAATTTGCTTCATTTGTTTATGGTTAAAGGAGAAGTTAGATAAGCACCATTTACTTTATTTATTATTCAAATAAAGCAACTTTTTTTTTCATCAGTTGATTGAAGGCAACAATGAAATGTAAAGATATAAAATAAAAAATGCTGTGTCAAATTTCAATATAAAATAATTTTACTAGAGTCACTAGAATATGGTTATATCTTAATTAGTTGTTTAATCTGTATTAAAAATTTTATAAACATGTACAGATTCCTTCTAAAAACAATTTCTATAACTGAAATAGATTAATTCTGATGTATAACAAAAACATGATAGAACTCAAATTTTGATTTTTGTAATTAATAACCAATTTTGCAAAAAAAAAAAAAAAAAAAAAAAAAAAAAAAAAAAACAGAAGATTTTACCTATGGGTGCCGATTTTTTTGTGTGCAAAAATAAACTATCTAGATTCTGGACGAACTAACCAATTAAAATGCATACATACGAAGCAATGGCCAGTATCGACTAGTAGATGTAACATTATTGTTGTATACGAAGTAACCTTACATTAGTATACATTAATCAGCAATAAAAAATCAAAATCACTATCGAAATGTGTAAAAAAAAAACATAACCTGTTAAACACAAAATTTTGATTTTTGTAATTAATAAGCAATTTTGCGAAAAAACAGAAGATTTTACCTATAGGTGCCGATTTTGTGTGCAAAAGTAAACTATCTAGGTTCTAGACGAATAAACTATCTGGATTCAATTAAAATACATGCATATGAAGCAATGACCAGTAACGACTAGTAGATGTAATATTATTGTTGTATACGAGATAACCTTACATTAGTATACATTAATCAGTAATAAAAAATCAAAAGTTACTATAGAAAAGTGTAAAAAAAAAACACAACCTGTTAGTAAATATTTTTTAAACCAGGAGATAGATAGTTTTCGTAATTTATTAAAAAATACTTCATTTCATTTTAAGCTTTCATTGGAAGAAGGAAATAGTTCATATTATGGATTTATTCTTATTCAATGAATTTCATAACTATAATCGTTTTTGTTGAGAAATTTAACAATTATTTGAAGAACATTTGAACAAGAGTATTTGAACATTTGAATTCGAAGTTGAACATTTGAATTTGAGTAAGATCTTAAAAATAAATCGAAGTTATTTTCAATAACAAGCCAATAATAAAATTTAACTTATTATGCTACTACTAATGAAACTTATAAAAATGTCTTGAAATAAATATATTAGAAGCAAAATTTACTTATACGCTTACCAAAGCTTTACAACAAACGTTGAGTTTTTTAATTACAAGGACATTACAATGTAAGACTAACTTTGCAAATGAACATTTGAATTTGAATAAGATCTTAAAAGTAAAATCAAAGTTATTTTTAATAACAAGCCAATAATAAAGTCTAACTTATTATGCTACTACTAATGAAACTTATTAAAATGTCTTGAAATAAATATATTAGAAGCAAAATTTACTTATACGCATACTAAAGCTTTACAGCAAACGTTGAGTCTTTTACTTACAAGGACATTAAAATGTAAGACTAACTTTGCAAATGAACATTTGAATTTGAATAAGATCTTTAGTAAAATCGAAGTTATTTTTAATAACAAGCCAATGATAAAGTCTAACTTATTATGCTACTACTAATAAAACTTATTAAAATGTCTTGCAATAAATATATTAGAAACAAAATTTACTTATACACTTACCAAAGCTTTAAAAGCAAACGTTGAGTTTTTTAAGGACATTAAAATGTAAGACTAACTTTGCAAATGAACATTTGAATTTGAATAAGATCTTAAAAATAAAATCGAAGTTATTTTTAATAACAAGCCAATAATAAAGTCTAACTTACTATGTTACTACTAATAAATGTCTTGAAATAAATACATTCGAAACAAAATTTAATTATACGCTTACCAAAGCTTTACAGCAAACGTTGAGTTTATTACTTACAAGGACATTAAAATGTAAGGACGAACTTCTTCCCACTGTCTTTGAGATATGAAGAGTTTGTCTGTGGTGTAACTTGTTTTCTATTCAGGGGTCAGTAAACCTAAATTCTATTTCTGCCTTAAGGCTTAATATTTGTTGACGTCTTGGAAGTTTTGACAAATGAGGCTTGCATAAGAATATTCTAATCAGCATTTAATTATTCATTCCATTACTTGCTTAAAAGATTATAGGCATTAATAATGAGATATATTTATTCCAAGGCCCTCCAAGAACTATCTCTTGAATTTTAAAGACCACAGGTTCAAGTTTGAATTAACTTTAGACACATTAGTAAGATGGAAGAATTTTCTGACCTTGGCTGATATTAAATTAGTAATAGTATAGTGTAGCAGATTTTAATTATTAATGTATGCTAAATGACAGTTTGACACATCAATTTATTTTATTAATATAGATCTAATATGCAATTCATGTGTAAGAATAGTATAAACAGATAATTAGGGAATGAAAAATATTATTACTTCTTTTGAATGAGAAATGTTGCCTATTATTAAATAAGAACATTGTTTCATAGTATATTTAAAAAATTCTCAACAAAATAAAATGCTAGTGGGTTCCACCTTCTGCTCGATGACGCTCTCCAGCCTGCGAAGATTACTATGCAATCTTTTATGAAGAATAATTGAACGCAAAGCAAGAATGGTCTCTCGCTACTATGTTAAACCCATTTGAAATGTGTTCTACTGCAAAATCTTAAAGATTTTAATAAATTATTAAATTTTTAAAACTAATTACCCTTTAAAGCTAATTACTCTTTCAAAATTAAAGATTTTAGTCAATAATAAGTAAATAAATAAAATTAAATTGAAATAAATAACATATAATCGAAATTTTGTTTTAGAAACGAAACAATACTCGTGCTTCTAAAAGCAATTACTAATAAAAATTCACAAATCTATCATTGTTGTTGTTCATTTACGTCGCACTAGAGCTGCCCAATGGGCTATTAGCGACGGTCTGGGAAGCATCCCTGAGGATGATCCGAAGACATGCCATCACAATTTTGATCCTCAGCAGAAGGGATGGCACCCCCACTTCGGTAGTCCGACGACCTGCAAGCGAAGTCGAGCACTTTAACGTGGTCGAGCAACTTAACGTAGTCGAGCAACTTAACGTAGAACAGTTTAACGAGGACCAATACCGTACACCCTCGGTCCCTACGCAGACTGATCCAAGTGGTCACCCACCAGCACACTGACCGCAGCTAGTGATGCTTGACTTCGGTGATCTGTTGGGAACCGTGTCTTAACGATCAGTCCACTGCGGGACTCACAAATCTGTCAAAAACGCAAATATCTTAGACAACCAAGCTTTGTATGGGCAACCCAACAATTATCAATTTTAAATTTCCCTATTATGACAGATTCAGTATCACTTCTTCAGTGGACCGGACAATCACTATAGTAGATTCTGGCGACTGGATAATAAATAGTTCATTCGCGATCCTTTTATTTTGACACATGTAATTAATGAGTAACTCTGATATGATTGATTGTGCGTTGCTCTTCTACATGCTCCATTCCAACATCACAACCAATTCCTGGGAAAAAATAGGAATAAACCATTGGATCAGTGCAAAGATTCATAGAAGAAATGGGTTGGCATGCATCTCCAACAGGATAGATGCACAAATCTCGATTAGATGGAATTCGATACCATTTCCCCCCCACAAATATTGCCATTACCTTTGCTTTTGAAGTTGGAGCACTCTGTCGCCTCAAATGAGAATTGGTATCTCCCATAAAAATCAATTTGAAATCTGTTGCAGGATTCGATTGGATTAATTTATGCATTATGATGATTATGTTATGATGTCACAAAAGGATGGATTTGTCTTAATAAAATATTATTTACAAAAACTTTGTTAAAAATAATTTGTTTGTCACAAGAAAATCTGTCATTTTCCTGGCTATTTATATTTAGTGATTTGTAACCAAAATAGATAGCGTCAGCAATTAATATCCTATGTTAATAGAGTGATTAGAATACCATCCTATCTGAACATGTCTAATTGCATGAATAAAGTACCAACTTTCTGGTTCAAAACCTATTTAAAAATTTTTTTATGGTGAGTCGGCTTTTATGTTGTCATTTTCCTGTCTTCTTGAAATCATTAATAATATAAACTACACAGATTTACCTGAGTTATTTCAAGAAATCCTGATGTTTTCTGTGGAATGTAAACATCTTAGGCGGAAATGTTAAATTAAAGTAAAGGTAAATGCTATATAATGGCAAATTTTTCATTATCCTGGCTGTCAATTTCCTTGCTTATGAATGCCAGGACATTGAAACAGTTACCAGAATTTTTTTTAAACAGTTGAATGTAAAGAGAGAAAGCAAATATTTACCTCTAATACCAGGTTTATGTAAGATTATAATATGCTTGAATGTAATCAAAGTTATTTTTTTAAAATTTAATGATTGATTATTATGCACAATTTTATTCTGTACATATCATCAACAAAAACATTTCTGCTTCTTTCTACAGTGGACAAAAGAATTAATTTAAGAAATTCATGGTCCATCTAACGCACAGGAGTAAGTTGAGTTACTTACTATTAGCTTAAAATGACTGTTTTTTTTACTTTTAAGCTAATATGTCATTTTCCTGGCATTCAAAATTTGTTGAATTTCTGTTTTATTTTTATTCTTGAGCAAATGTCAATAAGCTACACTGCTGTCTGTAAGATATTAATGAATGTAACTAAATAAATGTAACTAACTAAATATACAAAAAAAATTTAGATTATTTTGAAGACTTTAAATTTGAAGAAAATGTTTTGTTCTGAATTGTTATGTTTACAAAGAATCACCCTAATACATTTATCATATGTTATGATCTTGTTAGAGCCTTAAAAAATACCCTCTAAATATAAATGTAGCATTCTAATGTTTTCTAAAAAGTGTAAAACTGTACTAATAAACTTGAGTAAATTTGAATTTAGTTCTTCATAAAGATTAAAATTCAAGAGCAAAATAAAATAAAGGAAAAATATTTACGTGTCTACAAATGAACAGATGAAATGCGTCAGCAATATTCCACTTATAAAACACTAATTCATCATTTCGTTATAACCAATCTTTCGTTGAATGTGTCTAATGTGATTACATTGTTTTTAAAGAATTTTTCTTTCAAGTAGCAATAATGGTAATGATATTAGTTCCTTTAATTAAATTATATTGACGGCAAAATAAGAAAGATATCAAACAATTTAGAGATGAATTTTTTCTTTAGTAAGAGTATTATTTTATTATAATTCCAAATAACGTTTAATCTAATTTTGAAATAATGGAGTTAATTTTTTTAGAAGCTTAGAAATAACACTTCACCACTTCTCTGCAGTGAAAGAAATGTTTTTCATCTTATACCCATTCGCAAGAAACGCTTTTAATGTTATTAATGTTATACTCAGGTGTGTTACCTCAGGTGTTTACGGAAGCATATTTTCAGATTTATTAAATTATTCAGGTAGCAATCTCTCTCTTACTCTAAAGAAAGGACCGGGTTATTAATCAAAAATTATTCTGATTTGTTTTGTATATTGTATGTTTTTTTTAAAAAATTAATTGATTCCATAAGAATTACTGGATTCTACAAGTAATTTTTTCTTTAAGTAAGCTATCAGAAAATTATTTGTAGATATTTAAGGAATGAATTCTAAACAATCAACAAATTAGTTGATAGAATGAGAGCAAGAAATGTTTGAACTATAACAAGACGGAGGCCTAAGAAAAGAGTGGAAAATTCTTGATTCCACACTTTAAGGGAGCAAATAAGTTAATCTGCAGATCAACTTGGTAACGTGAACATAAATGATTTTCGAGCCTTAATTATAACAGTAATATTAATAAAGTGTAAGTAAACACTTCAACCATCTTCATTTTACACAATTAATTATATTTGATTATTAATATAAATTATAATAATTATATTTGATTATTATATTCATTAAATTATTCATCAATTTACCACAGTTTAAATCACTAAAAATGCTATTCAGCTTCCTGAATATTTTCGTGTTCTTTTCATTATACTCAAGGCTGCTTAATTAAGTAGTTTATCTAAGTAATTTTCGGGCGTTATATGTTTTGTTGTGTTTCCTGTTTTTGTTCCTCCGGAAATACTTAAAAAAATTTGACTTTATCCTTGCAATGATGTGTTAATAATGCTATGTTTTATTTTGTACATTCAATGCGCGTAAAAGTCAAACGAAACTTCTTGACATTTTTTCAATTTTTCTTTTAAGGAAACACAAAATGGAATCTTCCGTAACTTTTTGTATATTAAGTGTTCAGGATTAACGCTCTACAAGTTACGAAACTACAGTAACCAAAAATTTTTTTCGCAGCAATGTAATCTGCTACTTTTAATATTTTTTTAAAAGTGTATGGAGTAGGGAGGTACAAAGAAAGTTGTACCCATAAAATTCAATTTCTGATTAACTATTCGACCTATTCGCTATAATTTTGTACTCTGCAATGTAAAATTACGTACTTTAAAATGATGTAAAAATTGTATACCTTAAAACTGAAATTTCTTTCTACTATTATTAAATAAAATATTTAAAAAAATACTAAATATTTACTATATGTAATATTTTGCATGAAATTATCTTTGGCTAAACGAATTTCATAAATGTGTGTGAAAATTTTTCAATTTGCTTAAATTCTGGAGGCATGGAGAAATACGCAAAAAGTAAAATTAACATTAAAGGGCCCAAACTTTGGACTGCTTTCCTGACCAAACAATTGTGTCCATGTTTTTCAGAATGTGACCGCTTCCTACATTTTGTGGATCAGAAATTTGAATTCATTGAAGAAAAAGTATGATAATTTAGAGAAAGTACTTTTTAGTGTCTGATTTTGAAATCTAAAATATAGTCAGCTCTAATTAATTAGAATATTTGAGGTCACCTCTTCACATTATCAAGATTGAGTCCAAGGTCGTCAAGATAGATCGTTAGATCAAAATATATTCTAAGTAGCATTGTTTTTTTCCTTTTCTTTTGCTCACTGTACATTACTTTTTGGAAGAAATTAAAGAATTTCAGACACTTAGCAAGATAACAAATATTTAATAATTTTCTAACATTTCTTGAATTCAATATTTCCTAGTAAGAAAAACAGAATTAGGTATATAAAATGTTGAATGTAGAAGCTAGGTAATTTTTACTGATATGGTAATGATTTTTTTAAAATTAACAATAAACTATGGTTCCGTAATCTATAATAGTATTTGGTAAATGTGGTAAAAATTTGATAATTTTATTCTGACACTTTGAAGCACGGCATAAAAACCATTCAATCGGTTAAATTTGCTTTTCAGTTTTGTATTTTTTACTAAATGTGTGGTAATAAGAGCTATAATTTTGAAAACGAAAATTTATATTAAACCGTTACCATTTGAACGGTTTAAATATTATATATTTTTCGGTTTGAATTACCAGAATTATCGTTACCATACAGTCGTTGCCATACACCATATGCCGTTACCACGCACCATAATAACGTTACCATATCGTACGGTAATTTTACCAGAATTTTTATCTCCGTGTAAAATATATACGCTTTTTTTAAAAAAAGTTAGAATTATTTAGGACGCATTCTTCTATGTTTTAAAGATTATAAGAAAAATTGATATAATGGAACATTTTGTAATTGTTACGATATACTATGTTAAATTTAAAAAAAATTTTTTTTAAAAATTGTCAAAATAATGTTTGAAGTAATAATTCAAAAAGACCATAGATGCAGAAAAATAAAGTTCTTTAGTCTTTTAAGTCTGTGCGCAACTATATAATAGGCCACTTACGAAAAATTAGAATTTATATACCTGTAAAGTTTAAAATAAATAAAAAGACACTTTTCTGATGGGTCTATAAATAATGAAGGATAAGAAAAGTTGTCATTTTCTAGCGAAGAAGAATGTACACTAAAAATTTGATGAAAATTGTAAATCCCTATAAACCTCGATAAAGTTTTTCAATGAGCATAATAAGACTCTGCTCATTCAGTGTAATTTTTTAATATTTAGATAATTTCCAGTAAAATTTTATTTAATTAAATTTTTTTGTAACACAATAGGAAAAATTCAAATAAATAAAATTGTTTATAAAAGGTTTTAAAAATGTCTGAAAAATCGAAGTCAGTTGCTTCCTACACTCAGACTGGACTTTTAATGTGTACTATCAACTTATTTTCACACTATAAAATGTTCACTTAAAATAATCATTTTTTACCAAATTTGGAATGCATGTAATGCAAACTTTAAGAGATTTATCCAAATAACTTTTAAGTTCCAAGGAAAACTTTAACATAGCATTATATTTTATAAGAAAAAATGTACATTATCGTGAATTAAGCGAGCGCAACCAAATGTAACACTTTAAATAACACCTGTTCTAATTATTGGATTTTCACAAAAAAGAATAAATTCTAATGTCTTTCACACAAATAGTTCCAAAGATAATTCTACGCAAAAAATATATTTCAATAATTATTTGTTATTTTTATTGCTTTATTTAATAAAAGTCGAATAATTTTGAATTGTGACACATAAAACTTTTTACTTAATGTAGTGTTGAGTAATTTCGAGTAACGAAATACAAAATTTGAGCGAATTTAGTCGAATAATTATTAAGAAATGAAGGTTTTATAACATAAAGTTTTTTTCTAAATTTTATAACTCAGAAACCGCTTCACTAAATTTGCTCAAAATTTATATTTTGCAATCCTAAATCGCATAATTTAAAATAGTTTAAAAATTTATATAACTTACAGTTTAGAATTATTTTGACCCTTATGATATAGAAATTATTTACTTCACATGGAATTATGTTTGGTTAAATATATTTAATAATCGTGTGAAAGTTTTTTTGATTTACTTCATTACTTCAATTTGATAGCCTTAAAACCAGAATCCATCGAAACAAGATTTATGTTTATTTAGAAAAACATTTAGTGTGTGATTTCGTTACTTATTTAATAGTTAGCATTCATTAGCTGACATATTTGAGTAAACCCTTTTTTACCATTAAGATTGGCAAGTAGGTTGTGAAAACCTGATCAATTGCTCATAAGTTATTTAAGGTGACATCTTTTTTATTTTGTGCACTGTACTGTGTGTGTAAAAAATAGATGCTGGAATGTAACGAAAAATTTTCGGTGACATTTGACCCCTTTTTATGTATACACGTGGTGAATTTTTTCTATTGATAAAATCGAGCGATAAGTCGTCAATCATGTCAACAATCAGTTACAAGTTGAAAACTTTAAGATCAGTGGTAGTGTTAAAAATGCAAAATGTAAGAACGTTACTTTTTCCTCTTTATTTTAACAATGTATGAAAATCGAAGCATTTTTATGCCGTTCAAGCTTTTTGTTTCAGCTAAAAAACTAAAAATTAAGCTAAGTGCATATCAGTTATTTTTAAAATTTTTTGAAGTTATACTTCTTATGCGACTTCCAACAAGGTTGCGTTAAACGTTTAACACTACATTTTTATTGGCCGAGAAATCACGTGGTAGGATCTAGTTTTCTCTCATTCATTTCCATATTGTTTTGGTTCTCACTAGCATAAAAATAATAAAAGTCATAAAAGTAACACATATAATTTAATAGGGTAGTATTTTTTATTTTCATACTTAGTGGATAATAATTGCAAAAAATGAGTGAAAACAATCCCACGGACAATGCGACGGATTTAAGGTTATGTCAAGGTAGGTCTCTTGTGAATATCAATTGATTGTTAGGTTGTCTCTTTTCTAATTGCCATTTATATTTCACCAAATGCAGCCATGAGGGATATTAAATTATTTCCTGCAAAATCTTTATTGCCGCTATCCACTGCAGGTTCACAAGCTTTGGTAGACGTTACTGGTGAAGAAATTGATTATTGTGAGCGGCCTGTGATCCTTTACAGGAGATTTTAATGTGAATTTCTAATTACCTGAAGCTGAAACATTATTAACCTTCCTTAAAGACAAATTTGGATTGGAAATGATAAATGGTAGAAATGATCCAACAACCAAAGGGGTAACTACCATTGATGCAGTTTTTGCAAGAAATATTGAAAAAATAGAACTCAAACATTTCGTATCTTACTTTAGTTATCATAATCCCATTGTAAATGTTATAGATTTGGATATTTCTCCACTCGAAAATGATAATTAAAAGATGCGATCAATTGTGAATTGTAAGCATTGTTAATAAAGTTTGTCTTAAAGAAACAATATGATTTCACTAAAAATCAATTTCTACCCCTTCCTATTTTCATTTCCACATTACGAAGTTTAACTTTTTACGCGCGGAGGGACTACACGCACTTTTTTTTTTTTTTAACATTCAGTCTTAAAACTGTCAAAAAATAATGTAATAAATTTGTTCTTGATCTGCAGAATTTTTAAATAATTTTTTTAAAAATTGTTTTTAAATAAAGCTGTTTTGCAAATTAGTTTAAATTAAACGATGAATTTCTCGGATTATGAAAACTTAAAACAAGATGAAATACCCAAAAATTGTAAAACGTATTTAAACCAATTTTTAATAAATAAAAACGAATTTTATGAAATAACTGAATTACTAATTAGCTCAATCAATGAAATAGCTGAATTATTAATTCACATTTTATTTATGAAAGTTAGGAATATTTAATTATATGTAATTTCCGTCCTAAAAATTCTAAGAAAAAATGAAATAATGATGTCATAGTATTTTGTATTTTGTTATTAATAATCATTGAATTTTAATACCATTTTCACTTTTGGCACAAATTTGGTTTTTTATAAACTCTGTTTCCGTTATGATATGATTTTAAAGACAGGTTAAAAAGATTTTTTTTTAAATATAGCTTCAATATGAAAAAATTTAGTTTCCTGCTAAATTATCTTTCACTCACAAAGCTGCAGAAGTTAGATTTGTCCATGTTTTCCAACAACCGGAAGAAAAAGCTGTTTATCTCAAATGTTTCTCAACCTTCATTTCATTGTCCATTTTTTCCCGGAATAACAGTTTTATATTCGAAAGCAACGTTTAGGTTGAAATTATTCTGTTTAAAAAATGAAGAATTTCACTGCTGTAATTTGTATGGTCTTTGCAAATATTTGTATATTATTTCAACCAACAGTAAGTAGATATCATACTTTCATAAATCTTTGACGTGTTTAAGCAATAATTTGTTTCCCATTATAATCATGATAAGAAGATGATATTGGGTTTTAATAAATAATTATTATTATTAAAACCCAATATCATGTTCTTATCATCCTCTTATATTCGAAAGCAACGTTTAGGTTAAAATTATTCTGTTTAAAAAATGAAGAATTTCATTGCTGTAATTTGTATGGTCTTTGCAAATATTTGTACATTGTTGCAATCAACAATAAGTAGATATCATACTTTCATAAATCTTTGACGTGTTTAAGCAATAATTTTTTCCCCATTATAATCATGATAAAAAGATGATATTAGGTTTTAATAAATATTTATTATTCGTATTATTTTTAATAGCAGCAATAAATTTTAATAATTTCAGTAAGGAAATCTGCGTTTTGCTCTGAAATCAGTAATTTTCATTTTAATTTAAAAAAAAATTGATGCGATTATCGTTGTAATTATTTTAAAACAGTTATAGGCAACGCAAAAACAAGTCATTTTAAAAATATCATATTATTTGAGCAAAACATCTGCGAAGACGGTGTTCACTGTTGATTTGATCAAAACCCTTTAGAATGTCAAAATTCTAATTTTGTATAAAACTGATTAAGTTTTCTGGGTTTACTATAGCTGTTCGAAAAATCTAAAAACTGGATTTCTTATTTTCAGTTAGCCTGTGAACATATTTGCCGATTTATTAAAATTATGAAATTGAAAAATAGGGTCAAGTTGTGTGAATCGATACAAAAAGACATCATGTACTTCACTTGATTTTAAATATAAGAATTCGTTAAAAAGTTAAAAATTTTTTCCTGTAATTTTACACATTAAGTTTTTTACCCATAAACTTAACGCATAACATATTTTATGCATACTTATTTTACACTTACTTTAGTGAATAATTATTTTACATAAATTTATCATTCTTAAAATTTTTAAAAATGAGAATATAGATCATAAATGAAGACAAAATGAACATATAAAGACAAAAATGTCTGAAATGGTTGTTGTTTGCAAATTATTTTTTTAAAAATTTATTTAAAAATATACCTCCTTTTAATTTTCCTTGTTTAATTAATTTCAGTATGATTAAATAAAAAATTGTCAAAAAATAATAAACTTTTACTTGACCCTCTTATTCAGTAATGTAATTTAAGTTTTAGTAATAAAAGAGCAGTTTCTTAAATTTCGTGTTTCTTATATTTGTATTTAATTCGCAAAATAATGCGCATTTTAAAAAATTATTAACTTTGCTTTTTAATTTAATAAATTCAAGAAAATTTATCAAAATACGAACTTACAAAAATGTGAAATGTATTTTATAAATCTTTTTAAATTTATAAAGTAATGAAAAAAAGCAAATATTTTTCCTCTGAACCATTTTATTCTTTTGAAAATTGTGCTTCATTTTGATTTCAATTTTTAATTTGATAATTAGGAAAATATTCTTGGACTAAAAACTTTTTTTAGGAAATCATTTTAAAGTTGATTCATAAATGCAACTATAAAAATTTGTCTATTTAGCATTAGAAAAAATTATCTTTGTAAGATTTTAAGCTATTTTTGCATTTTTGATAAATTAATCTTTCTTATTCACTTAATCCATCACATTTAATAGAAAAGAGCATTAAACTACACTGAAGAAATTCCGAATCAAATCACGGTATCCTAAGTGCTGGTGCACTTTGGGTACTTTTTATCGGAAAATATTATAGATCTAAAAACCTAATATACCGCAATTTTTACAGTGATAATTATCTTAAAATCGTTGAATTACTCCAATAAATTAAATATTATTATAAAAATTACAGTACAGTATTTTATTGTCAAAATGGATTTTACGGATGTTACACCTAAAGTGCCGGTATTTTATACCGTAATTTGATCCGGATTTTTTACAATGCAACAAGTCAGTGTTTAAGTAATATCTGTCATGAATATCAAGCTTAAGCAAATATCAAACACCGGAAAACGTCAGTTATAAAGTCATGAACTACTTTTTCTTATTCTACTTACACCGAAGAACCATTACATTATCTGTAACAATGGACTCAACCAGGTTTTCATGTTTTCTCGCCCAGGAACAATGTTTTCATGGGGCACATTAGGACCCATAATCCTCATAGAACAATCCCTGACATCTGTGAGCTACTTGAACATAGTTGCAGATCATGTTCACATATTCATGGCAACAGTTTTTCCTGCGTAGGATGGTGTTTACCAACAGGATAATGCACCATGTCATAAGGGTCGAATCGTCATGGATTGGTTCGAGGAACATTCCAGTGACTTTCAAGTCATGTCTTGGGCCCCCAAATTCACCTGACCATAATCCAATAGAGCATTTGTGGTCCTACTTGGAAAACCTAATTTGTGCTGCCACACTACCCCCTCGCAATGTGAAAGAATTGCAGGACCAAATGGTGAGCGCTTGGTACCAGATACCTCAGACTACCTATCAGCACCTTGTGGAATCAATGCCACGTCGGGTGCTAGCAGCTTTGAGGACTAAAGATGGTCCTACATGTTATTAGCAGGGTGGTCATAATGTAATGGCACTTCGGTGTATATTACTATAAAAAAGTTATTTAATAAAGATTGGATGTTTTTGAGGTTCGGTATCATGGAGTCGTCATTAAAAAATTGAAATTTGGAGTTTATGCAGTCACGGTCAATTGACCGGCCTTTTGAGTGTACGATTCTGACGAGCGGATTAATATTATGGTTCGCAGAACACGAAGTCACCCGAAGTTAGAAAGTTATCTTGATGAATATATGAAACTACCTGCAACATTGGAAGAAACATTTATCTGACATAAGAGAAACGGTCAATTGTCAGGCCTTATGAAAGTACGACAGACGAACAGATTAAAATTATGGTAAGCAAAACATGAAGATACCCGATGTTAGAATGTTATTTTGATGAATGCATAAAACTACCAGCATCATAATTGGACTACGGGGTAGTAAATAGTTAAATAATTATTTAATAAGTTTATGATAAAATAACAGTAAAAGTTAAAATAATTAGTTAATAATAAAAATTAATTTGACATAAGGGAAACGTTTTAGAAGATGTTACATTATGAATCTCTGCAGTGCCGAACAAAAATAATTTGATTTAGCTTAAAATATTACAATTAAACAATTTTTACATGCTGAACTTAATTTAGAATTGTTTATATCTGAAACTAAAAAATTTGAGATCTAAACAATTATAAACCCTATTAAATAATAATCAGATATAAACAATTATTAGCCCTGTTAAAAAATAATAGTTTTTAATTTTAAGTATATACTCGTCATTCCAAACCAAAATATTAAGTTAGCACAAGTTTTAAAAAACTTAAGTTAATACAGCAGCACATTTCATAAAAATTTTGGTTTAAAGATTACGAATAATTTATGTTATATTTCGATGTATTTGAGATTAAACACTGAGAAAAAAGTATTGTCAAAACTACCAGAATATCTTAAAATTTACATCGTGTGTCTCTGGCACTTTGAAGACACCAAAAAGCTCGGTAATTTTTACCGAAGCACCTTGTTAAGGATTTTGGTAAAATTAACTAAAACAATGATTGTATATAATATTCAATCAATTTTGTAAAGGTGATAAAATTTAGTAATTTTATCATTATACCTTAGGGCATGACATAAAAGCCAATTACACGCACGCTTAAATTTACTTTTCAGTTTCGTATTTTTTAATTACATGAGGGGTAATAAGAATTATAATTTTGAAAAACTAAAATTTCCGGAAAACTGTTACTACTCCATGAAAAAAGCTTCTAAACGAAGTTTCTAATAAACTAAATACTCAATATTTTAAATTTTTTTCATAGTGATAACACTGTGCAATGAAAATTGAAGTATGAAAAATCCTAGTAGAATAAATTATGATTGTAGTTTTATATCGTGAACCTTGATTTAAATTGTGATTCAAGTATAGGGTTCGAAATTTTCTACGGCTATCACAAATTTATTTTTTTACTATTAGTTTTTAATTCCCTTTGTTTGAACATTCTAAGGGAAGAATTCGTAGGCAGTAATCAAGTAATCGGAATTATAGTCCGGTCAACCAACTTTTTTATTAATAATACTGTACTTTTTTTTTTGCTGATTCTAAGAAGAGTTCGTGTGATATTAAGCCAGCATAAACGCGAAAAGTTTCTAAGCTACCATATCGTCTTTAAATCCTACTGTGAACTATCAACCAAAGGAACTGTAACCGTTTTTTTAATTTATTTATTTTAAATTTTTTAAAAAAAATGACAACCTTATATTTGGTTTATTGCCTACGAACTTACATCTGTATGTTTGCTAACTGGAGCGAAAATGCGATTTTCCAAAAATGTGCCAGTGAGCTTCTCTTAGCACGTGAGCGAGGGATTAACGATTACTGCATTGAGCTATTTTAATGCAAAATAAATTTTAAATTTAGCAAAATAGAGAAAATGTTTTAGCGGGCAGTCTATGTGAAAGCAATGCTACATCCTTTTTTAGCAGAACCATTTAGTGCAGTTTAGAATAACATAACGTAATAAGGCCGTTTCAATGAAAGATGAATATCCACTAGAAATTGCAATAGCACAAAGAAAAATGTTTAAATATTAGTTTCATACAAATGTTCTATTTTTTTTTTGTTGGTTTTTCATAGACTTTAATTTACTTAAAAATTATTTTAATTAATTAAGTTTGTAAATAAACGTATTGATTAAAAAATATTAATTTTGAAATAGATAGTTAAAATACAAAGTAAACCAAAAGACGTATTATGAAGTAAAGTTTAAATGTCAAAAGAGGTATAAAATACTAACTTTTTAAAATTTTACGAGAATTTAAAACTGAGTTAAAAATTAATATTTATTTTTAGGTTAAAAGAGAGAGAGAAATGAGAAAATTGAAATAAAATATCATTTTTCAAAAACACTTACAAGAAATGCTGAACAAGGAGAAGTTTTCTTGTATTCACAATAAGACAATAATAATTCTTTTCGAAAGAAACTCAATATCTTATGTTATGTTCTTTTTTTAAATCTGTGGAAACTAATGACTTCTTAAACCTCGCCAGAATTAACCTACAAGTTTCGAAAAACTTTCTTTTTTAAAATCATTTCATAATTTATTTAATCATTCAGGTAACACGAATTCCGTGTTACTTACGAAAAGCCATTGGAGCATGCAACACTTATGAAAGAAACTGCAAATCCGTATAATGGCTTGCCAACAGCATGATAAAATATATAATTTTCATGCTTCTTGGTGAAGGTCATTTTTATTTTATTTTATCGTTTTTTTCTGTGTTTGCTTATTTTATCATTTATTTGTCATTTGTTTTCATTAAATTAATTTCAAATATAGTTTTTAAAAGAATAATTTCTAAATTTTTCTTGATTAAATAAATCGTCTGAATTTCTTAAGTTTTAATTAAATAAAATAAGTTATAACAAATAAAAAAAATCGTCTGATTTTTTTTTTACTTTTTGCGTTTTCAAAAACAAAGTTGCTAAACTAAAGCCCTTCAGAGCTTTAACGAAAACTACCATTAAGAAAGTGAAGGCGGAAAGGTTAAATTTGAAATGGGCAAAGCTTCATAGATCTTACTCCAATAACTGAAATATTTTCCAAAACTGTACGAAAATGCATGTGAGTAAAAATATAAATGATTTTTGCATTTTAGGGCATTCACAGATACCTGGCATCGCTATTTAGTGCAAACCGATAATTTTAGTAGAAAAATAGATCTACGATTGAGAGAAAATAAATAAAGATAACAAAGAAAATAAAAAAAATCAAAGCTGAAAATTACATGATTTTTTAAAAAAAAATAGAGATAAAATTGAGATTATTGGAATTTAGGATAGATAATTTATTTCTATTTTTTATTTTTTTAGTGTTTTAAGTACTTGATTCTTATGTACATGCTTTTTTAAAATCTAAACGTGCTTAAATGTGATTTCTTGCTAAGGGCACATTGCGTGGAAGGTACATACATTATTAAATTCAGCCGTTCCACTATGTTTTTGGCATTGTATGTATTTGACCTACGAAGGAAAAGTACTGTATAAAACTACCAGAATATGGAAAATGTTGCATTGTTTCTGGCTCTATGGGAACACTAAAAAGTTCTGTAATTTTTACCGAAGTGAATTGGTAATGATTTTGGTAAAGTTAATAACAAAATATGGTTTTATAATATTCGATACAATTTGGCAAATGTGGTAAAATTTGGTAGTTTTATCATGACACCTTAGAGCATGGCATAAAAACCATTTACTCGATTAAATTTACTTTTCAGTTTAGTATTTTTTGCTAAATGTCTGGTAAAAAGAATAATAATTTTGAATTCAGAATTTCTGGTAAACCATTACCATATGAACGGAAAAAGTAACAAATGAATGGTTTAAACGTATATTTTGGTTTTATTAATTAGGATCATTGCTTTTGTTACCAGAAATGTCACTACCTTACAGTACGGTAATTTTTTCAGAATTCTTTTTCTCTTGTGACTATTTCATTATGTACTTGACGTGATAGGGAAAATATATTAGAAAAAAAATATTTCCAGATAAAAAAAATCCAGATAAAAAAAATATTTCTGGTCATTTTCATGACATTTTTCAAAACAAAATTTTTAATCCTATCAATTACAATCAGTCTTAAATGTTTTAAAAATAAATGTATTTTAGAGGTTATAAGCTAATTAAATCAGTATTTTTTTTAAATTCCTGAAAGCTATTTCTAAAGACTTTATTAATTATACTTTCTTTTGTAATTTGTTTATAACATAAAATAGAATTTTTACACACTTTATTGTCCCTAAACATTTCATTATCAAAAATAATGAATCTTAGTATCAAACATATTTGTTGAAACAAATTGAAGTGTTAAACTGAAATATGTTTTTATTCACTTTTAATCGGGAAAACAAATTAGTTTTGTATTATTTTTCTTGATAATGTGGTTTTTACACGTTTTATGGATGAGGCATATTTATACTATAAGTGTGTTTGAAAGTTTCGAATAGTATTTACAGCAAATGTTTTGTAATTTTCTATTTATAACTGCTTATTTAAATAATTCAGAGCTTAGCTCACAAATTTATTTAAACAATTTTCAGCAAATTTCCCTGTTTTTCAGTTTATTTTTTGGTTTGGATATCAAAAATATTTTTGTAAGCATTAGTTGATTTAATCATACTATATTTGTAACTTTTAAGTTTTGTTAAAACCGTATTTTTACAACTTGATTGTTTTTGATATTTTCAATGTTTCGGGTTTGAACAAGCATTTTTTTAAAAATCTATTAACTAAAAGAAAAATGGATGCCAAAAACAGTTGAAATATTTTACAGTCTTAAAAGGAATAAAATTATGCTCATAACTATTGTATGCTTTCACTAAAATCGTCTCTACGTTAAACTACAATACTGGTAACTTAAGCCATAATACGGGAAAAATTTGTGCAACTTTGCGATATTAAAATGGACTTTTCTTTTAAGTTTTTTTTAAGTTGAATTATAGTATTACTTAGCAAAGTTTTTGAAAACGTATTATATGGCACAACTTGGCACGATATTATGATTGTGGCAAATTTCAACCATATTATGGTTGAACAAGGACCAAATTTCCAACAGTTTATTCCATACTTGAAAAAATCTGTAATATTCTGCAAAATTTTGGTAAAATTAATGCGACTGATTTTAATTTGAGATTAGCATTATTATGGTTGGGTTAAAGGTGGGAGGTTTTTGCCATTTTTCTTTGGATTGTAACGCTACTGTGTTTTAATTCCACTCAAAAAGTAATATATTTACGAACGCTTGTTTACTGCGATATTTTATTGAGATCTTCATTCTCAGAAAAAAATCGATTCAACATTGATTCAAAATATCAGAACCTTGTACCAGAAAAATGGGTTCTACGTTGAAACATACTATTAGTACCATGAACCAGAAGAATTGGTTCAACGTTTAACCATAATATCGATACCTTGAATCAGAAAAAAAAAGAGTCGAAACAGTGTTGAAGCAAAATATTAGAACCCAGATCCATGAAATAGATTTAACGTTGATCTACAATATCAATACTTTGAATCAGAAGAATCAGTTATACATTGAATCATAAAATAGGTTCTTTGAACCAGGAAAATAGTTTCAACGTTGAACCATAATATCGATACCTTGTGCTGTGCGATAATGCAGTACAAATTTGCTGCAATCTAAATAATAAGTGAAATCGAAACAAGACACTTTTCTAATTTAACCGTGGTATCGTGTTATAAAGTTTACAAAGTACGTTATCGTACGTTATTGTGGTTCAACGTAACACCATATTATGGTTGCAACAAGTTTGACGAATATTATGGTTCAGCACGCTTTAAAATTTCGAGCAACAGCTAGTTGGATTAAGCAATATAAGAAGTCAGTGAGAAAAGTTTTTAGTTTTAAATTTATTGCATTATAATATAAAAAAGAATTAGGTAATTTTATAAATTGGCACTCAATTTAAACGAAAAACTAACTACTGAAAAATTAAATAAGATAATTATGTTTTTATTCCTTAGGTGGGACTGGAAAATGGTGCTTTCAACGAAGGAATTGCCGATTTCATAGATGAAAATACAAGTGGTGAGGCTGCCGTTCCATTTCTTCTACCAGAAAGCTTAGACGAAGTAAAAAATATCAATGTGCTTCAAAAAATTCGTGATAGTGATTTAGGAACAGTACTCGATGCCAATGAAGATGGAAGTAATTATGAAGTAATCACTCAAGCTCAACTCCTCTTCAAGGAAGTAGTCGATAGAGGTGAGGATGAAGTGAAAGTAGCTGGAGCAGCAATGGATTTGTTTGAAGAAATAAAAGAGATACCTAAAGAAATACACGATTCATTCAAAGATTCGGCAAAAAATGTATGGAATAAGGCCAAGAAAGTTTCCGGACACGTGTTGAAAATTCCAAATCAGGTGTCCGATATGTGGAAAAAATCTTCTGTGACCACTGAAGAAAGTGGCTCAAAAGGTGGATTATTCAGATTTCCTCGATTAGGATGAAGGAATTTTGTTTAGAACGATTTCTGTTTCGAAAGTAATGGTTTTGATTGTGTTTCACCAATTATTTGCTAAATGTTTCATCTGATAAATTAGAAAAAGAATAGTATTTTGTTGATTCAATCCGATATTTTTGGGGATAAATAAAATATAAAAATATTTTAATGCTCGGTACTAATAACACAACTATGTCAAATAATAACACAACATAACGCTTATATTTAATTGTTTTGTGCTTGTAATGCATATGTATACGTAACAATAAATATATAAATAAATTCTTATAATTGTAATTTTTTTTAAAAATTATTTTTTTACAGCAGTCTTCTCTATCTGTTATACGCTATTTAAAATGGAGGTAGCTGATTCGAATTAAAACATAATCATGAGTGTGTAGTAGTAAATAAATAAATATGGTTTCGATACGTATACAGGTTCGTGTGCTGAACACGAAGAATGGCTTGACTCTCGTCAAATCACAGAACAGATAGCACAAAAATGAGATTAATAGCAAAAAAATATTGAGCCCACTACCTTTATGCATCAGAGAGTTTGATAGAAGGAAACCTATTGGCAATGTCGTCTCCAATAATATATGGTTGTTTTACTTGAATCTCGCCGTACAGTATTGCTGTTCTGCTAATCGCTTTGAAGCATATAGTGGGTAAAAATTCTATTTGAACATTGGATGTATATTCTGTACATTGTTACTGCTTTTTGTATGATTGTGCAATATCTTTTTCACATTGAAAATAGTTTTTAAACCGTTTTTTTTACAAAAAGCAAGCATAAGTATGTAAATAAATAAATCTCTCTACTCCCTATAAAAGAGGGATAAGGCAGTCACCATAGTTTGATACATCTGAGTTTAGTATCTTTAAAACACTTTAATTAAACATTTGAAATAATAATCTATGTCCCCTTTCTCTTTGCTATAATATAATTGAGAAATTATATTATAATAAGAAACCACCATTTTAAGTAAACTATTAAAGTATAAACATATTATTACTATTCTATTTCCTAAGAGGCATAGACGTTAAAAAATAAACATTAAAATGAGTGAAAGTTCAAAGGATCATTTTGATAGTTTTATCGTGATACTTTAGAGCAGAGGTCGCCAAAGTGGTCTATATAGATCCCCAGGGGTCTATTTAACAAAAGCGGGGGTCGATCTGAGCCAGGGGGTCGAATGAGGGTCGATCCGAATCGGAAGGGTCGATTGGGGGTCGAAGAAAAAACAGTTCTTAATACACAAATCCCACATACCTAATTAAGTATGTAAAATTTGTGATTTATAATTGACTTAATGTCAGCTTCTTCAGAAAACATAAATTAATAAACGTATATTTATTTGGGTGAAACAAGTATTTACGTACCAGCGCGCAGTGGCACGTACTCTGCACTTCTGGTTTATAAGTCATATGCATATGTGCGCTTGTCTAAATGTCACGTGTGACGAGCATTGACGTTACAAACGCAAATATCATACCCAGTTTCAGCTATCCTTGCAAACTGTGAACAGTGTTGAATATTTGCAGTGTCATTATTAAAACTTTTATAGTTTTGGATAATTAGTTATTGATTCGATAAAACCATTCGTTTAGTTTAGATATCAGTTTTAATTATCAATGCAGGTAAAAAAAGAAGGTAAGCATTAATAAGATGGCAGCAATGTACAGCCCGCCACAAAACTATGGCACTCTTTGTATTTTTTTACGAAAATTACAAAATTGACCAATTTCAACGAAAATAAAAATTGACCAATTTTGACGAAAATTAAAATTGACCAATTTTGAACCCAATGTAGCGAACCNTATTATTACTATTCTATTTCCTAAGAGGCATAGACGTTAAAAAATAAACATTAAAAAGAGTGAAAGTTCAAAGGATCATTTTGATAGTTTTATCGTGATACTTTAGAGTTTAGAGTATGGCATAAAAACCATTTAATTGGCTAAAATTACATTTCAATTGCAATAAGTCTTTATATTCCTTAGACAATTTTATGTGTTTTTTATAATCTTCAGGGCCAGGATTGCCTGGTTGGTAGGGCACTGGGACCATGTCCAATAGGTCGTGAGTTCGATTCCCGCAGACCGAAAACTCTCGGTGTAGTGAATGGTGATTGATGCACGTTAAATCTATCGGGGTCAAAAAGTCCTCCAAGTTTCCATAACAAGTCAATACGTCTGGGGGTACTTATCCAGGAGTTCCCTTGTCTTCTGGATTGGGTTCAAAATTACAAGGCTACAGATTTGAACATTGGTTGTCGTAAACCCACAATTGGGTCAGTTGTTTAACAATGGTTATAAAATAAAATATTTATCTTCAGATGCATTGAAGTTGATAAAATGTTTGAATTCACAAATTCAATGGATGCCGATTTTGTTTTGTTTTGATCTAGTTTTTCCGAGAAAAGGTCGGACTGTGCCATTTATAAAGTGCTGGATTAGTTTAATAGTTTTGACACAATTAAATGAAGTTAGTAGGTACATAAATGAAGGTTTGATTATGCATGTTTGATTAGTAAAAAGATTTCTTAAGCAACTTTGTTGTAGTGCTTGACGAAGAGATTGGTTTCTTAAACAATCTTAGAAACTAGAACATTTTTTAAATCATTGGACATTCAATCCACACATAAAACAACACGAAACAGAATATTTCAAATTATTTTATTTAATCGTCAATAACAAATGATTTCAGAAATAAAATATTTCGTAATTAAAAAAATTAATAACATATATGCAAATGTTAGATAAAAAATTATCCTTTTTTTTTTACACAAAAACGGCGGGACACAGAAAGATCTAATTAAGAAAAACATATAAATGTAGACAATATTATTTAAAGTCCTGACTTTTACTGAGCCATACCATCAACCGGAAATCACGGTGTTTTATAGATATCTGTTGGGAATCTAAAACAGGAATCTGTTGGGTCACAAAATCCTCCATGATCCCTCAATAAATCATACTTTGGGGGTATTGAATTGGTGATTTACCATTCTCTGGTTCAGGTCAAAATTACGGTCTGTGGATGTATTAATGCCCTATAAACGAGTTTTGACGTATACGTGTGGCCAAAGTCGAAATCTTGGCCATAGATGGCGCCACTGGAGAACAAGAAGAAGCGCACCCTCTTGATATATTATATAATGGTATAATGGTATATGACAACAACAACAACAACAACAACAAATCTATAATGTAATTTAGATACCTAAAATTTAGACACATAAAATTGAGTTTCATTTTTAATCTTTACTATGGACACTTCATAGGATCGCCACTAGTGTTCCACCCTACAAATTCACCCCTATTTTGCTTTTTTAACCAGGCATGTAGAGGTTGAAAATATTCCAGAATTGAGGCAGAATCCATTTTATCAGTTTTTCCTTTTGTAATCAGTTTCATGGCTTCTGTCCATGGCACTGAGCTACCCAATTTGAGCATGTCACTGAAAAAAAAAATAATATCTTACTTTTTTTAAAAAAAGTTCTTCAGTATGTTTAGTTTTAACGAAATAACAGTTCAGAAAACAAAATTTTATTTAATGTCAAGAACAGACAATCGAATGGTTGAAAATCTATTCTGCGGTTTTGATTTAAAAATAACTTTACATTTTTAATGCTTGAAAAAATGTGTATTTATTTATTTAACGTCGGCGGTTGGTAGTTAAACGGGAAAATCGTAAATAATATTATAAAGAATATCCAAACTTATCTTCCTTTTTCGTTTTAAAACTGTAACACTTACTGTGTGAAAGAAATATTAAATTAAATATTTTTGGATGCTTTTATTATTATTTACGAGTTTTCTGCGAAAAATTAAGAAATATAAAAAAAAAATCAAAAACTGTAGCTTCCTATGAAGTCAGACTTAAAGAGCTTCGTTTTTGTCGAAATGATTCGTTTTTACTTCAATTTTTGGAAGCTTGAACAATAAACAATTCTAAAAAGCGATACATTTATGTTAAAATGCGAAGATAAAGCAATTCTTTAAGAGTTTACAAAATAGTGTAGCTTCAAAAGAAATTTAGTTAGTGCTTTAATTAGTTAGTTAGTGTTTTAATTAATGTTGTGATAATTACCTTAGAAGTTTTCCAGCTTTTTTGTTTTTATATATACTGCATTTATGTAGAGGGCCTTTGTGACCGGCTTCCTCACAAAGAGATTGATGAAATTGAAACTGAACTATTATACTTGCAAAATACCTGGAAAAATGTAAAAAGTATTTCATTATTCTTGATGCGACAAAAAAAATGCAAAAAAAAGCAGTAGCAATAACAATAATAACTTTTCTAAATTCTTAATGTCTCATTTTATATAAAGTTATGATAGTTGGTTTACTTCATTTACAAATATTATTATCTCAGATTATAAGACTTTGCATTTATAAAAAAATTTAGATTTCTTCCTATACTTAATTTATGTAATGTTATTTTTGAATTATTGTGTCAATAAAAAATGAAGGAAATTTAAACATGTTTACAGTGTGCAAAATAAAAAAAGTGAAGCAGTTAAATAACTTTCGGTCTAATGATCGGATTTTTACGTTCTAGCAAGAAATTTTTATATTTTGAGAGATAAAACTTGAATATACCAGCTAAACATACAATATTTTGAGTTATGAAATCATATTAAAGCACTAAAATTTCTCCGAAATAAACATATACTTTTTCCAATGGTTTTGTATTTTTCTATGGAGTATGGGTTAGGAAATTGCTAGAAAAATTAATACAAGAAAAATTAATATTCAGGGAACCAAACTTTTAACCGTTCACCTGACTAAACATGTTGAATCATGTTTCCAGATTGCTTCTACCCCTCTATTTTGAAGATCAAGAATCAGAAACAAGTGGTAAGATGGTATACATATTAATAGATAGTATATAATTTAATAATTTAATTACAGTCGAATCTCGTTAAGACAAAGCCGAAGGATAGAAAAAATCTTTTCGTGTTAACCGTTATTTATTAAATTTAAAAAAAAAAATCACTATTGTAAAGATATCAAAGAATTTAAATATCTTACTGATGACAAATGAACTTCTAAATCACCATAAAGATACATATTTTATGCTGATTTTATATTTATCTCTATTTTTAACCGAAAAGATATTATTACGCCCTGCGTACGTACTAGCCTATACTCACACTACGTGTACACCTGACGGTTGCATTTGTACTGTACTATGCTTATTAAAAAAATGTCTAAGGAGAAATTGTTTAAAAAATTTAAAATTTTATTTCTCCTTTTCCCTATTTTTTTAAAAAATCGTTTATAGATTTTTGTTTGAAATTTGTATTCTACATGCTTCTCTTATCTACCTTAATGAAGCAACGCAAACTTCTTCATTCTTTGCAGATCTCATCAGTTTTCTTGCAGACTCTAAATGATTAATTGCACAAGCCGCTTCAATTTATTCTCGATTTTTAATGATTGACAAAAGAGTACTAGCACATAGTCCGTTCTTTGATGCAATTGCTATTTTTTTAAATGTTATCATCAAAATCCCTCACTCCCCCCCAAAAAAGCTTTCTGCTTTATTTCCAAACTAAAATATTTTTATTAACTCAATTTCACACTTAGAGTTTCACTCCACCTAAAAGCAACAAACATTCGCAAAAAATAACTAACATTAAAACAATTTCAACATCAGCTGTGAAAGAATGCAGATCTTTTCTCTTTCCCCAGGGTCAGCATTTAAGTCGGGACTATTCACATCGATATTTAAAGTCTAAGCCTGCTCAAGTGCTCAGTTCTGGATGTCACCAAATGCAGATTCATATGAATTAACGGTGGCCTCTCTAATTTGTTACAAAACCAAATTCATTAATCCCATTTGTCTAGTTCATAAAAAAGTAAAAACCTTCTTACAGCGATGAAGGCTGCCTTAAATGTCACAGTAAGGAATTTTTTTACATTAGGCATAATATTTACTTCATTTTAAGTGCAAGTAGCTTATTTCTGTGTTCGTAAAAAACAAAGCAATTTTTACTGTTTCCTAAGATAACGTAACGAGGAAACTGTTTTATTTCGTCTTCAGTAAAAACTCGTGTTAAGCGTTTTCGTCTTAACGAGGTCCGACTGTAACTTATAAATTCCTTAAAGATTTGTTAGTGCGTGATAAACTGATTTTTAGATCAAAAATTAAGTTTTTCTCACACATTCTATAATGTAACGGTTTTAGGCAATTCAAGTTAATATTTGGTTATGATGGTAAATAACTGTTATAAAACTTTAAAATTCAATTGAAATAAAAAAAATCCTCAATTCATTGCTAAAATATCATTTAAGGAAAATTAAAAAGTTTGATATCATGTTTTTTTTATTATAAATTTTAAAACCTCACTCATGGGGAAAGATTTTTTAACACTCGAGAATTATCACAGGGAATTACTTGAAATTACTACTTGAAATTTTAAATTTGGCAGGTCTCTTGCAGATCTCGGAAACATTTTTAACTCAGTTGTTTCCGCCTGAAATCATACATAAAGTACAGTTCGCCAAAGAAAAATAATTAAATACTAAAATAAAACGGACCACCCTGAATAACTTTTGATTTAATGATCGGATCTTCAAGTTCTATGACTGATTTTTATACATTCGAGGGGTGGCCTAAAATATGCTAATTAATTAGTGCAGATGATATTCTAAGTTACGAAATCAGACACATAAACGCACTTTCTCTGAATAAGCATACCTTTTTACAACGGATTTAGATTTCTGACCCCCAAAATATAGAGGGTAGCCGCAATATGGGAAATATGGTCCCCATAGTTTAGCCAGAAGAGCAATCCAAAGTTAAGTCTCCTTAATGTTAATTTCACTTTTTGCGTATCTTGCCATATCTCGGGAACTTTCTACACTGTTATAAAACTTTTGTACTACTTTGAACTAAACTTTTATACACTATTATAAAAATCGTCTATTCAAAGATAACATAATCCTTGTAAAAAATAAATTTTAGCAAACATTTTTTTATTATTTTATTTAATAAAAGTCGAAAATTTTTTTAATCGTAAGGCATAAATTTTTTTACGTCACCTTCAAATACGTAATTTTACATGGAAAAGTAAAAAATTTGAGGAAACCTGTCGAATAGTTTCTAACAAATCGAATTTTGAAAAGGCGACTTCTTTAAAATTACATTTCTCAGAAACTATTCAGCCGATTTTGTTCAAATTTTGCATTTTGTCAAATAAAATTTTCTACTCTAAAATGATGTATACATTTTTCTACCCTTCAATTAAATTTTTTCGACTATTATTTAAGAAAACAATAAAAAATAATAAATATTTACTAAAATTTATTTTTGTGTATACATATCTTTGGAAAAACGAATTTTATAATTGGGCACAAAAATGTTGCAATTCATTTAAAAGGCTCTCGAGGTATGTGAAAAAGTAAAAATAACTATAAGAGGTTCAAACTTTGGACCGCTCTCCTGAGCAAACGATTGGGACCATATTTCCCAGATTGCGGCTACCCCTACGTTTTGGTTGTCATAAATCCGAATCTGTCGAAAAAAGGCATATTTACTCAGACAGTAAGTTTTTGTGCCAGATTTCGTAACTTAAAATATCGTGTGCTAATCAATCAGCCGTCTATCAATCAGCATATTATGGGTCCCCTTCTCGAACCATTAAGATTGAATCCTAGAGCGAGATGAAGAGACCGATTATTAGAACAAATGTTATTCGTTTCTTTTTATTTTGCACAGTGTACATTCTTATTTGTTCACACGCAATTTTTTTCCGATGAATGTTCCTCTTGTATCTTCCCCTTTTCCCAGTCCTTATTTTAACTCAAAATCCGCAATTAAAATGGTCTTCTATTAAATCTGGTAAGATATTTAATTTGATGGTTGAAGCAAAAAAGTATTTCTCATTTCTGAAATTAATAAAATAAATACTTTGAGTAACTTGTATCAGCTCCTACGTGGTACAATGCACCAGCATCTAAATCATCTTCACTTCGTAAAACCGGAGGGCACAACCCCTGATAATCGAGCCTGAAAGAATATTAAGAGTAAATATTATTATATTACCGTCAAACTTGGATCATAGGAAGTGGAACGGGTTAGAGAAAAAAAACTGAAACAATCATAAATACGAATTCCGTATATTCAACTGGCGTTTTTTGGCGTTGGTTGGACGTTTTTACTAGCTGAATACCCATTCTTCGTACGTTGTGAAGAAAATTAAGCTATCAATAAATCAGAATTGAACAATACTTCGAAATCATCCACAAAATTGAAAGTCATATACTAGCAAAATTAATAAAGCTGAAATAATTCCAATTTTCTTCCACTTTTTTTTTAGCTTGCCGCGGGTTTTACTTTATTAGATTAGACAAAACACATTTTAAGTAGTTTATCCCATCAAAATAAGTTTTAATTGTATTCAGCACTTTTCAGCATGATGCTATTGCTCGAAGCTAACTCACAATACTTGAAATTTGCAACAATGTAAGCGATTTTCTATGGTAATTGATTGTTTCGAAGGCCTGTAAAAAATCTCTTTGCACGGTATATAAAAGCAGTATTGATATCATTTTAATAGGTACCAAATATACTAATTTTGCCTAGATTAGTATATTTGGTAAATACACAAGTGGGCGACCTTTGAGCTAAAATACAAACTAAGGCAAACAACGGTTAAGAGCACAAGAAATATTTATAAATGCAGACAGCTGTTTCGGATGCTCAAAGGGCAACCTTCATCAGTGCAACAGAAAGAAATGAGAGAAAACAGGGTAAATAAATAGAGAAAGGTGACGTCACAAGGGGGGGGGGAGGTTAGAGCAACGGCCAATAGGAGGGAAGGGTGAATGGATGACGACGAATGGGAAGCTATGTGAATGGGAAAAAATAATAATATTAATATTTTTGTGCTCTTAAACGTTGTTTTTAGTTTTCAGTATATTTGATATTGATTAAAATTGCCCCAGTTACCATACTTTTTCAGAACAAGACTTATTTTTTATTTCAATTAGTACCTAATATTAAACATAGTTAAGCTTTATTGTTGTCAATGAAAGCATGTAATTTTTTTACGTTTTACATCAGCAAAACACAACTATTTTCTCATTAATTTTGATTTTTACGGCATAGTTTATAGTTTTATTTTAAATAGTACCAATTTATAAAAAAATAATTAACCACCATTGGATCCAATAATAGCATGAAGATTTCTTAATTTTCTCCTGAACGACTAAGTACCAATTTCCCATTATTTTTGCTTTTTAGTGCATAGTTTATTCATTTCAGTTAGTACCAATTGCCAAAATTAATAAAACACAATAGGAATCAAAAATACTATACCGTGATTTTGCTTTCCTTTCTAAATGAATTAGTACCATTGCACCATCAATTTTGCTTTTTATAACTACTTTATTTTTTACTTCAATTTGTACCTATTACAAAAATTAATTATGCATCGTTTTATTTCATTTTACAACCCTCGTTGAACAGCTGAACCAATTTTATGGGTTTACGATTGCTAATGTTCAACTCCGTAGCCTTGTAATTTTGAACCTAATCCAGAAGACAAGGGAACTCCTGGATCGAGTATTGGGAGAAAGTTTGCCTTCGTGAAGAACTTTTTGATGGAGCTAACCCGCATTTGCGTTACATCGAGAGGAACACCACGAGACACTCCCATGGTTGGCCTGATGGCTAGGGGACTCTAACCCATGATACGTCTACCACTGAAGATATTTCGCGTCAGCACTGTGATCACGTCAGCACTGTGCAAGCCAGATACGGAATTCGTATCAACTGGGAATCGAACCCGGTTCTCCTCATTGGAAGGCGAACGCTTTATCCCCATAGCCATCACGGCTCAATTATGCATCATTCACGTCAATAAGGGTTAAGCGATTTTCTTACCTTTCTCTTAGACGATTTAGTATAATTTCTACATTTTTTTTGCTTTTCATTAAATGCTTTATGTTTTATTTCTAATTCCGTTGATTTTAAATTGCTAGTTTTATAGTAGCACGCTTTAAAAGCATAATTATATTAAAATTAAACACGTGGTGATCCTGTACTTAAATACTAATTTGGTGACATAGTCCACCTATGCAACAGCGTTTACGTTGACGTTTGATAATTGATCATTGACTTTTCGTGACACATCGAATAAGAAATATTTAAATATCTAAGAATGTCATAAAATTCCATTTTGGGCTAATGAGGGCTTTAAGATAGTGAACATCATTGATGCTATCTTTGGGAAAATTTGGAAAAAAAATATTTGGAAAAAAAAACAGGATAGTCTCTAGTTTTTTTCATACTAATGGAGCTAGCTGTAAACGAATCAGAAAGTTTATAAATCTCTCTCCTGAACGATGTAGAAGATTTTTGAACTATTTTTAGGATTGCGGGCTGAAAATTGCCCTTTTCCTTCACTGTCCAAAATTTGAGGACAATAGCATAAATAGTTTCGGAGTTATACGGAAGACAGACACACAGGCAAACTCTGCATTTTATTCTTATAGATTGCAGAAGTGATAGACATGTAAAATTCAGACCACATAGATAAATATTTGCTGCAAAATTTTAAAACAATTTCAATAAATGAATCAGTGCACTAAAGATTAGTCTTACTTCAGCTTAGAACCTAAATCAATTATCTTAAAAGACGTAAAGTATGAAAAATATAGTTTTACTCTTTTAGGTTTGTATTCAACCTGTTCTTATTAGCATGAGACATACTGGGCGCGAGCAGATATTTAGAGTAGAAATAGTTAATCGAAAATTTTGGGAATAGCTACAGAATAAGATAATCATTAAAATATAGGTAATCAAAAAGGTTAAAAGAGATTTTTAAGTTTGAAGAACTTAGAATTATTTTAAGTAAGGAATATTCAATTTTATGTTCTAATCGTTTTTATACAAGGGGATCAGATTTATTAAAGACTCTATGACATAAAACATTAAACGCGTTTTGCCAAAATCAAGGTCATCAAATGCAATGATGTTTTACTGAACCAAAATGCCAAATTTATTTGAAATTTTATTAAATTTAATTTAAAATGATTTATTTAAAATTCTATTAATTTTATTGATTATCTTCATTGTTGTGGATTATCTAAATTAAATTTTAAGTGCTAAAAAAGTCCCTAAATTTCGATCCATTTCACAAAAATGTAGCACAATAAAAACAAAGAGAGAAGAAGAGAGGAAAATTAATAAGTTTTATTAACTGCGCATAAGCTGCAAGTATGTAGAAAATAAGCTAAAATATTGAGAAAATATGGAAAATAATAAAAAATAATGACAAGAGAAGAAAATTATTAAAAATAATTTTTCAAAGGTATTTAAAAAAATATAATTTTTGATATCTAAAAAAAAAGAGAAAGAAATTAAAAATCTGGAAAACAAAACAAAGAAAAAATATAAGTTCTTCATCAGCCCACACGATTATATCCGCAGAAAGGAGTGCTTTCTAATATTGTATTAATGTAGCCAAATCAAAATATATCAATACAATAGTGTGAGGAGCACTAAAAAAATTGAAACGAAATTAGAACACATTAAGTAAAAAATATATACGAACAAACAAACAAATATATCAAGCAAAAAACAGAAAATAAAATGTAAAGAGGTTAGTATGTAGTACAATCTACATAGTGAGGAACAAATAAACGAACTAACCAGTACCAGAATCTTTAAGGAATGATTTAAAATATTTTCGTAATATGAAAAACGCACAGAATATGAAAACAGAAGCATAAATAAAGTGATATCTTACGGCAGCAACAAAATTGCTTTCGAAGTACTAGGCTTCGCTAATAAATAGTTATGCAAAATTATAAATTAAAAGGCAAACAGGCGTATTTTTATGCATTACCTTAATTTCCACCAAGCTTTATTGAGTTCATTTTCATGTGTGGACCCATTAAAAATATTCGATTTCCAAAGGTCTACGATCAATCCATATGGCTGAAATGCTATTTTTTCTAATGCCATGTAAAGTAGGATATTGATTTCAGTTTCTGTAGAACAAATATTTTAGCGTATTAGTACAAAATATTTGTACTAAATTAAAATTTTAATGGTATAATAAATATTTGCATCAGTAACTCTTGTTTCCTACTAAATATTAAATTGTTTATATCAAAAGGAAAAAAACGATTTCCTTGCAGTAAAAGCCTTAAGTTCAGAATTACTAGTTACCATGGTTATTAAATATTATAAATAAATTTTTATTTAGATTATATTCAAATGTTAAACACTGCAATTGTTAAAATAATGTTCTAGTAATATTTCTGGAATTATCTATAAGAAGTTAACAAAGTCATTTTTTTAACAATTATTTGCAGTGCTAATTTACAAATTTCTATGTTTAATATTATATAAAAGCTTTAGGTTGCATTTGCTAGAAATGAAAAAAAATTGTAATAATTAATTACTTAAAGTTTTTAACTTGGAAGCAAACAATATTATAGATTCTATGACATTATTTACTTAAAATTACTCTTTTAAAGTAATTTATATGTATCTTTTTATTTTAGTAAACTAAGTAGAAAGATTTTATTTAACATTAAAGAACCCTTACAAAATAGAAAAAAAAAATTGGAATCAGGAAGAAAAATGCAATTATAGTTTCAATTTTTACTTGAAAGTATACACTTATAATAAAATTATTAAATAATTTTGTTTACATTGAACTCTATTTTGAAAATCATAAATGTTGTTTTTTGCTCTTGGTCATGTTGATCAAATTACCTGGATCGTCTGTAGCTTCTAAGAGACCAATTCGTTCTAAGTAATCAGTGGTTCTTACAGAGAGAGCTATCATGTCACCAACGGCTTCATGAAATGCTAAAATCAAAGGTGAGAAACGATTAAATATTATCTGTCTATCAAAAAATCGTTAGAGACCTCAAGGACACTGTTTTGGGTGTTAAATTTTAAATTAAATTTTATTTTGCTGATCAAAAAATTTTTAACTCAAAAAAATTACGGCAACTGTAGAAAAACGTACAGGAAATACGATGGAATAAAGAACTTAACATTAAGCAGTTAATTTGAGAATTAGTAATTATCAAATTTGGTGCAAGAAATACACGTAAAAGTTATTGTAATTGGTAATTCTTTTCTCGGGAATTTTCTCCCCATTTGATTTGCTTAAAATAATAATAATTTAAAAACTTTGCTTAAACTCACGAGAGACCTTTACTTAATAATCTTGCGCTTAAATTGATGTCGAAAGAATTAGAAGTTACCAGATGTAATATCTTAACATTCATATTAAAATTTTTAAAACTATAAAAACGTAATTCAAGAGTTTAAAAGAGATAAAAGCAGTTTTTAGTTTAGATGGTTTTAATTACATAAGTTTATCTTTATGTAGCGTTGACGAGAAAAGTTAATTTTCTTTTTTTCCTCTTTACTGCTTCACACATTCTGTTTCCTTAAGTTGAAATATTTTTCAGAAGTACACTCAATTGTTTTTCAATTCCAATATACCATTAATTCCATATTATTTATAAGCATTGTTTACATGAAATTATTAAAATATATAAATATATTTTATTACCAAAATGACAATTGCTATTTGAAAAAGGTGACTTTAGAAAAAGAAAAAAACAGAGATAATTGGTAAACAATCACGGGGGTTGGTGTACGAAGTGGAGCTGGAACATCGCAATTATTGAAATTGCAACTTCATTATANTTGTATGATTCCTTGCTTTACAACATCATTTCCTTTCGTATTTTGAGAAAATTATACATATATACATATATATATATATATATATATATGGTTGTTAACAGATGAAGATTTCATGAAATTCATAAATTATGTCTCCAGATAGAAAAAAATATTTTTGCTACACTGAAAGCACAGAGCTTATGTATAGCAGAGCTTTAATATTTATAGAGTAAACAAATATTTTTTACATTACATTTTCTAGACGCTACATCATATTTTTCTCTTTATAAAGCATGATTTACATAAAAAATCATCAAGACATTACATCATTTTTCTTTAAATCAAGTAAATAACTCGTTTTAAGATGGCATTACAAAACAAAAACAAAACGTGAAAACATTTATTAAGGTTGTTTCCACGTGGTTCGAAAATATCATCATTTATTTCAACAACTAAATTTCCGATACTCACACAAGAATTGGATTCCGTTAAATAAGTAGTTATGTATAATTTGAATCGAAATTTAACCTTAAATAACAACACTTAAAAACAGAGATAAGGAAACCTATCTCTAATATGTATTCTTTTAATCCTCTTTTCGTTTTTTTTTGTGTCAATTTGTTACATCTAACTTCTAACAAAAAGTTTAAACTAAAGATACGCTTTTAATGTAAAATTTAATGCTTTAGACAATTCTAATTGTAGTTGACACGGATCTATTGTTATGCTATGTCTTTTGAATGATTGATGTGAAAATATGAGTTTTTTTTATTGTTAAACCGTCAAAATCACCGTATTTACTAGAGAAAATAGTATGTTATTGCAACTTAAATTTTGTTAGCAATAATTTTAACAGAAGAAAGTTTTCCTCAAAGCTAGTGGCATTTGTACAAAGCTCATGCCATGAATAAAACACGAATTAGGTTCAATTACGTACGTGTATAGTTTTTTTTTTGAGTTTGAAGTTGTGTCACATACTATTTATTAATAGTTACTTTTTGATTTTGACGTAGCGGCACATACTATTTATTAATAGTTACTTACAGCCATAGTAAATATAAATTTTATCTGATTCAACTACATACTGAAAGTAATACATGACATACATTATACATAAAAAACTACTTTCTTGATTATACCTATTGTGATATTTTGTATGAAAGGGGTATCTATGCAACAGCATATGAAAGATATAGCACACTGTACAGAAGAAATCTTTCGCGATGATTAAACGAAAGTTCATTCTGAAATAATGCAATGTTTTAACAGTTCATTTCCGTTTCTTTGATTTTACTTGCGTACTAAGTAGCATAAAATGGTGGACATTACTGCAGTACCATTATTGGAATGAAAGACTTTGCGCAAAATAATGATAAAAATTTTTTTCAAGTAGTTTTAAAGAACGTTTTGATAGTTAAATAGCACAGTTTCCATTTTAACACTTAGGTTTCTGAGTATTGTGCTGCTATCCAGTAGAAGATTGAAAAAAATCGTAAAGTAATCTGGTAACAATACTACGCAAGAGTATACTGCTTCAATTCCATTAAATGTATATAAACTGTAAAATAAGCAATCTGTGCTAGTTCTTGAGCTACTGTAGGTTGATTTTTGATGTTATTTTGGAGAAGATATTGCATTGACCTAATTCTGAGTTTACAGCAGACCCAATAGTGAGTTTAATAATATCAAAGTTAAAATTTAACTCCGCAGCCTTGTAATTTCGAACAAAACCAGGAAGACAAGGGAACTCCTGGAATCAGGTATCGGTTTAGCATTTCTGGAGAATACTAAGCCAATTCTTGATAGAAATATTCCGTATTTGCGTTACACGAAGAGGAAAAATACTAAAACTTCCAGCGGTTACGACAAGACAAGAGGACTCTAACCATGGTCAACTTACCACTGAGCCTATTTTACGTTAGCACTGGGGTTGATGCGAGCCAAGTGTAAAATTCATATCGACCAGCCATCTCTGAGATTTGAACCTGGGTTAAATCAATGGGTAACAGAACGTTTTATCTCAATTTTAATTAATTTTATTTTGTAATATATAGATTCGTTGAACAAGTCGACCCAGTTTAGAGATTACGACTACCAATATTATATAATTTCCATAGCCAATATTCATAGCCTTATAATTTCGTGCTCAATTCAGAAGAAAAGGGAACTCCCGTATGAAGTATTGGAAGAAATATACCTTCGTGGAGGGCTATTTGATGAAACTAACCCGCATTTGTGTTACATGTTGAAGAAAACCAGGAAAACGTCCTACGGTTAACCTGACGGATCCATCTTTCACTGAGTATATTTTACGTTAGCACTGTGGTCGAGAATTCGTAACGAGCAGCCATCGCTGGGATTCGAACCTGGGTCACCTTATTGGGAGGGGAGTGCTCTATTCCTTGAGCCATCACCACTCAATTTTGATTGATAAAAAATAACAGTTTCCATGTTAATATTTATGTTTCTATTCATAGTTCTTAATATAGACAAATTATAAACTAACTAATACTCGAAAACTGCCGATAGTAACTCGTCAGTTCTCGAGTTACCATCGGCAGATTTTTTATTTCATTTCTTAGAGAAGAGATTGAGTTGCAGTTAAATTTAGCTAACTGTAAAATATTATATATTTTTTAAATAATACTTCCTTAAGGAAGTATTATTAAAAATACTTTCCTGTTACTGAATGAATTATACCTGAATGAGCTCCATGTCTGTCATAAAGAGGAAGATCTTGTACATGCAAGTAGTATTCTATGTGTCCCATTTCATGATGCACAGTGGCTAAGTTATTCATATCAACTGTAGTGCACATCTTAATTCTGCAAGAAACAATAAACTACTCATGTTGTTGAATACTGTCAATTGCTTACAATTATACTCTACACGAAAAATTACATTGATTTAAATTTTTGACTTAAACAAATTAAATCGAAATGTTTATTTCTAAATTAAAGTACTTTGCTTTCTGATCGCATCTCTCATTCTCCCCCTTTTCTACAATCAGATTTTATCTCTTTACGATGAACGACTTGTTATAACAAAACTAAGAAGTGTTTAGTTGTAATATCTCAAAATTTATATCGTATGAATAGAGATTTTGTTTAACGAATTTAGTTTCCGATTCTATCGAAATAAAATTTAATCTAATTAATCTACTAGGTTGCTATTTTTTTAAACTTCCAATTTAATATTTGGTTACTGTAAGAACTCATTAAATGTTTTTGTCCCAAGAGATTATAAAGTACTGGGGCTAAAAGTTAATACCTAATTCATTCATTATAAATAAACTAAACTGAACTCAGCGGCGCGACAGTCCACTGTGCCCATCTCAGTTTTCTTGACCTTGGGCTCTGGGGTGCAGGAGCAAATGTTCCGGTCAGGTGGTCAGTCGAACGTGGAATCCCCAGTATTTAGTTCTCAAGCATGCTTTTTTTCATTTTAAATTATAAATTCATTATAAATATTCATTATTTTAATAACGTATGTTAACTGTACTCAGTTTTTCGCCAAATTGATAAAAGTAAATACATGACGCTTTTAGTTTTGTTTCCTTAGTTTGGAATAATGAACAAAATCAAATATTTAGTAGAAAAATATGATAAATGTGATAAGTAAATTCCATTAAATTGGATTTAAGGTATCCGACTACCTTCGGGACAAAATTTTTGAAAAATAAATATTTTTCACAACATTATTGCAATTTATATTGTATATTAATTTAAATAAACATATTTAATAGAGAAAATTTTAATATACAGGAAATTTTTTGTTTAAAGAGTATTTTTTAGATAATTTTAATGAAAATAACTCATTAACGGAAAACACTCTACACAAAAAACTATTGTACATGCAGCTATCAAACTTTTTGAGCCGTTTCGTATAACCCTCTGAAGTGTTATGAACCTCAACTTAAATGATATCATGAAATTAAAAAAATTTATGGAGTGTTAAGCATATTTTTCCATTTTTTTTCACATTTTCTTCACATTATCTACTGCAAAATATCTCATAAAACAAAAAATAATACAGTTATCTGAATTCTGGAGGTCTGTTACATAACCACCAATACAAGAAACAATCTCTGAAAGTTTGAAGACAAATTTATTATAATTAGTTGAGTTATCTTGTTTTCCGTAGACAAAAAACAGCAAAATTGTCATTTTGAGAAAAACACAATTAAAGTTTATAATTACATTTTTTCTAAAAACTATGAATGTTTGTCAGTAGGAAGTTATTATATTTTATAGGGGGCACATTCCTTCACACATTTTCTTAGTTTTATTTAACGTAGCGATATTTTAACGTATTATTTAGCGATATTTTAAAGTATTTAGTGAATAACATCAAAAGTCTACTACTTATAAAGCATTTAACACAGGAACAATTTTTTATTAAACAACCATCTTACTGTATTTTCACACTTTAATATATATGTCTAAATATAGTTTTTATTAATAATTAGAAGTAAAAAATATTTTTTATAATATTTATAATAGCTCAAATCTAGAATTTTCTTCTAAATGCAATTTGTTATCATAGCAAACCGGACAACATAATGAAGCTAATATCACCATTAGGATCTCAATATCAATTATTCGATTGCCACACAGATTGTTTTTATCCAAGGGCATCAGTTCTTTATTGACATCCATAGAAATCGATAATTTTGAAGAGCTTGAAGTAATAAATTCATCTGCTTTACACAATTTTGAATAAATGGTATAATCAACTTTACTCAAATCATCGCTTTTGGTGGCATGTTGATTACCGTAATATTTACGTTTCCTAGATCGAGAAGTACGTCCTTTACCCATTTCAATAAATTCATCAAAATAAATAACAAATTTTTTTGAAAGAAATCAATAAATTTCTTCAAAACAAATCAAAATCAAGATATAGAAAGTGCGCTTCAAATGTAAGCAAAATATCAGAAAATATGCTAACTTTTCATGTTACCCACAAACAGTAACCACGAAACGTAAAATCTAATTAAAATATAATTCAGCTTATTAGCTGTGAGTTTAAGAGCTTTTAAAAATTAAATATCTAAGAAAAATAAAGACACAAATAGAAATGGATCCGAAACTATTACCTACTACCGGCTTCATTTTTGTAATTTCCGGTAAGTTGGACAGCTGTCATCTGTTACTAAAATTTGTATAACTAAAGTTCTGCTTGACGTGCATTCAAAAACAAAACAGTTTTTAAAACTAGAAAAATTGGGCATTATTATAAAGCAATAAAATAAAAAAGTGATTTTTTGTGAAAATCCTCATTTTTAAGGTAGTCGGATACCTTAAGGAATATTTTACAGACAAACGATGCATTTATAACTTTCTTTAATTTTATACTGGGGGCAACAAAAGATAGCCCGATTTTTAATGGGAAAACTATACCACACCAAGTGATTTCTTTTTACAATGAGAATGTTTGGAATGGTCATATTTTAATGCATATAAATTACATAAATCCAATACATTAACCCATTGCATTATCTTTAAAAAAATTTTTAAGTCGAAAATATTAAACATTTTGAAAGGTCACGATCAAAAAAGTTTTGAAAAAAAAAAAAAGTATTTGTTATGTATTACGAAAGCTTAGAGCTAAACATAAGCACATTAAAATACCCATTGTGCAAAAATTAAGACTTGGACAGTTCAAATGAATGATGGAATTTTAGATAATTTTCAAAATGGTAGTTCGCAAAAAAGGCAAAGCATATTCCTTTCTTCTTCAGATACACTAAAGAGGAAAGCATTAACATCAAGTTAAATTACTCAAACTCACTAAAATTCCACTTAGTATCATTACCCAATCTACTTTTTAATTGGTCTTTACCAAACTCAAATAGAATTTCATATATTATTATGAATTTAGTCCTTTTATAATGAAATAAGAGCTCGATATAAATTATCTTTGATGATTTAGATTTGTAATATTTAAATTCGAAGCTTCTTCAAATGAACATATAGGAACAACAGACATATGATGTAATTTAGAATCGACAGTTAAAATATAGCTTCAAAGTTGAAACAAAGAATGAAAGAAGGAAACTCAAAGATGCAGAAGAAAATTGCAAATAAATTACAACAAGGAAGAGTAAGATGTCAATCATCAGAGTAGAGGTAACAAGATCAAAACAGATAATCAAATAAAAGAATGGATGTTTTGGAAGAGAGAATCTCTGATGCTGTTAGATGTAGAAATTGAAAAGAAAATAGATTTCTAAATAGTTGGAAAGAATAAGATACTGGAAAAGTAATTATTTATGAAATGTTTCAACACCTGAAAGGATTTTCAGAAATCAAGGTTAGCGTCTGAGGACTGGTAACTATAGTTGAATTTTTTTCTCCGGTTCCCAGCAGATCACCGAAGTTAAGCATCACTGGCTACGGTCAGTGTGCGGGTGGGTGACCACTTGGATCAGTCTGCGTAGGGACCGAGGGTGTGCGGTATTGGTCCTCGTTAAACTGTGCTACCGTAAAGTGCTCGACTTCACGCGCAGGTCGTCGGGCTACCGAAGCGGGGGTGCCATCCCCTCCGCAGAGGATCAAAATTGTGATGGCATGTCTTCGGATCATCCTCAGGGATGTTTCCCAGACCGTCGCTAATAGCCCATTGTGCAGCTCTAGTGCGACGTAAATTAACAACAACAACAATTTTCTCCTGTCCAATTAAATTTTTCTCTGCTTCCTTATTGTAACTTGTCAGTAATTTTCTCCCAAACCCAAATTGTAGTACCTGTATATTAGAGTATGTGCCATTATTTGTTATTAAGAAATCGTTCTTATATATCTTATAAAGAAACTTTCTTTTTATGACAATAGCATTTTATAAAATAATCAGAGTTTTAAACATGATAACTTATTAATCATAATTTAAATTTAATCATATATTTGTAAAATTCTATTTCAAACACGGAAAACTATTGTCTTCAATAAAAAAAAACATGGATTCCATCTCACCTAACATCGTTTCTTTCATAGAAATACCAAGCAGAGGGGTGGCACACCATTTCTCTGTCGAGGGGCTTTTCGATAATGGATCTATTCCAGAATTCTGTTGGCATTGGCATCAAGCCTATGGATGTAAAGAAGTTTTCGGCCATCTTGAACATATCCAGAGGAGTTATATTCTAAAAAATATGAAGGAATAAAATAAATTAGTTTCCCGTTGTTCTTTGTACTTTATTGTTTATGTGTAATTCAGCTCCTTTTAAAACGCATCAAATACTTCGCCAACAGTGTTTCATATAATTGAAAAATTTTTCTTAATAAAAAACAAAAACTCACACTGCCACAATATCTATCAGGAATAAAATAAATGAACTACTTTAAAGCATTTATTAATGTAGATTGCAGAGTTTAGTAGGAAAACATGTTTAGTGGCATTTTAGTGAATTTCCTAAAACCAGTCCAAACTATAATCTTGCTTTGCAACGCCAACTCGCAATGGGAGACCTATAACACCTTCTCTAACCTAAAAATATAACTATTTTTTAAATGTACCGTTAGGACTTTAAGAATACCCCTTAACGAGGCAGGAAAAAGCAGCATAAATAAGAAGACTACTGAACATCGCATGCGGGATTTTTTTCTTTTCGAATTTGCAATTCTGGTGATCTTGTTTTCTTCATATTGACTCTATTCTCGACCGTATTTCATGTTCTCAACGGTAGGGGGCAGTATTTGCAGAGGCTGTTTCATCTTCCGGAAGGAGATTCGCTTGTATTAATTTCTACTTTTGTTGTTGTTTTGTTTACATCATAATTCAACTCATATATTACAAAATTATTCATTTTCGATGGCAAAAAATTCATTTTTATGTGACGGCAGTTGTTCTGCTTTTGGGTGCGCTATGCATCGAAGCACTAATATGTTATTTGAAATTAAAATACTTCCTTAAAGAACCCTCACTGCGAATTTAATGGATTAATGGAATAATACTATTTGAATTAAAATACTTCAATTCCTTAAAGAACCCTCACTGCGAATTTAATGGATTAATGGTATAATACTATTTGAAATTAAAATACTTCAATTCCTTAAAGAACCCTCACTGCAAATTTAATGGATTAATGGAATAATACTAGGGAAAAAAATAATCACATTCTACTATGGCGTCAGAGATTAGCTAGACTTCTTATAGGATTTGCTTGTTTGTATTTTTAGAATAGATGGTGAATAACTATTCTTTTTCTAGCTTCTATAAATCTTGCTCTTGAAGCTCTAAAATGTCCCTTAACAAACTGTGACATCTAGATTTTGAAATATATACCAACACTTAGCACCGTTTGACATAAATTTTGCTTAAATTAGAAAAATGACTTAAATTTGTATTAGGTGATTATCATAATTTAGTAGTTAACCAAATAATACGATCCATATTTAATATGTTTTAGTTGTAACTGATGAAAAAAAACATCAACATAATATTACTTATGTATGAGTATGGATGGTAAATTTTTTAAGAAATTTAAGATGCGTTTATTTTTATCTCGGTATGGTTCAGAAATTCCTATGTAGTTACGCATATAAATATATGCCTTTATATGATTATATGCTGTAATTATATGTTTTATTTATTATATAAGAATCAAGAAAATAAAAATTGGTTATAAATCTTAAATTAAATCCTGAATAAACAATATTAATTCATTTTCAAACAAAATAAATAATTTCATACAAAAAATTTCTGCAGAATTATTTCCCCATGCTATCATGCTGTTACTTTATTTCTGACTTTTTTTCATAAACTTACATTATGATGAGCTATTGTTTTTAAACGAGGTGTTATGTCAAAGAAAATCCATAGTTCCAACTATAAAATCAATTTTTTGAAAAATAAGGTTTTGTTTGCAAATTTAAACAATATATTCCTTTAAAATACAATAGAAGAAACTAATCAAGTGAAACTACTTAATTTTAGAAAATATAGATAAATATCGTGAAAAATTACAATGTTATGAACTTACAATTTTCTTCTTATTTGTTCTACACTGGTCGACAAAAATTAAGAGATGAAAGACATTTTCCCAAATATCTCAAAAAATACTGAATGTAAATAAATGAAATTTGGTTTGGATATAGCTTATTCCATGATAATAAGGTATGCAGAACAAAAATGAAAGTGACATTCACTGGCAAGACCTATTGCCAATAAATCCAATGTAGTCTGAACTTAAGGATTAAAGATGACAATAAAAGTGATGCTTGTACAGTGTGTGTAGCCTCTAGTATGGTGTATGGTCCCCCCTGACAGACAGACAGCATGCACAACGAGTAATGCATGCTGTTAATAAGGGAGTTAAGGAGGACTTGTGGAAGACCCACCCATTCTTCCACCAGAGCAATTTTTAACCCCAAAATGGTTCTGGGGGGAGGTTGGCGCATCGCAATAGCTCTCCCTAGAGCATCCTGAGCATATTCAATAGGATTCATTTCAGGGGATTTAACTGATCAATCCATTTCCTGAATATCCTCGCTTTCCAGATACTCATCAACCATGAGAGCCCTATGTGATCGCGCATTGTCGTCCATAAAAATGAACTCAGGGCCAACAGCGCCCCTGAAAAGATGCCCGTAGGGCTCTAGGACCTCCTGCCTGTACCTCTGGGCATTCACGGAACCATTGTCAAACACATGGAGCGGTGTGCGGGTATCTTGCATGATTCCTTCCCAAACCATGAGTCCTCCACCAGCATAATGGTCCCTTTCGATAATGTTGCTGGGATGGTATCGGATTCCAGGTTCCCTTCATATCAATAACCGTCCAGAAATAGCGTCATAGAAGAATATAGCGTCATAGAAATGTGCAAAAATGCTTTCCATCACTTTATTTTATCCACCAGTGTATTTAAAATATCTAATTTGTTCTGTAAGGTATTACCATAGCGTTTTGATTTCGAGGAAGTTTAATGTATCTTTTAAATTTGAAACAATAATAAATATTTTCGATCATATTTGAATTGTATTTCATTAAAAAGTATAAACTCTTACAAGTGATACAAGTAGTTGCAGAGAAAAAGAAACAAGGTGAGTCGGGGTAAGGGAGGAAAATAAACACACATACTCACACACAGAGTTCCGTTGTGATATCTTTGTGTCAAAAGAGTAATAAGAAAGTGCGCTATACATGCGTAATATGATTGCTAAAATCGATGAAAAATGCAAGAAAAAGCAATAAATCGGTCTAGGGGACAAAAAGTAATCTAAACACTTTTTAATTTTATCAAATCGTAATGAAATTACGTAAGGTATAGACTGCTGTCTACTTGAAGTTTAAGATTGAGACTGGGCAAAAAAGTCAGTTGGAGATCAAAGTCTGTTTTAACATTCTTGTTGACAATTGTTTGTTTTCGATCACTATATCAGTGAAATACCGTTCGGTAGAAGAGTCGTAAAATCGTTCGTGGTAAAATGAGCAATATCTTTCAGTTCGAAAGAAGTATCTATATTTTAGAGACACACTGTGCAACGTCCTATTCGCGATAAAGAGATGGAGAATAAAGACTTCGGGTACTACTAGGAAGCCTTAGGTGATTTCGAGAAAAACATCAAATGCAGTTTAATCAGTATGTATAACATTAAACACTGAATATGACATTCCAAATTCAGCTTTCAATATACAATATACACAAGTTCAACGGCGACTTAAAAATAGTTGGTTATAACGGTGTTAATTTGTGTCTTTGTCTCGATCTTTATTTGATTTATTTATTTGAAGCAACAAAAGAACTGAGCTGGTGTATGCACATTTTGATCTCTTAACAATTATTCGAGGGCAAAAACTCGAGTACAAATACTTGTCAACAGATTTACCATCGAGAGGGGAGTGCTTATCCTAATAAGTCCATAGAAGAAAAATGTCGATGGAATTATAAACCTGTAGCACATGGTTCCACACTAAAAACTTTCTAATAAAATTATGGTAAAAAGTACTTTGCGCTGCCTTTTATAGTCAAATTCAATTTTACCAAACAAAATGTATAAAATAACGTAATGTTTACAGTAATATTTACTTGATCATTGTACATTATTATTAATATGCGTATATTATAATCAATATTACTGCAAAAATTACGGTATGAATTTTAAGATACAAACGTATTGTATGGTAAGATAGATAAGCTGTATTCAGACTGCCAGTACTTTTTATTCGGAATTTTTTCAGTACATGAATCATGTTCAAGTACTTATTAGTTATATGGGTTATATAAGTGGTTACATGGATACCCATTTTCGTCACCCATAATCTTTTTAATAACACATATTTTTCAATTACCTTTTCGCGCATTGCCTTCGTCACGTCTACTGATTTCTTATTCGGATAAGGTATAGCAAGGTCAAAAATATTTTCCCAAGAATAACCCCACAAGTTCCCTAAAATTAGAAAAGAACTCATTAATATGTTGCAAGTTCATAAATTTTAAGTAATTTATTTATTTCGATGATTAATATGCTTCTTAATAATGCCTTTTACCAGGAAACAAAGATACTCGTACTATCTGAAATATTAACAAAAATATTGAAAAAAGATAAATTTAAAAAATACAATTATTTTTATTCAAGCATTAAACAGATAATAGGAAAATTAATCAAAAAGTTTACAAAAGTCTTACCCAATAAATGGGCTGGTATAGGACCATTAGGCTTTATGTAAGATTCTGAGTATTTTTCAATTAGCTTTCGTCTCACATAAGCATGTAGTTCTCTGTATAATGGCTTGAGAGTTTCCAACATCAAAAAGGTCTATTGGTAAACAGAAGTGATTTTTCTAAGTAATCATTTTTTAAAATAACATTTATTATAACAATAATAAAGTTATAACGCTANAGTTACTTTTCTCAACAACTGAAATTTAGAATAGTGTGATTAAGAAAAATATGTGAACTGTTTGCAATTTCAAATTAATATTGAAATGTACAGGTTTAGAATTTTCTACAGTGAAAAGTTTTCGGAACTTCAGTATTCAAAAAAGTATACAAAAACTAGACGTTAAGAACGTATCCAATGAGCGAGCAAAGCGAGCATTGGATTGCGAAGCAATCCGAAATGAATTGCGAAAACAGTTTCGGGGGTTGGCGAGCGCCAGCGAGCAGGGGGCAAAGCCTCCTAGTCATTAGAATTTTAAAAAAGAATAACTCACACTACATTATCTATCAGGGAAAAAATAAATGAAATGTTTTGAAACGCTTGTTAATGGAGATTATAGAGTTTAGTGGGAAAATTTGTTTAATGGCATTTTAGTGAATTTCCTAAAACTAGCTTTAAATTGTATAGAAATATAAAGTAGATATTCACATTTAATGGTAAAAAATTTAAATTTAAGTAGGTATTTACGTAGTAGGTATTATTTTTTATATTTTAAACCGCCTTAAATAACGACTAGGTTAAACTAAAAGATGTTCTATAATTAATTACATGCATAATATAAATAACAACATACATTTGTATAGTTAATAACATAAGTATAATTCAAACACGTCAAGTTGGTGATAGGCGGGAAAGCTTAGCGTAAGAGTTTGATTTCGATATCTATGTCAGAGAAATGCCATTCGGGAGGAGACAAGCTTTATTCGTGGTGAAATCAGCGATTCCACACAATTCCAGAGAAGTATCTATAATTCAAGGACACATTCAGCAATGTCCTACTCGCAAGAAAGAGATGAAGAATACAGGCTTCGGGTGCCATTAGGAACCTCTGGTGATTTCGAGAAAAATCTCAAATGCAGTTTAATCAGTGCATGAAAAATTGAACGCAGAATATGATCCTTCAAATTTAGCTTTTAATATACAATGGAATCCGCAAGTTAAGCGAAGACTAAAATAGCTTGTTACAACTGTGTTAACTTGTGTCTTTGTCATGATCTTAGAATTGTATTTATTTTGCTTATTTATTTTAAGCAATAAAAGAACTGAGTTGGTGTATGCTTATTTTGATCTCTTAACAAATATTCGAGGACTGTGTTAACTTGTGTCTTTGTCATGATTTTAGAATTGTATTTATTTTGCTTATTCATTTTAAGCAATAAAAGAACTGAGTTGGTGTATGCTTATTTTGATCTCTTAACAAATATTCGAGGACAAAAACTCGAGTACAAAGACTTGTCAATAGATTTAATGACGAAGCAGGAGTGCTTATCCTAATAAGTCCGTAGAAGAAAAATGCAGATTTAATGTTAAATCTGTAGCACACGGTTCCACATTAAAAAATCGCTATTGAAATTACGGTAAAAAGTAATGTGCCTCTTTTACAGTCAAATTCAATTTCATCGTAAAATTTTACCGAACAAAAAGTATTAAATACCGCAATGTTTACAGTAGTATTTACTTGATCCTTGTATATTATTATAAATATGTGTATATTATACGGTAAAAATTGCGAAATAAAACTTTAAGGTAAAAACGAATTATATGGTAAAATAGATTAAATGAATGCTGCCTTCAGGCTGCCAGTACTTTTTATCCGGAATTTTTTCAGCTCAAAAATCATGTGGTACATCCCAGTGTTACAAATACTGAGCTTATTAGTTATATGGGTAATGTGAGTAGTTATATGGATACCCATTTTCTTCACACATCATTTACTTTAGTAACACATTTTTTTCAATTACCTTTTCCCGCATTGCCTTTGTCACGTCTACTGATTTCTTATTCGGATAAGGTATAACAAGGTCAAAAATATTTCCCCAAGAATAAGCCCACAAGTTCCCTAAAATCAGAAAAGAACTCATTAATATGTTGCAAGTTCATTAATTTCAAGTAAATTATTTATTTCTATGATTAATATAAAAATAATGCCTTTTACCAGAAAACAAAGATATTATCTGAAATATAAACAAAAATATTAGGAAAAGATAAATTTAAAAAATACAATTATTTTTATTCAAGCATCAAACAGATAATAGGAAAATTAATCAAAAAGTTTACAAAATCTTACCTAATAAATGGGCTGGTATAGGACCATTAGGTTTTATGTAAGATTCTGAGTATTTTCCAATTAACTTTCGTCTCACATAAGCATGCAGTTCTCTGTATAATGGCTTGAGAGTTTCCCACATCAAAAAGTATTCTTCATCTACTGCAAATTGCGTATTTGAGTAACCTGATAAAATATTTAGTATGATTAAAATGCTAGCAGTGCTTGTAAAGCTTACGATGCATAGTGTTCAATAATTTTATATATATTTAAGAGTTTAAGTTATATATGAAAGGAGAGAAGGTTAGCACTCCCCTTGACAAGGACGGAATGGCTTCTGGGCCTATAACACATATACGGTTATGGCACACCCGCTTACTTTGCGGGAATCTCAACCACAATTTTTTAAAAAAAGACGAGGACTCTCTCTATCTCTTCCTGGTGACAGGCAGACCAACACTTGCTTATCCCGACTGGCCTGTGGACACCTGAAAGGTCTCACATTTTCTGCCAATTCAAAGATCTTTCCTCTTTGCCCTAATCGCCAACAAAACCAGGCATCACCTGAGCACATCTTGAACTGTTTAGGGCTGGACTGGAACGACATTCATTCCTCTCCCCTTTTAGTTTCGGACTTCCTAAAAGTCAGACCCGGTTCCCAGCAGATCACCGAAGTCAAGCATCACTGACTGCGGTCAGTGTGCGGGTGGGTGACTACTTGGATCAGTCTGCGTAGGGACCGAGGATGTGCGGTATTAGTCCTCGTTAAACTGTTCTACCCTAAAGTGCTCGACTTCGCGTGCAGGTCGTCGGGCTACCGACGCGGGGGTGCCATCCTCTCTGAAGAGGATCAAAATTGTGATGGCATGTCTTCGGATCATCCTCCGGGATGTTTCCCAGACCGTCGCCAATACCTCATTGTGCAGCTCTAGTGCGACGTAAATGAACAAATCAATCAATCAAAATCCTAAAAGTCAACGGATTTATTTTTAATTAGCAACAGCAACAAAAGCCCACTCACCACAAAGGGAGGGACAACAAAATAAACAGACACAAAACAAAAACAATCGTGGCAAGAAAAGTCTATGAACAAAATAAGTCTCTTGCGCGCCAGTAACGGTCACAAAGAGATGTCCCCCAGTGCCTGGCAAAGACGAAGTTGGTCTGCATCCATCTCCGCTTAAAGGTAACAGAGAGTACAGAAAGGGGCTTGAGCAACATGAATTCGATGGAGATGTTTGAGGAAGCAGCCGTGTCCGGTAGTCAGTCGAAACTCAGCAACTGCCCTACGTCTTGGCCACATAGGAAGATCTTTGAGATTATTCCACCAGATCGTATCAGAATTTTTCTCTGTGTATTGGTTTAAAGTTAGATTCATCATCTTTTTCTTGATTAGGTGCTTGGCACTGGTGAGAGGGATAGCTTTCTTTGATGTCTGTAGGATAGAAGCTCCCTGCTTAGCAAGATGGTCTACTAACTCATTGCCAGCTACATCGCAGTGTCCCGGGATCCACTGCAAAACAATATTTTTAGAAAGCCCGAACAGACCCTGTAGGAGTTTTTTACATTCAAGTATGTTAACGGAGGCAGGAGTAGTGTTTGAATTCACAGCAAAAATTGTCGCTTTTGAGTCACAAAAGGTAACAGCCTTTACAAAGCTGTTCAGATGACAGTGCAGCTGCGGCAGAGCTACACGAGTAGCAGTAACCTCAAAATCAAAGGCAGTTGTGCAATTTCCATTTGAAAAATAAAAGGAGAAGAGATGGCTATAAACTCCTCCTCTTGCGTTGTCAGTGTCCTTCAAAAGGCTACCATCGGTATAGATATGTACCCAATCGGGTTCAGGATATAAGGTGCTTATTGTTTCCAGAGCAGGAATTTATAAAATCGAGGTGTCTTGCTCTTTTTTGGAAACCGCTTGGGTGAGATCAGTGCGGATCTGGAAGCCTTTATCAATAGTTGGATCCAAAGGAAGGCATAGGGGCTTGGTATCGAAGTTAATATCAAGCAGTGCTTTTAGTTCCAGAACACCCTGCACAGAGCCACGTTGGGTCTTTAGACACCTTCTTGTGTCCAAGGAGAGTTCACTCAAAAGAAATAGGCAACCAGGTAATCGTGTCAATTTTTCCCATAGAAGGGCATTCTCTTGAAAAATATTCTTTAAAGGTTTTTTTCTATTATCTCGAGCATTGCGTCAATCGGCATTGTTTTTACGGCCCCTGTAATGATCCGCAGTGCCTGATTTTGGGTCTTATCAAGAAAATCAATAACAGAGTTATGTGCTGTAATCAAAGGGTCTCAGTACTAGGTCATGACAGGCAAAATAAAAGGTTTATAAGGTAAATTTAAGGTACGGTTAGAACAGCCCCATCTAGATGTTTTCAGTATGGGCTCGCCAGGATAGTTTCCGATCAAAGGTGACACCTAAGTAACTACAAACTAAGACCTTGTCAACATTCGGAATGGCATGGCCTTGATACGACAGATCAATCTGTAAGGGTTGGTATGTCAGTGAGAAAGTGACTGAGACGGATTTGTCCAGGTTAACCCTCATATTATTTTCATCACACCAAAGCTCTAAGGCTAAATTCAAGCCGTGACTAATCTTTTGTGCAGCTTGATTTTTGGGGGAATCCCCCAAAAAACAAACTGCACAAAAGATTAGTCCAGACCACAAGGTCGTCACAGTAGAGCAGACATCTAATCCCAGGAGTCATTTTGAGTTGGTGAACAAGATCATTAATGTAGATATTGAAGAGGGTGCAACTGGGTACTGAGCCCTGAGGTAATCCAGTTTTTAGAACACCGTATTTGGAAAATCCCCTACATATACGTTGGCGGAGAAAACCACGAAACCATCTAAACATGTTGTTCTCGATACCAAGATCAGCAAGTTTCAGCAAGAGTTTATCTGTCCATACTGTGTTATAGGCAGACATGAGGTGAATGAAAATCGCTGAAAGTATTCGGCCTTTATCCAGGGCATCTTTGATAGCCTGTATGAGGAATGCTACTTGTTGATTGGTAGATCTGAATTGTCTGAATCCAGCTTGCTCTTCTGCAAGGAGAATATTGGTTTCAAGGAACCAACTAAGTATTTTAGATACAATTCTTTCCACAGTTTTTCCCATAATGCTGATATATGAGATAGGTCTGTAACTTAGCAAATTCTTTGGATCTTTCTTTATCTTTTTTATGAATTGGTATAACTATGGCTCTTCGCCACTGAGAGGGAACAATTCCGGAGTCCCAAATTATATTGAAGAACTCCAAAAGAGTGTTTAGCGCACAAGTGCCCAGATGTTGAAGAAATTCAGAACGTATGCCATCTTCACTCGGGGATTTTCCACTTTTCAGGCAATTTATAGCCTGAGTAAGCTTTTCAACTGAGTGAAATGAATTAAAAATGGGATGCGCAGATGGCCGTGCATCAAAGTCAGTAAGAAGGGATTTTAATTTGCATTTTAGAAGCCTTGACGATATTCTAGCGTAGGTATTCTTTTGATGAGTGATCGTAAAGTGTTTGACGAATGCATTGGCAATTTCTGTATCTGTAGAGATAGTTTTATTAGCAACTTGGAAAAGCTGCCTAGGAGCTCGTCTACCTTCATTTTTGATATTAGAAAGGATATTGAAGTACTTTCTTTCCATCTCTCTGATAACTGGCACCAGCTATGAAGTCGTTAAAGGATTTTCGTTTCTCAACGAGCACAGTTTTTCTAAACAACGCAGATTGTTTTCTTCAGGCCTGAACACTCAAAAGTCTGTGTGTTAGTTCGGCTTTTCTTCTTAGTCTATTGCGTTTGGTTTTCATATATTGGAACTCTTCCGACCAGAAGCAACGATATTTCATTACTCTTAACCTGGGAATGCACTTTTTTGCACAAAACAGTATCCTATCATTGATAAGCTCTCAATTTCTACATGGATGCAGGGAGAAATCAATAGAGTCGGTGTGGATTTCTTGTTCCAGCATAGCGATAAATACACTCCAATTTGCTTTCTTGAAATTCCATGAGGGTTATATGCATTAGAAAGTTCTTCACACTGTAGGATCGAGCACAATGAGCGATTAGAAATTTCTTTTTTTTCTGCTATGTTGGGTTCAACATTACTAGATTACAAAATTAAGCATTATTAGCCGATCATCTGGTTAACGCTAGTCATGAAATGAATCAAATGATTCATTAGAGTTTGCTTACTAGAGTTTGTACCAAGATAAAGATTCGTTAGAGTTTGTTGACTAGAGTTTGTAACAAAATAAAGATTCATTAGAGTTTGTACCAAGATAAAGATTCATTAGAGTTTGTACCAAGATAAAGATTTTTTTCTCACTTAAAAGGTAATCTGTAACTGCTAATGTGCTTATTTCATTACTTCATTTTTTAAAGGACTCTAAAGAACATATATTAGAGGATATGAATATTTATAGATTAATGTATGGAGACATATTTTTGTGGGGTTTTGGTGAAAAAAAATATCATTTTGCACTCTCTCTACTGTTTATAAATTTTATTATTATCAAGATTATCTCACCAAATAGTTGATTTCTTTCATTATTAAGATCAGTGTATCGAAGATAATCTCCTCTCATTTTCTTTCCCGTCTCGTCTCGCCACTGAGTCCAAAAATGTTGGAGCTCCTGATAATTTCTTGATTCTTTCATAACTTCAGTTATATCTAAAATCAAATATTAAAAGTAATTAAAATTTAATGGATGCTTAAAAGGAAATTGAATTCGTTTGTAAAAATAATGGAAATCCGATTTTAAAATTTGAGACGTTGCAAAAGATGTAACATTTTATACTAAACAGATCTGTTTTTGTGTAATATTTCAAATTTAATTTTTTTAATGGAAACTCCATTTTTAAAATAAATAATCCAAATAAACAACATATTTCATAAACGATTTATGTACTTTTTTTAAAAATATAATTTTAAATTTAATGTATATTTCAATAAAATATCATCAGCTCTTTTTCCCTTTCTCGTGCAATTATACCAAAAAATTACATCTAAGTATTGCAGCGAAAAAATTTCGGTAAATAAAATCATAGTATGTGTCAGATATTTCTGATAAGAAAACAAGAATTTCGGTAATTAATATCAAAATTTGAACCATTTATTTAATCACTTTTGTGTTTGTCATGGTTATGGTTTATCGGAAATTGTAGTTTTTAAAATTACAGTTTTTATTCCACACATTTGAGGAATCATTAAAGCACTTAAATGAAATCAATATAAAGAAATTGTTTCCATGCCATGCTCTTAAAAACTCAATAAAATTTAACAGACTATTCCTCAGAATGTACCATTTATTTTTTAATTTAAGGTTTTGATGGAAGTACCTTTTACCAAGTATAGGAATAATGGACATTTTAATCTGTTTACCATGTTTTCTAGTATGGTTTATAAAAAATGGCAGCACGGTGCTGATAAAAGTTCGATTTTGTACTCAATTTTTAATCAAGTAATCTAACTATTTCTAATTATTTTTTTCTTTTACGAAATTGAATAATTTTCCATTTCTTTGCCAAATATTTTCCCCTAATATATTTTTCTAATATATCATAAGAAAAAAAGGGGCATAAATAATAGTCTCAAGTGCGTGAACTTGAAGTCAAGTCGTGCACTCGACGTGACGGCCAGTGCGCAAATGAGAAACTCATGTATCAGTTATTCAAAAGTTCGGCGGTTCAAGCCAGGTAGTTATAGTTTTTCTGTAAGAATTGTTTGCTTACTATTCTTTTATTTTTGCTGTATTTTTTCATTAGGTTTTTTTTTCTTACACTGTTTAAATGATTTTAAATTTATGCTATGTTTTTATTATATATATTTTTCATTTCGTGTGATTTTTTTTAAATTTTAAAGAGTGAATATTTTTACTTACGATGATGAAAATTATCTTTCAGTTTCACGATCTATGCAAAGTAATTCATAAAAACTATAAATACTTTGATAGAACTAATTTGAAAGTAGTAATGACTATATAATAATGAACAACGTTAAGTTAACTATCTTGAAGTTCCTCATTATATTCGAATTTCTTAAAAACATAGCAAATTATAATCTTAGTATTCTGAGGAAAACTAGTTGAAGCAAGCAAACTTGGGTCTGGTGGTCATATAAAACATTTTATACTACCTATAACAGAAAAAAAAATTGCCATCACTTAATCTCGCATCGGGAAAACTTACAAATTTTTCGAACGACTGGTCTGGGTTCTAATCCAAACTTAGTAATGGTAGTAAAGATTCCATGTTTACGGTCTACCTGTGCAGTTTTTAACCACCGAAGAGCTGGCTAATAATATTATATTTATTGGTAATTTCAACATAAGTCATTATGAAAATGCTGTTCTAAAAAATACACTGTGAAACCATGTTGTAATATCTCGCCAAATATGATGTTGAACAACCAGAAAAATTGCGTGAAGGAAAACTTTTTTCCGGGTTAATGTTAAATAGAGCATTCATATCCGATTTAAAGAGTGAAATTTAAATCTAAATAATTAAGACTGAATGAACTTACACCAAACTTTCATTCTTTTACACCATATGAGAATTCCTTACCCTTCTGAAAACAACAATGCTTGGCACTCCTTGAAACAAGAAACGCCAAGTAAAATATTGCGATCAGTTTGTTTACAATCGGGAATGAACTGGGGAGAATTTGATCTCATATTCAACGCTGGTATTGATAAACAGAAACAAATTTCGCCTTTAAATAAGTATGTATGTTTATAGTTGTGCAATAAGGAAAATTATATTTTAAATCTCTGAGAACTGCCTTAACTTATTTTTATAATGCATAATTTCCAATTCACTTCCAGTCTGTTAAGCCTAGTTCGAATTCATTTTAAAATTCTCTCTGTGCTATGCGGATGTTTGATTTACAAACTAACTTTTCTTTAAGAATTAGTGTATATACAAGGAGGCTTCGCCCCCTGCTCGCTGACGCCCGCCAACCCCCGGAGCTGCCTTCGCAGTTCATTTCGGATAGCTTCGCAATCCGATGCTCGCTTTGCTCGCTCATTGGCTACGTTCTTAACGTCTAGCTTTTGTATACTTGTTTGAACACTGAAGTTCCGAAAACTTTTCACTGTAGAAAATTCTAAACCTGTGCATTTCAATATTAATTTGAAATTCCAAACAGTTCACATATTTTTCTTAATCACACTATTTTAAATTTCAGTTGTTGAGAATAGTAACTGTTTAAGTTTTGTTTTAAAGTCTTTCCCTCCCGAGGGCTAAAACCATGTGCTGTAAAACAATATGAAATAATACTGAACGCCGGATGTAAAGCATCGGCTTCGATGAAGATAATTTTGTGAGAATTCACCCGATTAGACATATGATGCTCACTACGTGCTCTTGCGCGCCGAAGCCTATCAATTAAAAATGAAAACTGTTGCCAATGCGAGAAAAGAAATATCATCGGTTTTATTGATACATACGTATTAGCGTTTTATATAATATCGATACCATCTAAATGACTGATTCCTACTTTGTATTATAAAAATAACTTTACTGACTCTTATGTGTGACTTATCTTAATGCAATTAAAAATTTTAATATTATTGTATAGCAAAATTGAATGACAAAAATGGCAGTGGTTACTTTTTACCAAGTAGTGTAAAAGAACATTGGCATATCGAAATTTTGGCGGAAATACATCAAAAGTTTTTACAGTGTTCTTTTTGGTGTTCTCATAGAGCCAGAAAACACCGTATATTTTACTGTACTCTAATAGTTTCGATCATACTTATTTTCTCAGTGCGAAATAAATTTAAACACACAGAAGATCGCATCCTTATAAATAATGTTGGTGTGGCGAACTTACAGAAAAACATGCTAATAGTTACTATGCTGAAGGTTTCTCTAAATAAGCTATAAAGTTGCTATGGTTCTACAAGCTATGGTCCTACAATTTCAAGATCAACAGCTGCGTCAGCATTGCGCAAAAGCCGCCTTTACTTCACTGTCATGCTGGTATCCATTCATATGAAGCTGGTTGAGCTTCTTCAAGCCACTACTGAGGATCGAATCCCATTCATTCGCAATGATAACTCAGTGCATTTTATCACTGAACTATCGCAGCTCACTTGCAATGTCAAAGGTTAAAAATATTTTCTTCTTACGCCCCTCAGCAAATTTCAAAAACAGAATATTATATACTGTGGTTTTGGGGGAATGGAATTTTATAATTACCTTGCTCTGATTTTAATGTACAAGGCTGGAGGAAGGTTGACGGGTAGCTGCATACCTTAGCTTTTCCATAAATTTCTTCCATTTCAGTAATAACTTTTTTGAGCTGCAAAACTTATAAATAAGCTACAAAACGATAAACTTATCTGGAATATAAAGATCTTAGCATTTTTCAAACTAAGTATAGCTTTTACCATTGCTGGAAATATGTTCTTTCCTTCGTTAGTTTGCAACATACATGTTAACGTAATTGTCGAAATTCGTTTTTATATGTGTAGACCAACGACTAATAAATTGTGTTCCGTGGAACCCTAGAGTTCCGAGGAGAAGTCTTATGGTTTTCGAGTGTTAGTAAATTATCCAGTTATGATTTTCGAAACCTGTTATTAAATTTAAATTCGATTGATAATTCATTATTTATTTAATATTTCAGTCATTTTCATAAAATTATTTTATTAAGAATCTTTTTAAGAATGAAATTTCAAAACAATGTTTTGAATAATAATAAAATAAATGAATTATGAAAAAGATGCATTTATGAAAACAATTTAGTACCATTCTGCACCAAATAAAAGTATTCAAATTCAACACTGATGAAGTATTTCTCTGATAAAACTATTTTCAACTTTTATTTTCTTTCTTCATTTTTGTTTTAATGAAAAAAACATATTTCAGCTAATTCACTTTCAGCTTATGCAAGCTATACCACTCCAGTTATTTGAATTTATTTGTTTGATATGAAACCCAATTTTAAGACTAATATTGTTAAAATCAGTAAATGAAAAAAATTCGATCTTCATTCATTCATTCACGAAACGTTTTTAAAGTAATTAAAATAATTTAGAGCATTACTTACTTTAAATATAATTAATAGTCTTTCGTTAATTAATATATTTAGAATTGCTTCAGAATTTGTTCATTGAGTGACGGGGTTGATAATAATTTAGAGTTTCAAAGCAAAAAAAAAAAAAAAAAAAAAAAAAAAAAAAAAAAAAAAAANAAAAAAAAAAAATTGGAAACCGTTTTCTATTTAGATTGCGAATTGTATATAAGTAACTGCGATTTCGAGCTTTTTATCATTTGGTGCTGTTACATCAGATATCAATATTTGAGAGAAATTAAACATTCATTACATTTTTTGTGTTTGAATCGGTATTTTAATTAATAGTAAGCACTAAGTAATTATCATACTTAAGATTTACCATTTGAATCATTATAATTGGCACTTGGTCTGCGAAAATCTAATATTTAGTTAAAAAGTTATTCCGGGTGACAATCTTTTTTCTTAGCTCACTGTAGATAATTTTATTCTTCATATTTAACCGGTTAAACTTTTCTTACTTTTAAAATATAGCTACGGTTTTTACGTTATAGAGCAGGCCCTACACGACTTCCTAGTTTAAACTTTAGTAACTCCATAATTTCTCTTCTCGCTTATTTGTTTATTTATTTATTTATTTTTCAATTGAAGAGCTCATTATAAAGTTTTTGCTTAGTAATTATGCTAACTTAATTGATATTAATTAAAATACTAACTGTGCATACATAACATGGAGTGAAAAATTCTGATAAAATTATGGTATACTGTATTATAATGACATTTCTGAAAGGAAAAAGACACACAATTTTGGTTATAAAATCTTAAATATGCGGTATTTAAACCATTTATTTGGTAATGTTTCCATTAATATGATAATGGTTTATCGGAAATTCTGGATTTCAAAATCACAGCTTTTATAATCAAATATTTAGAACCAAACATTAGAACTGTAAATTTAACAAATAAATGGTTTTTATGTCTTACTCTGAGGCATGGATCGCCAAACTTTTTTGATCATCAACCCATATATAATTTTTTGAAATCTCCATCGACCCCCACAAAAGTAATTTTCTGAATTAAAATAAAACTGTATTAGATTCTGTGTACATTTATTTTATGATTTTAAACATTCATTAAAGTAATAGTACATTGTGTAACAATAGTTTTATAAAAAATATATTAATGTTGAAATTTAAATACCTTAATATTTATTAAATAATAAGTAATTATAAATAAGTAGAAATAATAAGTAAAGTAACTACAGATTTATTGCTTCTTAATCATTGAGATGGGTGTGGCTGGTGCTTTTTTGCAAGGTTCGCTGCATTGGGTTCAAAATTGGTCACTTTTAGTCTTGAATCCCCTCGAAACTCCACATTTAATTTATTTCTGTACTTAGTTAGGATTGAATTTACGTGACTGAAACCGGCTTCAACCATATAGGAACTTGAAAATACTAGCATAAATGGCTGAGATATTTCGTGAAGTTCTACATATTTTTGCATTATATTTATATTTGTTCAAATTGTTAAATTTTTAAAAAGCGTCTTTGCTTCAAGATCCGATAATAATTCATCAAGCTCATCTTGCAGGTTGATGTCCACGTTTTCAATTTGAGCAGAAAATAGCACAATAATCCAATCAGGGATGTCAATGTTTTCCAAATCAACAAAGCGCAGTTTAAAATCGTCGCTCAATTTTCGCCAAGTCTTTTTCTTTTATTTCTAATTGTCGCAGATTTGAAAAATACAGATAATCCTTACGTAGCAATGAAAATCTAAATAAACTTAATTTTACTTTGAAGACTAACAGTCTTGTTCGAGCTTCGATAATTGTTACATCTTTTCCTTGCAGCTTTGTTTGGACATCATTAAATTTTCCAAATAAGTCGGCTAAATAAAAAATATGGTTCTTATTGTTTTGGAGTTCATCACTCAGAACAGTGTTTATTTCGCTGAGAAATTCGGTCGTGGAGTCAAATAACTCAACGAGCCTTTGCAAGCATACACCTCTAGACAACCATCTATCTTCGGTGTGCGGAAGTAATTAGTTAAATAACTCGTCGTTTTCCTCACAAAGTTAGGAAAATAATCTTGATTTAAGAGGTTGGGCTTTAATTTGATTGATACACTTAATGCAAAACTCTAAATATTTATGTAACTCTGGACTCAGATATCTTGCTGCTAAGTTGTTTCTATGCAACACACAATGAATAGTACGTATACCGGACACTTTTTCTTAGAGAAATGTAGCAAAACCTCGGTAACGCCCTACCATAGCAGGTGCCCCATCTGTGGCTACCGCTATTATATTTTCAAGCAGAATATCATATTTATTTAAATATTCTTGTAAACATCTAAAAATTGCCTCTCCTTTTCCATCAGTTTCAAGATATTTAGCAAATAAAAATTCATCAATGGCTTGTCCTTTAATTTTACTGAAATACCTAACGTACACAGGATTAATAGCAGAAACGCCAAAAACAGATTCATCAAGTTGAATAGAGAACTTGCTATTTTTTAGATCAGAAACTATCGTATTTTCTATTTCTTCAGCCATTTCGTCGATACGCCGTTTCACAGAATTTGCACTTAATGGCAATGACTTTAAGGAGTCTTTTTTCATTACATCCTCAATGACGTCTTTAATTGCAGGTACAGTCAGCAAAAAAAAAAGATATCACCCTGAATAACTTTCGTTCTAATGATCGGATTTTCACGAACTAAGTGTTAATCTTAATGGTTCCTAGGGGTGACCTCAAATATGCTAATTAATTAGTGCTAACTATTAATTAAGTTACGAAATCAGACACAAAAACGTACTTTCTCTGAATAAACATATATTTTTTCTTACATATTTGGATTCTTAACCTTCAAAATATAGGGGGTAGCCGCAATCTGGGAAATATGGTCCCCATAGTTTGGTCAGGAGAGCGATCCAAAGTTCGTACCCCTTAATGTTAATTTCACTTTTTACGTTTTTAGTCATATTTTAAAAACTAATAAAGCAATTCGAAGAAAATTTCACCCAGTCATAAAACTCATTTACCCAAAGATAATTTCACGAAAAAAATAATTTTTAATAATTGTTAATTATTTTTTATTATTTAATTAAATTAAGGATGAAAAATTTTTGAATTATAAGGTATGAATTTTTTTATACCATATTAATCTACATATTTTTCAATTGAAAAATCTAAAGTTTCAACTGTTTTTATTTATTAGAAGCTGAGAAAAATTAAAATTAATTATTTTTAAAAAAATAATTTGGCGACAATGAAGAAATGATTAAATGGAGCGATTAATATTAAAATGTGATAAACTTGCGAGGAACTTGACTTCGCGCGCTTAGCATAAAATTTCATTCATATTTTTTTCGCTAATAATCGTTTGCTTATCTTTTCATTTTTATTTTTTTAAGCTATAAAATACGATGTTTCTTCTTTAGTCGTCTAAAATTCTATTTGCAATTTAGTAAAGAAATTTGAATAAAACATTTTATTGAATAAAATACATTTTATTCAGAGAATGTGGAGTTTTATAAAAGCATGCTTCTGATAGAATATGATTATACAACAGATTGTGCTTCTTTAATGTGATTTTTTTTTATTTTTTTTTTCTCAATAACTGATAAAATTTCAATAATATACATACGAATGAATAAATTTGGAATAAAATATTCATCAATTTCTTGAATATATATTTTATAAATATTAATAAAAATACGCAGTCAACATTTTTAAGCATCTCTCACAACATCGCAAATTTCTCAAAATCTTATAGGGTAAACTAACCAGTGAAGGAATACTTAAGCTTAGCTTGTCTTTAAAAAAAAATCATAAAAATTTCAAAATTTGTAATTTTAGCTAAATGACGTATTTGTTATTAAATGCATGTCGACATATTTGTTATTAAATGCAAATTATGTAAAAAAAATTTAGATAACTTACATAATATTGTTTTAAGCTTTTGGTGGTTTAAATAATAAGTAGTAAGATAACCAAGTGAAGGAACAGTTCTTAAATTGAATAAACACTAAATTTTCCAGTGAATGAACACTTAATTTTGAGAATGTTTGATGCTCGTTAGGAATCCTTAGGCCACACAGATATCTGTCGCCCTGTAGATGCCTGAATTGACGGATGTTAACACAGGCGGGCATTAGGAAAAAAAAATCTTTTAAGTTTTCGTGCCCCCATTTCAGTATCTTAAGGGCCTTACGAGCTCTGTTTAAAAAGAGAGTATCATATCAGATATATATATATATATAAGAAAACAAAAATAATCATAGTAGCAGTATTTGGTGGTAAATGTAGCTTATCGTAATTGAAGAATATGCTGTGCGACATTTTATGGTGAATTTGCGAACGTAAGTTTCAGAATGTATCGAAACATGTGGATGCTATTTGCTAATCATCTTTATCCAAAGAAAACCATGTAACGTAAATATCTAGCAAAATGAAGCAATTTTTTAAACAATGAATCATACAATATGCAACATATTATTTCTATATCTTATTCTTAAACATAACATATTTCAATGTTTTTAAAATGCCACTAAACATTCAGCAATTCATTGAGTTATAGAAAAAAGAAATCGTAAATTACAGAAAACCTTGTGAATGTGCATTAGAATTACTATACAATCTACATTTTATTTTTCATGCACTTTTTTTTCCTTCAAACTTTCATGCCTAGAAGACTCGATTAAAGCTGTAAAAATCATTATCCCTAAAATTTTGTATATAGCTATTATAAGTTATGTTAATTTGATTTTAGTATGAAATCCTCGAATAAACATAGCAAAAATAGCATAATCTAAATAATATCAGATAAAAAGTTCATGTATTTAAATTCTGAAAACTTATAAATCGATTCAAATTTTCTTTTCAAAAGAGATTAAAATAATTTTTTATTTTATTTATTTATTTATTTTTTTTGCTTTTTGGACATAAATGAACTTAAAAATTGTCTATTGCCTAGAAACTTCGAGGTGTTTTCTATTAACTATTAATTAAACCTCTCAGAGCAATCACAAAACATTATTTCAATTTTTTTACAGTCAGAAATTGGTTGCCTAGCAACCTAGTAAAATTAAGCGTTTCTCTTTTGAATCAGTCAATGGGTTATCTTAAAATATTTATTTGCGCAGGCGACTTTTTTTGGCGGTTTTCTGGACTATCGCCAAATATATAAACCTTTATTGCAACCCAATTTACGACCCAATTGTTTTAAAATTTTGTCTACCCCCCCTAATTCAAGTGTCTAGAATCCAAATATGTAAAAAAAAATATATGTTTATTCAGAGAAAGTACGTTTTTGTGTCTGATTTCGTAACTTAATTAATAGTTAGCACTAATTAATTAGCATATTTGAGGTCACCCCCAGGAACCATTAAGATTGACACTTAGTTCGTGAAAATCCGATCATTAGAACGAAAGTTATTCAGGGTGATATCTTTTTTTTTTGCGGACTGTACATAACAATTTCTTCAGTTATTGTGTGTGGTTTCCTCCTCTTTGCTATATTTAGCGAAATCTTGTACGAAGCTATTAATCCTCCTTCAGTTTCAACTTCAGTAGACTGCTTCATAAAACTACTTATAGTTGGTCGATAAATAAACTGATATTAAGTCAATTATAAAAAAAATCACAAATTTTACATACTCAATTGGGTATGTGTGATTTGCGTATTAAGAACTGTTTTTTCTTCGACGCCCAAAATACCTTTCCGATTCGGATCGACCCCCGCTTTTGTTAAATAGACCCCTGGGGGTCTATATAGACCACTTTGGCGACCTCTGCTCCAAGGTATCATAATAAAAGTACCAAATTTTATAGCATTTTCCAAATTTTATCACAGATTATAAGACCATATTTTACAGTTGATTTGAACCAACTCTTTTATAAAAGTTATCGAGCTTTTTAGTGTTTCCGTAGAGCAGGAAGCATGGTAAATTATACAATATTCTGTTAGTTTTGACTATTCTTTTTTTTCCCTCAGCGTTGTTGACAATTACATACATTGCAGTTAACTATTACCTGCATTGTAGTTGACTATTACATAGTTTGTAGTTGAATATTATATATTAGTTGTTCAGTGTAAGCGTCTTGAAAATGCTATGAAACACTATGGATATCTATAACATAAAAACTTTACCTGAGAAGCATTTTCTACTACTTTTTCGTCAGGTTTTGTGATGGACATTAAAAGAAACCAATTATATGCAGCCGTGTCACTGTTAAGGTTATTCCATGCAAAGGAAGTGGCATTTTCCCTTGTTTCAGCAATGAATGTCTTCATTTCTTCACTCATCCTAATCTGAAGATATGAATTAAAGATATAGATTTAAAATAATCCTAAAAGTCAGGAAAACAAATGCAATTTTTGTATTACACGAAAATTAGAATTTGTTTAACTGAAACAAACGAAACTTATTTATGCGTGTGTAGTAAAATAAATAAATAAATAGAATATACAATTGAATAAAATAAAATGAAATGCAATGAATAAATTAAATAAATTAATTAAAATAAATCAAATCAAATAAATCAAACAAAATAAATTAAATTAAATTAATTAATTTAAACAAATGAAATAAAATACATTAAACAAAATATATTAAATGAAATATATTAAATAAAATAAATTAAATTAAATACACTGGTGGACAAAATTAAGAGATGGAAAGCATTTTCGCACATTCATTCACACATGCAAGATACCCGCACACCGCTCCATGTGTTTGACAATGGTTCCGTGAATGCCCAGTGGTACAGGCAGGAAGTCCCTAGAACCCTATGTGCGTCTTTTCAGGAGCGCTGTTGGCCCTGAGTTCATTTTTATGGACGACAATGCGCGACCACATAGGGCTGGTTGAAGAGTAACTGGAAAGCGAGGATATTCAACGAATGGATTGGCCAGCCAAATCCCCTGACCTGAATCCTATTGAACATGCTTGGGATGCTCTTGGGAGAGCTATTGCGATGCACCAATCTCCCCCCAGAACCATTCTGGAGTTAAAAATTGCTCTGGTGAAAGAATGGGTGGGTCTTCCACAAGTCCTCCTTAACTCCCTTATTAACAGCATGCCTACTCGTTGTGTATGCTGTTTGTCTACCAGGGGTGACCATACACCATACTAGAGACAACACACACTGTACAAACCTCACTTTTATTGTCATTTTTTATCCTTAAGTTCAGACTACATTGGATTTATTGGCAATAGGTCTTGCCAGTGAATGGCACTTTCATTTTTGTTTCGCATGTTTTATAATCATGGAATAAGCTATATCCATACCAAATTTCATTTATTTATATTCAGTATTTTTCGAGATATTTGGGAAAATGTCTTCCATCTCTTAATTTTGTCCACCAGTGTATATTAATTAAAATAAATCTAAGAAACACGTATGCTAAATGTAATCTAATAATGCAGATTACAATTTTGTATATTTGTATGAAAACTTTTCGTAAATTACTTAAAAGTTACTGTATCACTTTTACATTACCAAGTTTTCATGTATCAACTTTGCATTAAAAAAATAATTGAAATTGATTTTTTAAAACAATAATTTCCAGTAAAATGATGCAGATTAATAGTTAATTAAATGCAAAAATACTTAGATTCGTGTTAGTTAGGGATAAAAAAATTAAAAGCGTGAATAAGCTCTTCATTTTTGAGTAAGCTTCATTATAATAAAATGAATATATATTTATTTAAATGATTAAGTATACTATTTATTTGAGTAATATCTTATCGAATATTAGACAAATTAAAAAAAGAAAGGCAGTAATAAAATCGTGGCTGAATATTTTTAATAATTTGCCGATTCCAAACTGTTTTAGAGATAAAAAACTGGCGATTCTCCTCTAAACATACCGTTTATTATCTAAACATATTACAAATGAGGTAAGTTAAGTAGAAACGTATAAATATCTAATAGCGAAAGAGAATGAAAGTAATATGAAAAATACCAATTTGGAAATCTTATTAACGCTTAGCATTGTTCAGTGTTACTAATGAAGAAGAATCTCTCTCAATGTATTATATTACTAATTATTACTGACTATTATTATTATTACTATGTATTATACTGTGTATCTATTATTCTCTGTCTGTATTGAAAAGTCGTAAGGAATGCCTTAGCTGTTTTGGGCGTTTAACTTCACATTACATTTTGTTTTGCTTCGCAAACACCATAAAACTTAGAAACTTGAAATTGCTAAAGGCCTGGTTTCTTAGGACAGGACGCCGTCAGCTGGAAATCAGCGCTAACCTCTGATTGGTCCATTTGTGAGTTTGATAGTATACGTCATCGAACGCTCATCTTGAACTACAATTGCCGTCAAACTCAACTGCAGTTGGATTACTACGTGACGTTAACCACAGAAGCAATGGCGGACAACATCCAACAGCACATTGAAATCAGCCAAGATTTTGATTTGGACATTAAACATAGCTTCTTCATTAAACATAGCACTCTTCATTTAACTGAGCTATAATGTGTTTTTTCTTGGACGAAGTCATTATTTGTTCTCTAAAACACTGGTCGACAATAACAAAATCAATACAAATACAAAATAAATATTTGTTTACGTTGTTAACGCATGCGCAATGAGAGATAATGTCTGCGTTGGACCGACTGCTCACGTTGAGCTAACAAACCAGTATTTTGTTGGCGTCAGCGGGACGTTGACATCCCGCTGACGCCCAGATAAGGCGCTTGTCGTAAGAAACCAGACCTTAAGAAACCAGACCTTAAGGTGTATAGAAAAATTCAAACGATGAAAAAAAAATAAATATTGGATAATTAGTTAAAAAAATTATCAACTGTCAAGTTTCTTGCAAAGACGAACATCTTTGGTAGATCTACTGTCCACTGAAATGCAACTACAGAGTGGAAATTTGACGTGCTGGATAGAACATTTTAAATTATTAAATTAACGGGAGCTTTTTTTTTTCGAAATTTCTATTTTTCTGAAGTTTTTGCTTTTTTAAGTGTTGTTTTTTTGCAATTTTTTTACTTTAAAAAGTAGTTATTTATCCAGTGTTGAGGAAAAATGTTTCTCTTCTGTAATTTGTATTTAAAAAGCTCCTCTATCCACATATTTTTTGACACAATGCATTTTGCTGAAAAATGAGTTTATGCTGTTTAAATTTCGAAGAAATAGGGCTTCAAATTCGACTATTATTTGTTCCGGAGTTATTGCGACAAATGTTTGCTCAATCTTGAGAAACCCTTCTTTACATTGTGGGGTTTCAAATTCGACAATTATTTCTTCCGTAAACTTTTTATCGCATTTTTGCTCAATCTTGTGAAACCTTTCTTTACATTGTAGACTGAAAGCTTAATAAATTTCAAATTAAGTGAATAAAATTTTTTTGACATAGAAATGATGTCGTACTGCTTGTATGATTTTTATAAGAATATTTAAATTTGTGATAAATAGTATTGAAAAACCTTACGAAACAAAAAAAAATACATACGTATTCTCTTTTATTGTAGTCTGTTAAGTTGGTTTTGTAGTTCCAAAGTGCTGTGATCAATTTATTTTCCATCTTTTCCTTTCGTTTTTCGTAGTTTTGGTACAGAAGAAGTGCGGCTTCCATATCGGTGTTATTTCCAACCGCGTAGTGTATGTATCCTTCTAGCTCCAAAGTACATATTGTGATGAATGCGATGATGTTAAGAAGAAATATGGAATATGCCATCATTTTATTAGGTAACTTAGCAGCTTGTGAAAATTACTTCCAATCTAAAAAAGAAACACCAAAAATTTAAACGGATTTTTGCGCAACTTTCAAATAAGTTGTGAACAAAACTAAAATATATGTTTCGAATGCAAATATTAGTTTTTGTGTAAATTTATTTTCCCTTTCAGTATTATATAAAAAAAAAATTAAAATTATTTTAGTTATTCGTAAAAATTGTTTAATTGGAAAAATATTATGAATAATCGTTTTTTAATAAAAATATATTTTGCTGTAGCCGAGATCAATCGGGATTGTGTACAATTGTTTTATCATAGAAAATAGTTCGTATTATGATTCCTCTCTTCTATTTATAAATTTATGCACACAATTGCTTGAAAAAGAGACATCTCTGATTTACTTTCAGAGCATTGTTTGTTTTTAACATTGATTGTTTGTTGTATTGAACATTCCATTGACATTGTTTGGTCTTGAATAGTTCATATTATGATTCCTCTCGTCTGTTTATAAATTTATGCGCACAATTGTTTGAAAAAGAGTTATCTCTGATTTACTTTCAGAGCCTTTAAGAACATAGACATTGTTTGGTCATCAATAGTTCATATTATGATTCCTCTTGTCTGTTTATAAATTAATTAACACAATTGTTTGAAAAAGAGTCATCTCTAATTTACTTTCAGAGCCTTTAAGGACATAGACATTGTTTGGTCTTCAATAGTTCATATTATGATTCCTCTGGTCTATTTATAAATTAATTAACACAATTGTTTGAAGAAGAGTCATATATGATTTAGCTTATTTAAAACAATTTTAAACTTATTCAAAACAATTTGTTCTCTTTGCAAGGCCTCTCTTTTAAGAAATTAGTTTGAAGAATGAATCCCATGATATTCTTTCAGAATTATTTAAAGTTCGAAAGTATGATCTCTCGCTAGATAGTATGGAGAATCTGGACTGATTTTACTTCATTCTATTTCGGAAGAAATTGATTCGGATTTCAATGTCAATATTTTTTGGTGTCTATGCTTGCAATTTGCTTGTTTAAAAAATGTTTTTTGCACTAAGGTTTGGTCTCTCTGAACCTATATGAGTTGCTCCGATTTACCCTGTTTAATATCGAATTTATGGTTTTACAACAAAAATAAGAATGTTTCAGGATCGTCAGACTTATATTTAGGCAGAGTTGTATGCGTTTATACTTACCATTTAGATCAAAATTAAAATAAATATTTGTTTTTCATAGAAATTTTGAAAAGAAAATTTTTACATTTTTATTGCAAAGTGTTACAATTCCTTTAACAAAAAGGCGGCTCATGTAACCACATAAACTTAATTTCTAACATTATTATTCTCTTAATTATCTGAAAAAAATGGGAGCATTATATGATTTACTAACATAACATGTTTCGTACTTTTAATTCACAGTAGTACATTCCTGCTTAGCTATTTACTTATAGAGGATCAAATTTTTTTTCTTCTTTAGTTTGGAAACGTTTTGGGGAGAAAAAATTGCCTGTTGTGATTGGAATAAAAAAGAATGAAACTTTTAAAATCAATTAATATCACACATCGTACATAAAATTATCAAAAATTTAGAAAAAATCTACCTTTTTCTTAAAAAAAAAATAAAGTCTCCTAAAACTTTTTATATGAACATGGTTTAGTGTTTTGTGATTGTTTTAGGGTTTGAAAATTCTAAATAAATTAAATTTTGCTCAATAATTTAAATTTTTATGCTCGCACAAAGTTAAAAATTAGAGTTGTATCCAATTTTTTTCCTAATTTTCATCTTTACTCATGTTAACTGAAAACGATCCACAATTCACTTCATAGAGATGAGTGCTCGTCGAGTACCACTTACACTTTACTCAAAAAGCTATTCAGTTTTTTGTGTTGCGTTATATTTATCGCCATTTACAAGAATTTTCAATGGAGTAGGATTTTTCTGGCTTGCTGTATTGTTTAGATTTCTTCCTTAAATTTAGATTTCTTCTTTATATCGTAGAATACCACTTACACCTTACCCAGACAGCTATTCAGTTTTTTGTGTTGCATTATATTTATCGCTATTTACAAGAATTTTTAATGGAGTAGGATTTTTCTAGCTTGCTGTATTGTTTAGATTTCTTCTTTATATTTAGATTTCTTCTTCATATCGTAGAATACCGCTTACACCTTACCCAAACAGCTATTCAGTTTTTTGTGTTGCATTATATTTATCGCTATTTACGAGAATTTTCAATGGAGTAGGATTTTTCTGACTTGCTGCATTGTTTACATTTCTTCTTTATACTACACATTAAAGATAGATTTTTTTAGAGAACTGAAACAAATTGATCTTGATTTAAGTGTTACTCGAATGTATCAATCACTAGCATTATGTTCTCCTTTTTTATTTAAGGGCTCTGTTCTAATTTTGACACACTTTACTGTTTCAAAATTTAACGAAACTTTGGTATTTCTTAAATGAGCGCAGTGTTGGAATTGATAGAAGTGAATATAATAGTGTTAAAATTGATAATCGAAGTGATTTAATGTAATTTCCCTTAAATCTAGCAGCATTGGGGGATGTCATACTATACTAAGAATGATTTCAAAGCTATCCGAAGTTTGAAACTTAATCTTCGCTAGTGCGACATTTGTTCTTTGCGAAGCAAACTCCTGTCAACAAAGATTGTCGGTTGGACATTTTAAATTCGATTTCCTTGGGGAAGATGACTTCGAACTCTGTCCTATTCCAGATGTCTCTCTGTTGTCAAACAAAGTCTTAGGTTGCATATAAAAAGGATTTTAAAAGTAAGACAAACCATCCCAAGGAAAAATGCATGTAAATTTTGTACTATGGAAGATAAACTCTCAAACCTGATTACATTAAAATCATTAATTAGAATTCTTGTGTAATATCCTCCCAGAATGCTGCAAGACTTAAGGTTGATATATATATATNTATATATATATATATAGCAGAATAAACAAAAAAATGTGTTAGTACGGGTATGGTCCCCTCTTACAGGTATACACGTCTTGCAGCGTGATTTATACTAGAAATAAGGCAGTTTATCATTTCCTGCGGCAATTGGCTTAAATTGTATTGTGGCAGTTTCATACCTTCCGATTCCAGATAATGATATGCACTATCATGCGGTGTGCATTGCAATTGTTGAATGGTTATTTGTTTTGTACTGTATTATTGTATCAGCGTATTTCTTCGTTGTATGTACGTATAGAATTTCATTAAAATCGGCATAGTAGTTTTAGAGATAATCGACCAAGTCTGCATATTCTCTAAATTTTCAGACGTTGTATTTTATTGCATTTTTAAGGTAGGAACTAACTATGATAAACTATTCCTAAAGTCACTGAACGGAATAGTTTCGATGTATGACCTTTTATACTGGATTAGTTAAATACTTTTTTAAGTAGCTTCTTAATAATTTGTAGCCTCTGGAACTAACTTAAATTATTTTAATTGTCTAGTATAATAAATAGTTTATTATTATTATTTTATTTATTTATTATTATTATTATTTTGCTAGAAGGGAATGGGCTCTGGTTTATAAGCAACCAATTCCGATGATTGCAGGTGATACATATAGATTTTGAAATTATGTAAGGATGTATGAATGAAGGATAAAGTCTATAAACGGCTTTCTATCCATATGTGCAGGCTCTGACTTTTAAATAAGTCCCCCTATGAAAGATGGGATAGAAATGAATGAGTTATTCCTTATTTTAGTCTGTTAATTCAATTATAACGTTTACCAATTTTTTATTGTAATGAAATGACTAAAATTTTCTTCTTATTTTGGGTTTTATTAAATTGTTTTTCCGAATAAGTTATTTTTCTCATAGATGGCAGCAGCAATAGTATCGACCAAATATATTTTTTAATTTTTCTTTATTCGATTCAAGCTATAAGCACAACTTTAAAGATTTTACCCCTTCACGAAATTTGTTAACTGTTTAATTAGTATTTTACTTTTAAACCTAAACCGCATTTCGCTACACGCTGTTAAGTTTCGTTACCGCTTTCTTTTATTTCATACTCTTTTTCAAAAAAAAATTTTTTTTGGGGGGGGGGATATCGACGCATATAAAGAATAATTTTTATCTTAGGATAATTATTCTTTATTCAGAAATATCGCATTTAATTATACCAATAGATGAGTCTTGAGGAAGCCTGTTGGTCTTCACCCATTTATAGTCTTCTTTTTTTTACATTATATATTTATTGCAGTCTATGTTCCAGAGTGTTATTCTCAGCCTGAACTCCCACTATAGAAGACAACTAGCGATGCGTCTTTTAAGAACTATGAAGTAAAACAAGAACACGGAATACAACATCTTATTCCTAGAAGCAATCGTTTTGTTCGAAAAATCATGGAGTCAAGTCGCACCAACAACAATCCTCAACTTTTTCCAACACGCAGTCATTTGGAAGAACCTATCACTCAGAGGTTAGAGGCAAAGAATATACATTTTTCCTAAAAATGTTACGGAACCATTTGAATGTTGCGATGATGAATTGTACATTTCTGGTAATTCTAGCGATGGTGACATTGTCACCGAAATTAAACAAAAGAACGAAGCTAAGAATGAAGACTTATTAAACGAAAATGAATTTTCAGGATTTCTAGGTATGAAGAGAAATAAGAAGTAAAAATTCTGAATATATTTTTTCTACAGAAAATGTGGAATTGTAGATAAGAAAATTTCTGAACTCTTCTTAAAATCAAAATGCTCTTATTCAAAAATCATTAAATTTTTTCATAAAATGTAAAAAACAAACCAATTTTTAGCAAAGAAGTTTTTCTTTCTGTAATATTTATTATCCGTTTAATAATTTTTTAAATAAAATATGCGAAGTGTGTGTTGCTTTCCCTATTTTCAATAATTCAACTATCATATGCAGCTCTCATATCAGATTTAGAAAACTTAAATTTTAAAAAAGGAGCAAATATTTCATGTCTTATTTAATTTTAAGAACGATGCGTGAACGGAAAACAATTACCGATTTAAAATTTTTATGCCATTCATATTATTATTGAAATTTGAACTTTTATTGAATATGGAACTATTGAACTATTATTATTGAAGTATTATTATTGAATATTGAACTTTTTTCGTACTAAACGTTCCGCAACTTATATTCCATATAAGACTTAATATTTCTTTTACTTAATTTACTATTTTAATACAAAGCTTGAATATTTTTTTAAGAAACAAAATCGAACTAACTTACTTGTTTTTCGTATACTGAAATTTCTTACATATTTTGAACTAAGTAAAAAACCGAACACAAGTCATTAAAGTAAAAGTGCGAAAACTTACTTTAATGACCTTATGCAATTTTTTTCCTCCAGAATTTTTTTAATGAGTAGAAATGATTTTCTAATTAAAATGCATCCTGTTATGATTTTGAACCTCAATTAAATATCGGAAGAGGAAATAATTAAAGAGGAAAAAAAAACACACAACTTGTAAATGTAAATTCTTCAAATATACTCTATCCAGTATATGGAAGAGAAGAGTTTGGGGCATGACGATAAGTTAGTACACACAAATTACAATTTAAAAATCAGAAATTATTTAAGATGTCTATTTAATTTTTTTTTCTTCCTGGGTGAAACATTAGAGAAAATATAAAGTTATTAATTAAAACACAAATTAAAAAGCATATTACTCCTAGTGTCGTTTTCCAATAATGCAATTTAAGATAAACTTATGTCAGCAACAACAACTATTATAAAATGATGTTCAATATCCATTTCTTAAGCAGACATAGTTCAAAGCTCATTTCACCACTCATTTAGTTTTTATTCAGTCCTTTTGTTTATATTGTTAGATTTAACTTCATTCGGCTCATTGCAAAAAGCATTTTGTTTATTTAAACTAATCACAGAAGAATTGAAACAAGTAAAACCAACAGATCATTGGATAAATAATGTAATTTATAGTTAAGATAAGTGGTCTCATTGCAAAAAGTTTAAAAACTGTCAAGCTATCTAGAAAACACTCGATACTTTTCAAATTAACCTAGCTAATTGTAAAATAAAAGGATGCTGTTCGTTAAGAACCATATTTTTTATTAATCCTACAATATATATATATACATTTTCAGAAGTAATAAGCAAAATACTGTTTTAAAAATGAACACGGAGAGAGATGATAATTAATTAAAATGCAAATGTGATGCCTATTGTTTTCATAAATTTTTAAAACGTCCAATGTATAATTAAATATTAGGTATGTTTTTTTGCAAGGCCCATTTTTGACTGATGCTTTAGAAATATTTACTACCCAGAAGAAGAAAATTTTATGAGATTATTTTCAAAATGAACATGAGTGAAAATATTTATTTAAAATCGAAATATCCACTTTACAGTTTTTTTAATTTAAAGTTTTTAAACTTAAAAAAATATTATATATATATAACAAAAGAACGAAGCTAA